TGTTAGTTGTTTTAGTGTGGGTAGGGGAAATCGAAAAGTTTTTTTTTTGTAGTAGAAAAGAGTTTTAGAAAACTTTTGCTCCATTAAAATTTCATTTGTTGATGCATTATTTCGGGGTCATTCGATTCGAGAATAGAAACGAAACAATTAATTTTGAATAACTCTCTCTGAACAATTCCAATTGAATCGTCCGTCATCTGTCAACTGTCATTTGTCGCAACAATTACGTCAACTGTCATTTGTCGCAACAATTACGTCAACTGTCATTCGTCGATCACTTCATTCTGTCAATTGTCAATCTTGTCACTAACTTTTTACTCGTTTTCTGTTGACTGTTGCATTCGCACAACAACAACAACACACGGGTTCGCGTGCTGGAAATGCAACTCGCGCCATCCTCACGCCATTGCGTGGATTCGGGATATTTACGAGTTCTTCACCTGCCATATGTATTATCGTCATGGCCTGCTATCGTCAGCTGATCCGATGGATTTCGTTTTTTCTATACCACCTACATACCTACTTGTCGAATTTCTGCTACCGGTTTCCCGACAAGTAAAAGGCCTCTACTCTACTCTACGCGTACGCCGAAGGAATCGATGTTGCCCGAATATGAGATCGTGTCTCGTACTGTCGGTTACATCATTTTTATTTTTAAGAACATACAGGGTGTCTCGTAACTTTTACTAACAAAAATTTACTTGAAAAAGTTGCTTAGAATTAAAAGATCTATACGCAGTTAAAAATACACCCAGTATAATCGAACCTCTACTATAATAATAAGTCTGCAACCTACATTCATTGACTCACCGATTGGACTGTATTAATTTTTTAAAGACTAGGGGTGAAATGTAAAAATTTCGTTGTATTTTTTAGTGTATTTACGATTAAGGCGCCATTGTTTGGAGCGTCGCGATGCCGCCCGTCGAGGGAACGGCCGGGCGTCGGCGTCGTCGCCGTGGAAACCGCGAAGACTTAATGACCGCTTATACACAAAACTTGCCGGATGGGTATAAGGATATATCTGTTGAAAGAGAGAAGAAAGAAAAAATGGTGGGAATTTAAGATGGGTTTTCGGGTGGAGTAGGAGGAGTTCTTTTTGAGGGAGGAAAATCGTATTTATTTGCTGTAAAAGTAGATGGAAATCGAAGATAGAAATGTTGATAAATATTGGATGAAATGGAGATCATGAATTGAATGGATGAAATCATTTTGGAGCTCACTAGGACTATTTGAAACCGTTCAGAAACTATCTTAGAACCATTTACAACTGTACAGAATCATTTTGGAGGTCACTAAGGCCATTTAAAATTGTACAGAACTATCTTAAAACCATTTAGAACTGTACACAATCATTTAGAATCATTTTGGAGCTCACTAGGACCATTTGAAACAATTCAGAACTATCTTAAGATCATTTGGAACTGTCCAAAATCATTTTAGAGTTCACTAGTACTATTTGAAACCGTTCAGAAACTATCTTAGAACCATTTACAACTGTACAGAATCATTTGGGAGGTCACTAAGGCCATTTAAAATAATTCAGAACTATCTTAAGATCATTTGGAACTGTCCAAAATCATTTTGGAGCTCACTAAGACCATTTGAAACAGTTCGGAACTATCTTAGAACCAATTAGAACTGTCCGAATTGTTTTAGAACAATTTACTTGAAAAATCATCGACTAATTTACTAAAAACAAGACCAAATAAAACTACCTCAAATTTACAATATACTTTCCCATACATCCCCGAGCATTGCCCCACTCGCCCCGTCCGACGATTCCTCATCGGGACACCCCGAAGTTAAAGATCGGGCCTCGGAGTAGACCACTAAATTATAGAGCGTTTTTGTATATTGATTAGACGAAGGTAGACCGCTAGTCTGGCGCAGCTCGACGGGCGGCCCTGAGTATTGATCAAATAAATACGCTCCGGGGCTCGTCGCCCCCCGCGAGCCTCCCGCCCTCCCCCTCCGCCCCCCCTTCTTCCCCCTACGCGAAAATTCCACAAAAAATTTCGAAGTCGACTTTTCAATGGAAGGTTTCCAAATCAATCGTGAATCATCCCGAGTCGCGGGTTTGTTGAAAAAATTATCCTCGCACGCGTCCGATCGGTGGCGATAACGGCACCTGCCCGGGGGCCCCCCAATCGAATGCCCATTAAGGGCTGTTGTAATATAGAGAATAAGGTTAAATTGTATATGACAGGTTTGCGGTGTCATCGTGAGTTGGATTTTTCTGCGGTTGTTTAACGCTCGATTGGAGGTTAATTCGTTTTTAATCGGGCGTTAGATCGATTCCTTCTGCATACGTTTCTCTGTTGCATTTTGTTTTCGTGGAATTTTTGTAGAATGGAGAATGTTCTGTATGAATTATCTTTGTTGCACTTTTGTGTAGGTAAAATACCTAAAAACTCTTCTTTTCGATGTACTAAATCAAAATAAATACAGTAGCTATTATTATTTTTATTCTGCATACAAAACTCCATTATTTAATATAATAGTTCAAATACTATCAATTGTATGAAATCTGTATGAAAGATGTTTGTATAGAATTTTATATTCTGTATCTACAAGGTAAATATATCTGTTAGGTATAATTAGTAGAAGTTTTTTTTTATGCATTATTCCAGGCACAAATGAATTATTAAAATGGCAGTAAAATGAGAATAAAAGTATATGTGTATAAATAAAAATGTTATGTGGCCTGAAAATTGCATATTATAATAATACATGCGCTGATTTGCTGAATAATTTGACATCTAACATTGTAATTATCGTTAATTGAAAATGTATCTTTCTCCATTGTGCTCATGGCGCTGTGAAAAACTGTTATTTTCCAATTAAAATGCCTCTTTCGGGAAACGCATGTGCATTTTAAAACATCATTTTTTTTATATTATTGCAATTTTATGCATTGAATAATGCTGACAGACAAGATAAGGATTGTTCAAGTGCAAGGTTTCGAGCCTCGGGGGTTTCCGCAGGCGTATCTTCCATCTTCGTAAGTACATAAAAGTAATTGTTGTGAAATTACCGACACTTGCATTATGCGAGTAATTGTCTAAATATTCACACAAATCCACAAAAAAAATAATTGTATAATAAATACCTGTTTCTAAAATCGTTTATTGTTTGGCACATTAGGAAATATAAGGCGTGACGTCATCGCTAAGTTAGGTCGAATGAAATATATAAATGCAAAATTTCTTTTACACGTCCAATTAGAGCGAACTTTTATAACCAATTAAGTCCGTTTTCGGGCGATTAATAAATAATTATGGTTTTTTTGACAGATGCTTCTTTATTCCACGTTATAATTTATTCAGCAAAAAAAACAACAATTTAATGAAGTGTCTCCATCTGATATGACAATTTTTTACCTTCCTTCGATTACGATCTGATCGGAAATTAATACCTATACGCTGTTTAAATGATAGTTTACGAGAAACTCGCGCGTGGTGTTTATTATTTTTTTAATATACAGGGTGATGCAGAATTGTATAGCGTAATTTTTATAGAGGTTAAATAAAGTTGTGAAAAATTAGGTATTAAATTTTTTGAATATCTCGAAAATTAGGGGATATTGGAAAATTTTTGGTTCTTTAAAAATTGTAGAGAAATGTTTCTTATATCAAATGAAATAAACTAGGTGTTTCTATCTGATTTAGTTTCCGAGATAATTAGGGTTTTCTATTGGATTGTAGAGAAATTAGTACTTTTGACATCGTCGATAAAAGACTCGAAATATCTCGAAAATCAAGCGATTTTTGAAAATTTTTGATTTTTCAAAAGTTGTAGAAAAACGTTTTTTCTACAAAATAAAATAAATTGGGTCTTTTTATCTCTATCACTTTTCAAGATACTTTAATTTTTCCATCGACTTTTACTAAAATTAGTACTTTTAACATCGTCGATAAAAGACTCGAAATACCTCGAAAATCAAGCGATTTTTGAAAATTTTTGATGCTTCAAAAATTGTAGAGAAACATTTTTTCTACAAAACCACACAAACCGTGTATTCCTATCTCAATTACTTTTCGAGATAACAGCGAATTTTCATCAAATTGCGAAATCTCGCTACACAACTGACCTACTTTACAAAAGCTACCGAACGTATGCCGAAGGATTCGACACACACATCGCTATTTTACGAGCAAATTACACCGTGTTTTATATCCTATTTTTTATTGCAAAAAAGTCATTGCACTCTCCGAGTTCGAGTATAAATAATCGTTTGTTTATAAAACCAACTGACCGTGCGCGACAATAACTGGTGCAATTCTTTTCCGCTAAAGCAACTGCAATAATCATTAGGCGAGCATGTAGAGGATCACAGGTGAATATTTTAATTAATCATTAATTTTTAATTATCGCCGAGGCGAAAGAAACGCGTGTTAATTTTCATATGTAAAAATGTACGGTACTTTTTTCATACTAATCACACTCAATTGATTCCGCGCTTTCTATGCAAAAATTATAACAGATCGTTGTGTGGAAAAATGTTGAATATCTCGAAAAGTTGTGGATTTTGGAAAAATTTTGGTTCTTTAAAAAGTGTAGAGAAATGGTTTTTCTACATAATAACATAAACTGTATGTTTTTATGACAATTAGTTTTTGTGATAATTGCGATTTTTCATCGAATTGTACAAAAATTAGTAATTTTGATACCATCAATAAAAAATAAAAATATCTCGAAAATTAAGCGATTTTCGAAAAATTTCGATTCTCCTAAAATCGCAAAGAAACGTTTTTTCTATAAAATAAAACAAACACCACGTTTTTATCTCGATTAACTTTTGAGATAATCGCGATTTTTTCTGGCCTTTTATATTTTTGATTCTTAAAGTGTACTGTTTTATAAACTAGTTCCTTATTTTGTAATCTAATCCTCCTAATACTAGACTCCTAATACCCCAATAATTCCCCTATATCACCTACTTATTGAATATTTTACAATAAATAAATAAGTAAATAAATAAATAAATTTTGTTGCAGTGGTCATGCACAAAGATAAAGACGACGTTCTTCACAGACCTCGAGATCTCACTGCCTTCGATCATACTCCATTAGACGGGGAAATGTTTCTACAGGTACTTGTACAATTAATTATCACGAATATTAACTAAACAAAATTCGATTCTTTCCAGGCTTTGAACGGTTTCCTCATCATTTTAACCTGCGACGGGGAAGTTTTCTTCGCCACGCATAGTATAGAAGGTTATTTGGGATTCCACCAGGTAATTCTAATAAATCATCTATAAAATCAACTTTGATTCGAGGTATATAAAAAATAACATCGAAGTATATACAGGGCGTTTGATTTTCAGTCTGACATCGTCCATCAATCCGTATACGAATTGGTGCACTCCGAAGATAGGGAAGAGTTGCAACGCCAGCTGATGTGGAATTCATTTCTTCCGCCCGAATCGGCCAACATGGGCCTCCAGGAAGTCCTTTTGCCAGATAATTGCCATTTGTTGGAAAGGAGTTTCACCGTGCGCTTCCGATGTCTTTTGGACAACACTTCCGGTTTTTTGGTACGTGCAAAATGATCATCCCTGCACTCCTGGACTTCTAGATTTCTTCCTCTTTCTGTCTTTCCTTCTCTCTTTCCCTCTTTCCTTCTCGACTCCTCTTTAACCTAACATAACCACAGAGGTCACAGTGGTAAATTTCTGGTTAATATCGGTTCAATTTTCGCAGCGATTAGACATCCGAGGTAGAGTGAAAGTGTTGCACGGGCAAAACCGAAAATCCGAAGAGCCCCCTTTAGGTTTGTTCGCCATTTGCACGCCCTTCGGTCCACCCTCGTTGCTCGAGATACCCCAGAAAGAGGTCATGTTCAAAAGTAAGCACAAGTTAGATTTGGCACTGGTATCAATGGATCAAAGGTAACAATTTTTATCCAAAAAAAATCACAATTTGTAAATTAATTATTTTTTTAAAGGGGGAAAATGCTGTTGGGGTATTCGGACAACGAATTAGGCAGTATGGGTGGTTATGATTTAGTTCATTACGATGATTTAGCTTATGTAGCGAGTGCTCATCAAGAATGTAAGTTGGTGATTGTATTTATGGAAGTGGAAAAACATATTTAATTTTTTTATCTACAGTGTTGAAAACTGGCGCTTCGGGTATGATAGCATACAGATTCCAAACCAAAGATGGCCAATGGCAATGGTTGCAAACCAGTTCCAGATTAGTTTATAAAAATTCCAAACCGGATTTCGTCATAAGCACACATCGTCCATTAATGTAAGCACCAATAGGATTCTCCACAACTCATTTTAACTATTAATAAATTGCAACAGGGAAGAAGAAGGTCGAGACCTCCTGGGCAAACGCACGATGGACTTCAAAGTGAGCTACTTAGACGCAGGTCTTCCAAACAACTACTTCTCCGACACCGACCAACTCCTATCGAACCCATCGACCAACCACCACCCCGTACCGACGACTCCGTCCCGCGTCAACCGACGCTACAAAACGCAACTCCGCGACTTCCTCTCCACCTGCCGCACCAAGCGCAAGCTCTCCCACAGCACCGGCGCCGGGCAGCCCGCCACGCCGCCGGCCACCTCCACGGTAACAGCGGCCGTCGTCAGCCCGATGCCCGATTACATCGCCACCGACGCCTCGGCGTACAACATGTATTCGTACGCGACGCCGGGCGCCGATCACGGCCTCACCACCTACATGGGTCACTCGAACTTCCAGCACGGCCTCTACCCGGTGCCCGACAACCGCTATCTCGCCACCACCGACAACCTCTTCCACCAATACCGACCTCTCGGTAGCTACTACCCCGAGTACCACCATTCCCCGACGGCCGGTCCGTACGTGGGCAACGGTTTCCTGGAGATGTCGTCGCGAACGCCCGCCGGTTACGATTCGACCGGTTACAGATCGATACCGGTCGACGAGAAGATCTACTCCTGCCAGCAGACGTACGTGGACACCACCAGGAGCTACGTGGTGCCGAATTCCACCAAGTGCTTGGACGCGTCGTGGCCGTACTCGGTGAGCCCGTCGTCGGGCATCATCCAGCCCATACAGGTGATGAGCGCCGCGCAATTGGAGGCGAACCACAAGAGCTGCGCCAAGTTGAAACCCGACAAGTCCGGCATGATCACGCCCAAGATGGAGGAGATCAAGAGCGACGTCGGGCAAGTGGAGAGCCCAGCGCAGCACTTCTCGCCCGCCGAGATGCCCAGGCAGACGGTGCTCATGTGGGGCTCGAATCACGTGCAACCGTCGCCGGCGTCGAACCACCACCGATCGCCGGCGGATGAAGCCGATTACTCGATCAACTCGGAGGGGTGCGAATCGCTGAAGGGGCTCGGCGAGATGGCCGGCCAGGAGATGTGCAAGTGGAACGGGGACGGCGACAAGGCGGAGGCGGTCGGGCAGGCCGGCGACGCGGACGGTCCGCACCATCATGCGAACCATCACAATCACCACAATTCGCGGGTGGTGATGGTGCTGTGATGAACGGGTCGCGCTGGTCGCGCGACGCCGGTGACGCTGTACATAACCTTATACATAGGTAGTTTAATCGAATGGAGCACAGAATTTTTTCGAATGTCTTAGAATGTATTGATGGTATCGCAAAAATGGTTGTTTTGCGGTTGAATTTGGCGGTTGAATTGGATTTTTACCGTTTAATTGGCATATTCCTCGCTAATCTCTAAAGTATCGAAGCGACATCCTATTGATTGGAGAGTTATATTCTTTTTGAATTATTTGGGGACAGAGAGGTGTATGTGGTTTAGATGGAAACGGATCCGCTGGTTACGAAAATGGCATTCTTTTCACCGGCTGAATTCGTGCCGGCTCGCAATCGCGATTTAAAAATGAAAATCGTCCGCCATTTTGGAAATTATCCAAGTTGACGTATTGTTTTGTCATTTGTGAATTGTTCCGAACTTGCATCTCTTGCGGCCTTTTACTACGTCAGTGTCCAATACCGGGTTAGAAGGGCGAGTTTTTTTTTCTATAATAATAGACATTTTTAGCACTCATGATTTTTTTTTATGAAGCAGCATTTCTTGCGATCATCTTCAATACGATGAAACATATCTTCCTGCATTGTGTTTTTTCGTTGTCATCGTCTTCGAATTTAGATACATTAAATAGTTAATGTAAATTTGCTAATCATATATATTATATTATATATAAAAAAAATTATGTATCTATTATTTTTGATATTTTTCTTTTCGGTTGAGCTTACAGGGTGGTTTCTGAAATGCGGGCCCGCAATTAGCGAACCTTCCTTAAGAAATCTTACATATACCGGGTGTTTAAAAATATATATGTGTTGTTTGATTGTCGGCGCGTATTTATGAAACGCCCTGTATACAGTAGCTTAGCGACCACGATTGTTCGTTAGTACCTAAGTTTGTTATTTATTTTTTACATTTTTACGCAGTGAATTCCATGCTAGTCATTTAACTGGTTATTTAATTGTAAATGTTGTATGATATTATTTATACATAAATGAATATATATAAAATACAAATAGTTATATATTCCAAATTTTTCTTTCCCGTCAATGATAAGAAAGATTATAAGAGATGAATTTACAATCGTATATACTCATATGGTGTATTTATTAGGAGTGACGTCATGTGGTGTAGCCAATCACAGTGCTCGATTTTTGTTACCAGCCAATAAGAGCTCTTGTTGAGTAGTGATGTCAATCCCAAGAATTACAGCGTTAGAGTATAGATAATGTAATGCTAGATAAAATATACGTATCAAATTTGAATTGCAATTTTAGTTTTTCTACTGATTTAAATGTTTGTTTGCAACATGAAAATTATAAAGGATACTAGTGTAATTGGTTTTCCTTTGTATTGGCTAATTTTTTAATTTTTATAGCCAAAAGAGTGCCATAAAATACTCTTTTTTTTACTTGACTAGTCTCAGAAAATATATTGTCTATAGAGCTTTGGTAATAAAAAAATGTTTCGAAATCTTACAACAAACGATAACTTTTCACACTGGTATCTAGATTTTTAATGAATATTTCTTATATTTTTTAACGATTTGTCATTTGTAAGTTTCTCGAAAATTTGTATTTTGGATGTTTTCAAAAACATTGTATGTCAAAAATGTATAATGAATAAATATTATAAAATAAATAATATATTATAGAATTTGGCTCGATAATGTTTCTCATTTTTTTGTTTTATTGATTTATAACGAGCCGAAAAAATTAAATAGGTAAGCAAATATGCTAGTAGAACAAGGCCATTTGAAATAAGAAATTTCTCATTATGACAGCTCGTCAGTCTTGAAATTCTATCGTTCCGTGTATTTGACATTGACATAAGATTCCTAACCTCAATATATAACCTAAAAATATTTCACTACCTATTAGTTTCCAAACAACATAAAAAGATTAAACAAACATGAACACCCTATCATTTCGTAAGTACAACTTATCAAATAACCGCAAATATCACAGCCTGTCTTGATTTTTAAGGTGGCGCCATTCAAACCGCCTTTTCAAAAACTCTACAAACCTACATAATGAGATCCAGTATCGAATCGAATTTCATACAAACCAGAGAATACGCGGCCAGAAAGGGAACGAGAGAACGCCGAAAGAAAAACAAAGTCAAAGTAGAAATCCAAAAACTCGGTTTCTTAGAACGCATGAAGCAACACAAAGAACAAAAGTAAGTTCGAAAATAATGAAACGAATTTCATCTCATTGTCTTTTACTAGACTTTTAGCCGAACACAAAACCCTTAAGTTTGATGACTCTATGAAAAGGGACCCCGTCGATGATGTATTCGTAATGAAATACTACAAATGGATAGTTTATCCGTTCCAAGAAGCTCTAAAATGCCACAGGGAGACCCATTCACCGGAGATGTACAACAAGCCGGACTCCATGTTACGTGTGAACATCGAATTGAACATGATCGGAGAGAAAAAGGTACACTCCTCCAACAAATACAACTCAAATTAATAGATAATTTCCAGACGAGGTTGCTGGATAACTTCTCCAGCATCGTCCACATCCCGCACAAGTTCGAGCACAAGGAAGAGCGCTCCATCGTGGCCTTCAGCAAATCGCCGGAGAACCAAGCGATCGCCGCCGAAGCGGGCGCCCAGCTCTCGGGCGGCCTCGATCTGATCAAGCAAATCCAAACCGGCGAAATATCTTTGGCCGATTACAAGTTCATCGTGGCCCATCCGGAGATCCTGCCCGAGCTCGTCGCCCTTCGGGGCGTCATGAAGAAGCGATTCCCCAACCCGAAGACGGGCACGTTGTCTGTTGACCTGGCGAGCGCCGTGTACAAGTTCCTGCACGGTATAAGTTATACAGCCAAGAAGAATGATTACGAGAAGGAATTCGGGTTGATCGAAACCGCCGTAGGGCCGGTAGGTGGTTTGGATTCTATGTTAATAGAAATAAGTCATTAGAACTCAAAGCAGTTTTTTGTTGCTGGAAATATTCAATATTTTAGAAAATATGGCCATTTTAAATTTGAAATTTTGACAAGTGACGTGTAAAGTCAGCCGTTCAACGAGTTACATTGTGTCAAATATAATTTAGAATTTTAGATATTTACAGTAATTCATTAATATAGGCATATTATATTATTTAACAATTATAAGTTTGCTCTATATTTTTCGAATATATGCCAACCTATATAGGCTCAAACGCCATTTTTTAGAGTAAGATATTTGACATCGTCGTTACTAAAAAACGATCTTTACCACAGATTCCTAATGTGATTGGATAATGACTTAATGACTTGTGACATATGTCAAACTTGTAAAATTAATTGCGGCCTTAATAAAAAACGGAAAAAATTAAAAATTTCACCAACGACTTCATAAGAATACGAAGTTTTATAAAAAAAATAAGTAATACTCTTCTCTATTTGAATTAAATGTCTCTTTAGTAATTGGTTTGTTTGTTGGATTAGTTGAGTATGGATTCGAGGCATTTGGAAGAGAATTTCGCTGCTTTGGTTCGAGATGTGTACACGATGAAACCGAAACGACCGGGAACTTTTATATCTAGGTAAAAGCGTTTGAAATGATGCTGTTTTTAGGATTCGATTTAATTTTTGTAAGTTTTCCAGGTGTATTTTGTGGAGCGAACCATCTCCGGAACTGTTGAAAGTGGATCACGAGGTGTATTTGAAGCAAGATGAAAGTATTGATGATGATGAGGAAATTGATGATAAAGGCGAGACTGTAGCTTTGTAATGATCGTTTTGTAATTAATAAACGTAGATTATAATGTTTAATTAAATTAATGCAATGAAATTATCAACATTTACTTGTAAAAGTAAAGGAGTCCGGCCCTGTATAAATTTCCGGCCTAATATTATTATCAGATAATTGATTTATTTTACACGTTTTTTTGGTTTTTGGAATTCTAACCACAACAAAATCGTTTTATCGCCCGACTTATCAACAAATTCTAAACATATGTATTTATATGAATAATTATCTAATTATCTGTCTAGTACCAATATAAAAATAGAATTATTGCGTAATACTGGCTTTTTCGTGAATAATACGCAAAGGTTACAACAATGGCTGAAAAGTAAGTACTTTTTAACCTTAAATAATTTCAATTTCAATGGCTCATTTTCCAGGAAAAACGATTCCAAGTTTCCAGACGATTTTCTCTTCGGCGTCAGCACGAGTGCTTATCAAATTGAAGGATCAACAGATGTTGACGGTAATTTATTTTTATATTTCTTGTGTTCTTAAATAAAATTGTGGCCTAAAATGGGATAATGGGAACTGATAACGTGGGACAATACCCCATATTATATGAAGCCAAATCCTATACTATAATAATACTCTGCATAAAGTGGCTATCTAGCCCTTATTAACAAAGGCCACACGTGTTTAAGTGGTTATCTAGCCACTAAAATAGGACACCCCTTGTTGCTAAGCAACCTATTTCTATCCTCTACACGTTTATCCAACGCCAACTTTTCCAGGCAGAGGCGAAAACAACTACGATTTCTACATAAAAACCAACCCGGAGAAATTCAACCACGAGACCGCCCTGATCGCCTGCGACTCCTACAGCAAATGGCGCGGGGACCTGGAGTTGATCAAATCGTTGGGCGTCAACACCTACAGGTTCTCCATCTCCTGGAACCGCATCCTCCCCACCGGCTACGCCAACCGGATCAACCAAAAGGCTATCAAACACTACAGCGATCTGATCGATGGACTGTTGCTCAACGGCATCCAGCCCATGGTGACCATGTGTCACTTCGAGATCCCCATGAGCCTGCAGCACTTGGGCGGCTGGACCAATCGGAAGATGGCCGATCACTTTGCTCATTACGCCGAGGTTCTGTTCAAGCATTTCGGTGATAGGGTGAAGTATTGGGTCACTATAAACACCACCGATTTCGGTTATAGTGATGATATTGGACCGCCGTTTATGAATCAACCGGGTATCGCGAATTACATGTCAACCGGTTGCATGGTGTTAGCCCACGCTAAGGCTTATGAGGTCTACAAGAGGAAGTTCGCACATCAAAAAGGTGAGTTTTTTAACAACTACAGTTTTATTATTAGAGGAATGTGACTTCTAGAATAGATTTAAATAGCAATAGAGGTTTAAATTTTAGGGAAAGTGGGGCTGGTGGTTGACGCGCGTTGGTACGAACCTGCCGATTCTGGAAAGGAACATTTGGAAGCTGCCGAAATTGCACGAGAATTCGAGGTAAGTCGATTGGACACACTCTTGCAAAAGCACCTGAAAATCTGGCCTCTTACTAATCGTTTAATCGCCTACATTCTGCGGTTCTCAATAGGTAGGCATGTTTCTGAATCCGCTGTACCATCCCGACGGGGATTTCCCGGAGGTGGTGAAGCGTCGCGTGGAAACCGTATCGAAGATCGAAGGCTATCCGGAGTCCAGGTTGCCTTCGTTCACGCGCGAAGAAATCGATCTGATGAAGGGCAGTTGCGATTTCATCGGGGCCAATTTGTACACGAGTTTCTTGGTGAAGCGCAAGGATGATTCGCTGTTCGATGGTACTTCGACGCTTCGGGACGAAGGGGCCGAGATTTTCCAGGATCCTTCGTGGAAGGGATCCGCTTCGAGCTGGTTAAAGGCAAGTTGGAATTCGTTTATTTCTGATCGAGCGTTGTTTAATTGGGAAATTTAGGTGCGTCCGGATGGCGCTGTTAAAGTTTTGCAGTGGATTAAGGAGAAGTACAATAATCCTGATGTGTATGTGACGGAAAATGGTTTTTCCGATCTTGGGGGAATCGAGGATATCGATAGGATCGATTATTTGAAGGTGTGTACTTAATTGTAGAATGGAAATATTCTAAAGAAAAACCTCTTTTAAGAGCTACATGAAGGCTGTGTTAGAGGCCATCGACGAGCATCGGGTGGCCGTAAAAGGCTACTTCGTGTGGAGTTTGCTTGATAATTTCGAATGGGCTTCTGGTTACAAGTATAAAAAGTTTTTAAAATTTTTTCTATAATTTCTAATAATTTGTTTTCAATTCGTAGGGAAAAATTCGGTTTGTTCTCTGTAGATTTCACTGATCCCAATAGAGCGAGAACTCCAAAAAAATCGGCATTGTGGTACAGTAAAGTTGTTAAAGAAAGAAAAATAGTGCCATGAAAGAAAGGTAAAAAATTGTATAATTTTACAGATATAAATTGTTTCTCTCGATTACAATAAAACTAAATCTTTCATCATTATTAGTACAATAACATTGAACTTTAAGAATGGTGGCCAAGGAACAACTTATTAAAATAAGTACGAACTTTATTCATACTAAAGATGTCTGATTTACTAAAGTAAACTTAGCAACCCAAAATGAGCGACTCGCATTTTTGAAGCTCTCTAAAATTGTCTACAATGAAGCTAGAAGGATGAAATTCACAGTAGAGATAGCCCCACATCTCGTCTTGAAGTCTACCAAGTAGCATCATCCTCACTCAATTTCAATGGGCGAAACCACCCCTTTGAATAAGACCCTTCAGACTTCATCAAAATTTCGGCTTTGTACATGGTCTCATTCAAAGGGGTGGTTCCACCCTTTATACTTCTAGGAAGATAATGCTACTTGGTAGATTTGAAGATAAGATATGAGGCTATGCTTCTTTAAAATTTCTCGTCCCTACGTTGGCTCTAACCAATTTTAGAGGACTTTAAAAAATTGAGTCACTAATTTCACTGTATCAACACATCCACTGGTATATTTCTATGATAAAATTGAGCTTAAGAACACGAAACAATACAACGCGAATCACCAACGCGTCTTTTCCACAAACTCATTATTGAACCTTCTTTACATACACAGTAGAGGCCACGTGAGGCGGTTCCGTTTTGAACACTATCTCCCCGTCCACTTTGTAATCCTTATAATCTAGCCTGTAAATTTGCTCGAAACCCAACTTCTCCAACGCCCTGGCCGTAAAATAACTGGAACACTCCACCGTCATGAAATCGCATCCGGCCTCTTTGCCCAGCTCCCTACAAACAGATTTTCACAAGCAATTATCACCGTTTCGATTGGTACAATTGGTTATATTCTACCAAGAAGTATCATTCAAAGGGGTAAGAAGCATTAACAAGAAGAGGCTTAACAAGATGTCTCACCAAGAAGTCTTATCAAGAAGTCTTAACAAGAAGTCTCACCAAGAAATCTTATCAAAAAGTCTCAACAAGAAGTCTCACCAAGAAGTCTCATCGAGAAGTCTCACCAAGAGGTCTTACCAAGATGTATTGATAAGGAACTTTACCAGGAAGTCTTGCAAAGAGTGTTTGCTAAGGAGCCTTACCAAGTTTTATTCAGCAATCGTCCAGCCATGCCCATGCCCCTGCAACAAGGATGCACCGCCAGGATCCCCACAGTGATGGCGGTTCGACTTCCAGGGAACCAGTCGAAGGAATTCGAATGCCGGTCGATGTACTTGAGAAAATTCACAATGGTGTGGAAATCCTGGTTACTACTCTGCAAGTTTTCATCGTCCTCGTCCTCGCGTTCGTCCCTTTTCAAAATGGAGCCGATGCTAACGGCGACGATGTTGCCGTTTTGGACCGCCTTCAGGCCGAATCCGCTGGCGAAGTCCTTCAGCAGGTAGTTCTCCAGGTCTTCGTTGATCGGTTTCTCGTCGGTTATGAGGTTTATCGCTCGGTTTATGGGCTCGTCACGCATGAAGTGCTTCCTGACGAAGTTCACCACGTCCCTGCGGTCCTCCGGCTTGATGATTTGCAGCTCGAATTGCGGCGTCATGCTGGAAATTGACTAGAGATATACTTCCTTAAGTAAACTAGCTTTGTGTTTGTATTATTCAATTCACATCAAGTGTGTTAAACTTGGATGTTTCCTCGGTTAAAATAGAAATTCTCTGTGTATGCATAAAGATTTTAGTGCAAGGAAATACTTAAAAAAAATAGAAAATCCATCGGACTTACCCTGTTTTTGCGCAGCGATGTAAGTAATCGTGAAACGAGCATGAAGAATCAATTTAAAAACATTACGTAAATATATTATTTAATTCGCGTTGAGAATTTGAATGACCCGGTTTGTGTTGATGCAATAATGACATGTATAAAAAAATACATGGCCACATAATTAAACAAATATTATTTAAATTTATTTCAATGGTTAAATTTCTCAGACGAGTAGATAACAGACTGCACAGATTTCATTGGGATTTTACTTGAGAAAATTGTAAAGAAACTTACTTATTTTAGTATCTCCTGCTTGTAGCCTACTTATTTGGGATTTTGCTCACGTTTTTGAAGAAATTAATTGCCATTTATTAAATAATTTAGCCGAGATGGAACTCGTTTTCGATAAATTTTGTAATTCTACGCGCACCTAACTGGCTAGGCCAGGAAAATAATTAATTGCTCATTTAAAATGCAAAAAATATATGTTTGATGTGTGTTTTTATACGACGCAGTTTGTTAAATTATTACATAATTAATCAACCGTTAACGTTTTTAGTTTGATAAAAAAATGTTAAGCTGATAAACGGCGCAGAGTTTATTATCTTCCCACGAGAATTGATAACTTGCATCGGTTGCATTCTGTTTAAACGCATTTTTTTAATGCTAATTTTAATTTTTATTGTTGGTGTTTTTTAATTAACAAACTCCCGTTAACAATGCATTTTCCCATAAATTTATACTCGAGTTGAAATGGAGGGTTTAATGCAGTTTTTTAAAGCTTTAATTTGCATTTTGGAAATTGTTTATATGCTTATTTAAAGCTTAATTTTGCAGTAAAAAGCTCTATTTGTAAAAATTTAATGGAATTAAAATTAAAAAAAGGTACAGTAGAACTACCATTATCTATTCATCATCAAGTTCTAATACGAGAAGGATAGCGATATATTTCAACTCGCGTGAAACTGTCAATTTGCCTCAAATAAGTTCTAATTAGAAAAGGATGCACAACTTTAGATAAGCAAGTTCAAATACTATGTTAGATAAAGAAAACATAAACACAGCATATAACAAAGCATAAAATATCCATAAACCCAAAATAAGCTTTATTTCTCTATATTTACTATCAAAAATATAATTAAAATTCTTCTTTTTTTATTTTTTAAAAATATTTTGACATTTAACATAACCTCAATGTTTCGCAATTGAAATGGCAGGGAGTCGTTTGGAAAAAGTCGGGACAATTTACTCAAGGTACTTATCAATTTCATTGCGATTTATCCCGATTTCCCAATTTTCCGTTGCAGAACGACCGGTTTGATCCGTTCGGGGGCCATAAATTGGGCGGATAGGCCGCTTTGGTACGATGTTTACGAAGCGTTCCCGCCGAAAGAGGAGCCCCGTTTCGACAGACCCGCGCCCAATATGACCTTAAAAAAGATATTCTACGAGGAGGACAAGCTGAGAGCGTAAGCCCACTCGCACCGAAAACCTTTCTGCACGCTTAGCGTTCGATTATTTCCAGGATGTTCCACAGGAACAACAAGCACTTGGGTTCCTCCAACATGTTCAACAACAAATACAAATCCTTGACGCAAAAATTCATAGAGGCTTATCGGAAATTGGAGAGCGAAAACCCGGAGTACACGGAGGAAGGGCTGTACAAACGAGCGATCGAGATGTTAAGAAGGGATAAGGAGGTCGATAATCGATCGGAGGAAGAAGTTATTAGCCTAAGCGAGGCGTTTAGGGAAGCTACTGGGAACAGGAGCAAAGAAAAACCCCAAATTGATTTGTCTACTATATTTAAAGAGTGATTTTGGTTAGTAATTTAGTTTTAATAAATGTAGCGTAACGGAATGGAATTAGTATCTGATATAAGCTTTAAGAATCCCTTTTACATATATAAATTTATTAAGAATGTTTATTGTAATTGTAATCTTATTTGTAAAGCTAAAATGAGATCTCGTAAGATCGAAAAATTACCTATTAGTTAGGCAACACAAATTACACATGTGCAAAAAGATCTGTCATTTTGCGTGATCTCGTCCATTTCGATTATTCAGACACCGTAAAATATGGGAACTTTTTTGAGGTTATGGGACTACTAACAAATAAATTTCACGTTTTTTATGTATACATTCCGTTAAATTATTAGCTAATGTTCACTTAAACAAGAAATTACGATGGCCTTATCACAAAAACACAGCGGCAAAGTACTCGTACCTTGGTTTAATAGGTAAGACTAGTTAGAATTAAACATAAAAAAGTGTAATAATTTTGTATGTGTTTGGTAAATTTTTAGTGCTGAATGGAAATGCGTGTGCGATTACGTGATATCCCAGGATAGGAGGAACATGAGAAGAGCCCTAGCAATATTGAATATATGGAAAGTTCGTACACCTTTGCTTTCCGCAGGAGTAGAAGGTACTTTAATATTACTGGAGACTCTAATGTCGGATACAGAAAATTTATCAGAAGTACAAATAGTAGGAAATTACTCTATAACACTTTTAAGGTATGTTGTTTGTTACTCGATAAATTAATCGATATCGATAGAATTTGGACAAATGATGTTTATACATGTCACTTTGACATGACATTGACATTTGCATTTTCAACAAAATAGCTACTTTTAGCGATTGATTTATGAGCTTATATTGCAGGTTTTTAAACATTTGCGCCGGTAATAACAACAAACAAGGTACATTCAACAAAACGGTCTCGAAGAACGATTTACCTTCGTGGTTGATAGACATCCGACATGACATAGCCCACGGGCAAAATTTGCCATCGAAGTCCCTTTTAGAGTTGGCTTTGCGCGAATGCCTCGATTGGGTGATCCAGAAGTACTGGATATTCCATAAAAACATCATCCGAGACTACTGCATCGCGGACGATGGTAAATCGACGGACAACGCGAGGGTTCTGGATTGTTTGAAATTCTACGTTACGTTGAAGTTGCGCTTGTACAACGGCAACAATCTGACCGATTTGGAAGAGTCGTTGAAGGATAAAATTAATTATTTGCTGTCCAAAAGGTTGGTTATTACGATTTTTATTATTTGCTAATGAATTAAAGCTGGCACTGGCTCACTGATTGGTGATTTTTGTATTTAGACACAACCATTCGGTGACCGATACACAAGGAATTATCGTTATATTAGAGGAGTACTTGAAGCAAGTGATTTCGGATTATTCGAACAAACATATAGCAGAAGACTTGGCAAGAGGATTGGTCAAATGGGGGACTTTGAGGACTCGTTTGGAGATGAATGAAAAAGGTAAGAGTACAATTAAGACACTTTTTGGAACTGTTTTTTTGTATTGTTTCAGGTAAACCTGTCATTCCTGCATCATTTAAGGCGATTTGGTTGAATTTGCTGAATATATTTTATGAAAACGAGGGATTTTTGAGCGCCTTTCTCATACAACTTTGGTACATTTTGTGCGATAGCAATAACGAATCGTTCCATAGAATTTCTTCCATTTGGATACAGGATATATTAAATGGTCTCTTGAAATTGAAGCATTTATATAAAACAAAGGAAGATAACGATGAGGTATGTAGAATAAAAACAGAAGAATAATTATTGTTAACTATTATTTTTTCAGAACAATTTTTCCCTTCAAAATAACTCAAAAGAAAGATATCAAGAGTGCATAGAATTCGAATCGATTGAGAAAATAAACTCGGTTAATTTGGAAAACTTCGAGCGGGTTGTTTTAGAGAATCCTCATAGTTATGCAGCCCAATTTTTGAATAGGTAATTTTAGATATCTCTTAATTTACTTACAATTAATATAAAATGAATTTACTGTTTGCAGATTAATGGAGTTTAATAAACGTCCGAAGGAATATAAAATATTTATGAACAGTTTAATGACGAGCATGTTTGGAATTGATACCGAATTGAAGAGCCTTTGTGATTTAAATACACAGGATCTAGCAAACTGCGGAAATATTGATGTAAATATGGAAGATGTTTTGGAAAATAACGGGTTAATTGAGAATGGGAAGAATTCGAATAAAGGAAGATGGTGTGTCTTAAAGGGTAGGTATAAAAATAAACGCAAATGAATTAATTACTAATTTATTATGTATTTTTTTGCAGATAAAACGCAATTCAAACATTGTCCGTTAGGAATTTTACCACATCAAAGTAGAACCAAAAATTTTACTTTAATTAATGAATTAATATAATTTTCTATGTTTAATTAACAAAAAATGTACGTATTTATAATTATTTTGTTTGTATAGCATCATGGAAGATCAAAAGGGCCTTCTTTAATCACAAATTACCTACTAGTTAGGCAACACAAATTACATTTTATAAATTCTATTCGCATGCTTTTTTAGGAAAGTTCCTGTAGGTTAAAATTAATTAACACAATTTTATACTCCTATAACGTGTTTATTTTAATATTCTACCTCTATTCTGTATTTACAGTAGTTAGTTTATTGTAAGAAAAAAATACAAGTGTTTTATATATTTTGAAATAAAGTTTGGTATACATTGAGTTCCTTTTATTATTAATAGAGGGCGCCACGAGTTTGAAAAATACAGTTTCCTGTAATTGGTATTCATTGAGTTCTTTGTTTTATTAGTAGATGGCGCCACCAGTTTGACAATTGTGGCGGTTCCTGCTCCACCTGATCCGGTAACGACTCTGCCGCTAGCCCCGAGAGGGCGTGTGAGTCGCCGAAAACAGCTGTTGACAGTTCGTACTGAATGTTAGAAAAAAGAAGATCCGAAGTCAACTGTCATCTGTCAACCAGAGCCGAAAAGAACCGCTCAATGCTCAACTCATGATTTTTCTTGTTTATTCCAATAATAATTACGTGTTTTTCTTGTGGATACAACAATAAAGTTTGTACATCGTTAAAAGCAGTTTTATGGGACCCCTGTAAACCCATAATTGGTGACCCCGAAAGAACTTAGAAACTCTAAAATACGTGTTGACCTGTGACGTGCCACGTGCTACAAACAATACAAAACTATAACAATTTCGTGCAATAGTGTGCATCGTGTGCCGGTCAATTGGCCCACTCCAGCCGCTTCGTACTGCAAACAAGAACTTATATACCTTTTTTTATTTTTGTCTCGAACAACTAAACTTATACGCAAATTTACAGATTCGAGTGAAACAATAATTATGTCTCGCGAACAACAAGCAGATCCTGTTCCGGAGGATGACTGCCCGTTTCTTCCTGCCTCAAACACAAACCCGGGAGAGCAAGCACAAGGTCACAATCAAAGCTTAATAGGCGAACCACTACTTTTGAGTTCGTACGTACCTTCTATGAATGTCGACGCTGTAGCTACCTGCAGACTGCCTCCTTTTTGGAAGAATCATCCTAACATGTGGTTTATACAAATTGAAGCACAATTTCAATGCAACAAAATCATTTCGGACGGTGCTAAATATAATCAGCTTATCACGGCGTTAGATGCTGAGACGATGATAGAGGTATCGGATGTTTTAAGGAATCCTCCCAGGACGAACAAATACGATCATTTAAAATCTGAAATCATCAACAGATTCACCGATTCAGCTGATCGACAGCTGCATAAAGCTTTAACAGAATTGCAACTCGGAGATAAGAAACCGAGCCAGCTTCTTCGACAAATGACAGCCTTGGCGGGTGACCGAGCAACTGAAGACGTACTACGCGTGCGTTGGTTGGCATTGCTTCCCCCAAGCACTCAAAAAACTTTTAAAAATCCTTCGTTCGACAACGCTGGACGAGCAAGCCAGATTCGCAGATGAGCTATTGGAAACTCAATCAGGTTCTTATGTAATGTCTACCAGCAGGGCCGATAATCGATCATATTCACCCAGCAATGGATTTACAACTTCAATTTTGAACAATCTAGCTCAGGACATGGCGGCGATTAAACTCTCATTATCGGAGCTCATTTCGCTAACCAAAGAACGTGCTGACTTTCGGAATCAAAGAGGCCGCAGTTACAGCCGTGCAAGCTCCAGACCTGCATCACCAGCTCCCAGTCGTATATGCTATTATCACCGCAGATTCAAGGAGAGAGCCAACATGTGTACACAACCGTGCTCCTTCGTACCGCAACCTCAGCCGGAAAACTAAAAAAGCTGTCGTCAATTCAGGCGGTTGGCGACAGCAATAACAACATCCTGAAACAGGAACACCGTCTTCACCTCCACGATAAAAAAACGAATATGAGATTTCTTATTGATTCTGGGTCGGTGATATCATTGGTTCCAAAATCATCTTTTAATACAAGGCTAAAGCAGGATGACGTTCTTCTGTACGCTGCAAATGGTACAACGATTCATACTTACGGTCAAAAAACATTAACTCTTGACTTCGGTTTACGACGGGCATTCAAATGGTCCTTCATTATCGCTGACGTGCAATCTGCCATCATTGGTGCGGATTTCCTCACTTATCATGCCTTACTCTTGGACTTGAAGGGTGGTCGACTCATAGACCCGATCACCTCTTTCACCACAAAGGGCCAAATTTTCCAGGCAGCAGTACATAGTGTTTCGACAATCGACCAAATTAATTCCTCTTCTGTGGAATACAAACCTTACACAGATTTACTGAACGACTACATCGATATAACTAGACCTAACGCTGCACCCACCACCTGCGCAGATAGCTCTGTGGCTCATCATATCATCACAAAAGGACCACCAGTTTTTGAAAGATTCCGCAGGCTAACTGGCGACAAACTAAAAATAGCGAGAGAAGACCTCGACATGTTACTACTCCATGGAATTATCCGTCCCTCCAGTAGCCAGTGGGCCAGCCCGATTCATATGGTACCAAAGAAACTTGGCGGCTGGCGTACCACCGGGGATTATAGAAGCTTAAACTCACTTACTGTTCCAGACCGCTACCCAGTTCCACACTGCGAGGATATTCTTCAGCGACTCCATGGCTCCAAGATCTTCTCCACTATTGATTTGGTGCGGGCTTACTATCAAATACCTGTGAACCCAGACGACGTACCGAAAACCGCCGTAACAACCCCATTTGGACTTTTTGAATTCCTGGGGATGCCGATGGGTCTCCGTAACGCCACACAAACCTTTCAGAGGCATATGGATAACCTTTTTAGGGGTTTGGATTTCGTGGGTTGCTATATTGATGACTTGATAGTGCATTCCGTTTCGCATGAGGATCATCTCAAACACCTTTCTATCGTTTTTTCTATTCTACGAGCAAACAGACTGACCATCAACCCGTCAAAATGCCAATTTGGCAGGACAGAGGTGGCATACCTGGGTCATACGGTGAGCAAAGACGGTTTCCGCCCACCGGAGGAGAGAATCCGGGCCATTGTTGATTTCCCAAAACCTGCGACCGTCAATGACCTACGCCGTTTCCTTGGACTGATGAACTATTATCGCAAGTCTATCAAGGGGGCTGCGAAACTCCAGGCCCCGCTAACCAATTTTTTGAGTGACGCCAAAAAGAAAGACAAACGCCCGATCCCTTGGACAGGAGAGGCCGAGGAAGCTCTAGAGGCTTGCAAGCGTGGCATCATAGAGGCCGTAAGAATTCCATTTTTGGCACCAAACTCGCCTTTGATGCTTAAGACGGATGCGTCTGACACGGCAATTGGTGCAGCCGTTGAACAACTTCAGGACGGAGAGTGGTTACCAATAGCCTTCTTTTCGAGAAAACTTAGCCAGACAGAAACTCGCTATAGCACCTATGACAGGGAGTTGCTGGCAATATTTGCCTCCATCAAATTCTTCCGCTATATACTTGAAGGTAGGTCTTTTGTCATTCAAACGGACCACAAACCGCTGACCTACGCATTTTTACAACGCGCTGATAAAGCCTCCCCGCGACAGCTCAGACAATTAGACTACATTTCGCAATTCACGACTGAAATTATTTACACTAAGGGAGAAGAAAATGTAGTAGCCGACGCGCTTTCTCGAATTAATGTAATAAATATGCCCACAAAGCTAGATGCCGAAACAATAGCCAACGCTCAACGGAACGATGACCAGTTAGCCGATCTGCTGGAAAACACGTCGCTTACCTTACAGAAACTGACAATTGATGGTCACACTATACTGTGCGACGTTTCCAGTGGCCGCATTCGTCCATTTATTCCGTCCAACCTCAGGCAGGAAGCCTTTAAAACCGTTCACGATTCATCTCACCCAAGTGGCAGATCTACGGTCAAACAAATCAGAGAGAGGTACGTCTGGCCAGGAATTAAAAAGGACACTCTTCTCTGGGCTAGGCAATGCATAGCCTGCCAACGTTCGAAAGTACATCGCCATAACCGCACTATCCCAATGCACATCGACGTACCAGATAATCGCTTCGATCATGTTCATCTTGACTTGATCGAACTACCGACCGTCGGAGGCCTACGTTACTGTTTAACCATGATAGATCGTTTCAGTAGATGGCCTGCTGCTGTTCCTCTCGCTAACATATCCGCCGACACTGTAGCTTCAGCTTTTTACAACCAATGGGTTTGTCAATATGGAACTCCGCTCACAATCACCACAGATCAAGGGACCCAATTTGAATCCGCACTTTTCAGGGCCCTTGCCAAGTTAATTGGAGCAAACAGAATTCATACGTCGCCTTATCATCCGCAAGCAAATGGCTTAATTGAACGCTGGCACCGTGCGCTAAAAGCTGCTCTAATGTGTAATTCTCAAACGCCGTGGCCAGACCTTCTGCCAACCGCTCTCCTGGGACTGCGTACAGCTTATAAAGAAGACCTCAAGGCTTCTCCAGCGGAGATGCTATTCGGTGCCCCATTACGTATACCGGGCGAATTTTTTATTTCGGAGGAAACCGAAGCGGACCCACAGTTCTTTTTAGAAAAATTTCGAGAACACATTCGAACCTTAAGACCCACCCCGACAGCCCACCACACGAAGTCCAGACTGTTCATTCTAAAGGACCTGAATACCTGCAGCCACGTCTTCAGAAAAATCGAGGCTGTTAGAAAGCCTCTTGAACACCCCTATTCAGGCCCGCATGAGATCATCAAGCGTCTAAACGACAAAGTATTTATCATCCGCATTAAGGGGGAGGATAAAGCAATTTCTACCAGTCTACTGAAGCCCGCCTACATTACCAAGACTGATGACAACTCCAACCGATCAGACGAGCAAATCACTCCGCAGATCAACCCCACCACGGATATCGACAGGCCAACGAGAACATACGCCCGTGCCAAGAAGGTTTCGTTCCTTACTCCTTCGCAACCTCCTTCGCCGTCTTCTTCGCAGCCTCCTTCGCCGTCTTCTTCGCAAGCTCCCTCGCAAGTCACTGGAGGGGGAGTGGATGTGGCGGTTCCTGCTCCACCTGATCCGGTAACGACTCTGCCGCTAGCCCCGAGAGGGCGTGTGAGTCGCCGAAAACAGCTGTTGACAGTTCGTACTGAATGTTAGAAAAAAGAAGATCCGAAGTCAACTGTCATCTGTCAACCAGAGCCGAAAAGAACCGCTCAATGCTCAACTCATGATTTTTCTTGTTTATTCCAATAATAATTACGTGTTTTTCTTGTGGATACAACAATAAAGTTTGTACATCGTTAAAAGCAGTTTTATGGGACCCCTGTAAACCCATACAATGTTATAAATGCATATGTCGGCTACCGGAGCGCTCAGTAACTCCTTTGCCACGGTAGGGGTATGTTGCTCTTCTTTACGTCAAAAATTTCGACGAGAAACTCAAACACTTCAACTAAATCTTGTATCATGGTACTCATCATAGAAGGAATGTTTGAAATTTTTGTTGATCCGCCAAGCCTCCCCCACCGGTACCACCCTTTGCCTATCTTACTTAAGTAGCCTAAACCTACATCAAGGTGCGCGGTGCGTTTAAGCCGCCATCTATTATATTATTTTAGAACTAACATATTACTTCCCAATTTCTACATTTTGGAGTCAAGTCCTTATCACCTACGGCTATTAAGACCAACGACTTTATGACAATATGCCATTTGACAATGCCGTACTTGGTGCCCAACTTGTAATGTAGCCAGGAGTTGATTTTTACAGGCAACCAAGCCACCCCTTGCAGTAACACTCTATAGCTGCCTTACTTAAATAACATATCCATACGTCAACGTGCGCGATGTGTTAGCAAAACGTTATGGCGCCATCTATTGCATTTATTATCGAACTAACACATACTGCTTGTCAATTTCTTCTTCTTCGATATGTGGCCTCGGCAACTGCGGCTATTCGGTCCAACGACTTACTGTCAATATTCTTCTTCTTTTTCGTATGTTATTGGCCTCAGCTGGCAGGGCTATTCGGCCGTTCGTGACAACAGGCAATCTGACAGTGACGTTTGACGTACAGAGTGACAAGTGAAGTGACGAAGTCGAATTATTTTTTTGTTAACAACAAAAAATATCGATGATAGCATGTAAACAATACCAATTAATTATTGAACGGATTAATTTAGCGAATAATCGATGATGTTATAAGTTCAGTTAGGATGTCAGTCAATCAAAATACGCCGAACAACAAGCTGGGCAAGAGCAAACGAGCCCAAATGACTCGGCCTTCTAGCGGTTTAATCGACTCGGAATTCATTGGTTTACGATCCGACTTGGAAAATGACTCGTACAAAATACGCTTGTACAATTTATTTAGGCAAATAGAGAAGGAATTCGATTTGCTCTATCAGGAGAATCAGAACCGTAAGTTATGCGGAGAGTTGTACCTATAAGTTTTATGTTACCTATTACCATGTTTTTATTTTAGTACACGAAAAAATCGAGTTGCTCAACGAGAAACTAGAAAGAGATGTCTACGATAAACCCGATTGCGTCGATTTCGATACCAATTTCTCCAAGGTTTTGGGAAAGAAACGTAAGTAAAGTATACCGATCGATTCATCACTTCTAGGACCATTTAAAACAGTTCCGAACGATCTCACAACCATCTATAACCGACTTTTTTATATATTTTTAGTCAGCACTTCCGGTCACAAAAACAAGACGGCCCACAAACTGAAAGCCCAAACCAGCAAAATAGTGTCGAGTTTCAAAGCACCCCAATTTACCTTCGGCCTTCTGAGAGAATTCCTGGGCCACAAAGACGGCATTTGGGAAGTCTCAGTAGCACGACCCGGAATACCAGTCATCGGAACAGCATCAGCCGGTAGATCAAAGCTTTTCCGAAGCCCTGTATACTTGGATACAGACGAGCTAGAGACGTGAAATTTACAACAACTGTAGCCTAATATCTTGTCTCGATGTACACCAAAATTTCCTACATTTAAACATCCCAAAGCGGTTACAAACTTTCCCTAAAAATGTTTGTATAATGCCTAATTTAAAAGGATAATTCTAGACGTTAGAATAGAGTAGCGACGATGCTACTCGGTAGACTCCCAAGACAACACATAAGGCTACACTTCGCGTAAATTTCACCTCTCTAACCCCTCGACGAAGCAGAGTAAATAACGCAAATTTATCGTAGACCACACCGCTTGCTTGTGGAGCATAGAAACCTCCAAATGTCTGCTACAGTACCAAGGCCACGCTGGTTCCGTCAACTCGATCAGGTTCCATCCGGCCAAAGATCTGGTCTTAACAGGCAGCGGGGATTCCTCGGCCCACATTTGGCAGGCGGCCCTCAACTGGGATCTACCGGTAAAGTCCCTAATATAAACTAAAACTAATGCTAATGATAACCAAAACAGATGAAACTGTTTACAAGATTTTAGGGTACCAACAATAAGGTTACAGTCTAACAGAAAATAGAGGTAAAACAATGCAAGTTGCCGCGCTATTGTTTACAATTTCCTTCTGATGACTTATTTATTTTTATATCCTTAAAAAAACTAATGTTATTTACATTCTACAACGTGACCGACAGTCTTTTCAGAAGGGCCAATCGTCGGAGGAGGAGCTCGAAAGCGACGAATTGGACGATCGGATCGAATCGAACAAGGCGTCGACGTTGCGAACGCCCTACCAGGAGTTGTCGGGTCATTCGGGCGCCGTTTCGGCCGCCGAATGGTTGTCGGGCGCCGATCAGATCATCACCGCCTCCTGGGATCGATTGGCCATATTGCACGACGTCGAGACGGCTCAGATCGTTACTACGCTAACAGGTAGACGCGTAGAATATTTATCGATCATTAGAATTATTTGTAATTTGATTGTAAATCGAACAGGACACGATCAGGAATTGAACCACGCCAGTACGCACCCAGCGCAAAAGTTGGCTGTGACTTCTTCGAGGGATACCACGTTTAGGTTGTGGGATTTTAGGGAAAACGTTCATTCGGTGTCGGTTTTTCAAGGACACGCCGAGTAAGTATGCAAGGTGTTAATTGAGTGATAACTTCAGGATGTGAATATTTGGATGGTTTTATAAAGAACAGTGAAGTGTAGAAACTACAATGGAGATGCCTCAAAAGTACAGTCGAAAACATGAAAAAGTTATTCGTTTGGTAAATGGAGAGGTTTAAAATCGACCAAAAAATGAATTGGCTGTACATCAATTCGACATTATCGAAAGATTCTATCTACTTTTCACTTTCGAAGCTAATGAAAGCTGCCAAAAATCTGAAATGCCTTAAAACTACAGTCGAAAACATGAAAAAGTTATTCATTTGGTACATAAAGAGGTTTAAAATCGACTAATAAATGAATTAGTTATACAACAATTCGACATTATCGAAAGATTCTATCTCCTCCGAAAATTCACATCCTGATAAATATTCACCTCGCTTTCCCTTACAAAAAACGTCGAAATTGAGCGATACTTCAAGATGTGAATATTTGGATGGTTTTAAAAAGAAAAGTGAATTATGAAACCGACAATAAAGATGCCTCAAAACTACAGTCGAAAACATGAAAAAAGTTATTCCTTTCATAAATAAAGAGGTTTCAAATCGACCAATCCCAGTAGCAATTCACATACACGAAAGATTCTATGCATCTATCTCCTTTTCAAGTCTAACAAAAGCTACCAAAATCAACTGCAACTATCGATCAAATATTCACATCCTGATGAATTATTCCACTCCCTTTCCCTTTAAAAAAACGTAGAAGTTGACCGTCAAACATTCACATCCTGATGAATTATTCTACCCTTTCCCTTTAAAAAACGTAGAAATTGACCGTCAAACATTCACATCCTGATGAACAATTTACCTCGCTTTTCCCTTCAAAACAGCCTCCAAAATCAACTGCAACTATCGATCAAATATTCACATACTGATGAACAATTCACCTCGCTTTTCCCTTCAAAAAAACCTCGAAATTACAGTAAAATTCAGCTAAGTTGAATACACCACCTGTTTTTTCGCGCACAACATCATAAAAGAGGCTGGGCGCAGCCGATGTTTTCGAGGAAAATAACAAATAATGAATTACAAATAAACCCCGACTCGACCTTCGCTGTTATCGGGTATACTGTGGATGGTTCGCCGGTCATACTTTTGGGGTAAAACCACCTCTTTAGTTTCAGCTGTGTTCACTTTACAGCTGTATTCAACTGAGCTGAATTTTACTATAACCGTTTTAAATCCCTTTTTTCCAGGAGCTTTTTACAGCTGCATTCAACTGAGCTGAATTTTACTATAACCGTTTTAAATCCCTTTTTTCCAGGAGCGTCACATCGGCGGTGTTCGCCCGCGAAGACAAAGTGGTATCCAGCTCGGACGATCGCACAGTAAAAGTGTGGGATCTGCGCAACATGCGCTCGCCCGTCGCGACGATTCGCGTCGATTCGCCGGTCAATCGGCTGAGCGTGTCGTCGGCGGGGCTGATCGCGATACCGCACGACAACCGGCACGTGCGCCTGTTCGATTTGTCGGGCCAGCGATTGGCCAGATTGCCGCGCAGCAGCAGACAGGGCCACAACAGGATGGTGGCGGGGGCGGCGTGGGCGGAGGACGGCGTGGCCGGCGTGAATTTGTTCACGGCCGGTTTCGATAGGAAGGTGTTGGGATGGTCGGTGCAGTCGATGAAGGATTGAAGATCGTAGGGGGTGTGATATTGATGGGGTTTTGTTTGTTGGTGGGATGTGGGTTGGTTTTGTTGTAGGTGTATAACGGTTGTTAGACGGTAAAAAGGGATGTTTTAATCGATTTTCTAGCATCAAATTTTTAACCCAAACCTTCCTATCAACTGCTTTTCTTGTCCCACCTCCCCAGAAATTCTTTAAGCAAAGTTAATTTTTGACTACCATTCTTTATGATAAAACTAGAATTTTAATGGAGAATTTGTGGGTTTTTATAGGTCTAAAACGGTCGTTATACGCTATAAAATTCGGCTGTTTTAATCAATTTTCCCGCTTTTTTTGAAAACTATTCGGACGATTTTCCTCAAATTTTTACCAAAAACTCCCCAAATCTTCCTATCAACTGCTTTTTCTGTCCCATCTGTCCAGAAATTCCCTAAGCAAAGTTATTTTTGTGTACAATTCATTATGAAAATATTAGAATTTTAATGGAGAATTTGTTGAGGGATGTGGGGTTTTTTTGTATGTTTAAACGGTCGTTATTCGCTAAAAAGGGCTGTTTTAAACAATTTTGTCGCTTTTTTTGAAAACTATTCGGACGATTTTCCTCAAATTTTCACCGAAAACTCCCCACACCTTCCTATCAACTGCTTTTCTTATCGCGCCTCCCCAGAAATTCCCTAAGCGAAGTTAATTTTTGTGTACCATTCATTATGAAAAAAAAAAATAGAATTTTAATAGGGGATGTGGGATTTTTTTTGTAGATCATTACGCTAATTTTAATCAATTTTCTCGATAACTATTTAAACGATTTTCTTCTAGTTTTCACCAAAAACTCCCCACATCTTTCTACCAATTGCTTTTCCTGTCCTACCTCCCCATAAATTCCTTAAGCAAAATTATACGCAATTGATTAATGTGTACCCCTCATCATGTAGTTTCTATGGAATCTTCAAATAATTTTTTCCTAATTAATTTCTTGGTAATTAACGGCTGCACAATATTCCAATGGAATTTACTGCCTTTATTTTAATTAAATCGATTCTAGTAGGGTAATTGAATGTTAACCAAAACTATACTAATATTAGTATAAAATCCCATTTCGACTGATGCAGCGTATTTAATCAGTTTATTATAAACGAATTATTTCAACTAATGTTAGTTTTTTAACCCAAAAGTGTGATACTTATATAGTATAGTTAGAATTTTAAAATTTAATTCATGTGCAAGGAAACCCGTTAAGCTTGTATTGGGAACTTAATAAGCGTAACAAAACTTTCTTGCAGATAGCGTTGATTAATTATTGTAGTTTTTTTGGTTTTTGTTTGTTATAATAAAATAATTCCGTAAAAAAAACTGTTTTTTGATTTTACCCAACACTTACGTAAATACAAAGTATAATAATTGAAATATCTCATAACCCAAAGTAAGTAGAGAATAACATATTTGAAGCCCTGTAAAATTTTCTAAAAAAAGTAAGTAAAAAATCTTTGCAGTTAAGTGGAGATGATTCTACTTAGTAGTCTTCAAGAGAAGATATGAGAGTATGTCTGATAAAAATTTCACGTCTCTAACTTGGCTGTAGCCAATTTTACAAGGCCTTAAAAAGTGGGTTATTCATTTTGAGGATCAGTGTAGCTGGTCTCATTCAAAGGGATGGTTCCACCCTATGAAACTCAGCGAGGGTGATGCTACTTGGTAGCCTTCAAGACAAGATATAAGACTATATCTGATAAAAATTTCACATATCTAGCTCGACTGCAACTAATAATAATACATGACTTCGACTACACTAATTGTTAGCATAGAAACGAATCAGGTTAAAGGATTTAAAAGGAAGATTTCGATGATAATTTCCAATAACAAAACGTTTCTTTTTCACTGATTTAACCACTCGCTTAAATAACTACAAGCTTTCGGATTAATCGAACCGGTATTGGCGCATCTATTCGCAATAGGACAAATCCCGCAGGTTATTTTAACTATACCAGACGACGGCAGAAACCTATTGGTCGCTTTATACAAATTAGAACCGTTCGCCGCCTTAATTCTCTCCGCTTTATCGTCCAAAACCACCGTATACAATATACTTTCGATATCATCAACCGTCAACGATACTTTACTTATGCCCAACTCCGATATGAACTTGTGCACGTCATTAGCCGTAGCGTAGCTTCTGTTCCTAGCTAGTAAAGGGCCGCCCGGTTTCTTCATGGCCTCCTCGAGCTTTTCGACGAGGTACCTGTGGCATTGTTGGTTCAAAACATCGACGAATTCCGACTCGAAGTCTTGATCTTGGTACCAAGCACCGCCCGTAACGGAACTGTCCGGTTCCAGATCGTAGAGCATGTAGACTTTCTTTTTACTCGCCTGGAAAATCACCATTTATTTTAATAAATATAAGTTATTTATTGCGAGTATACTTACCGATACGGATTTCACGACCTTCACGAGCTTCTTGGTTTCCAAGCTTTTTAATACTTTGTTTAATTGGGTCATGTTTAAATTAGAAGAAAATCTAATGTCTCTTATCCATATACCTTTGTTGCCTGCTTCTTCGATTATTTTGTAAACGACCTTTTCTTCACTATCCGCTCCCTTAACGGTTGATTTATTCGAAGGATCTTTGTATTTGTATAGTAAATTGTCTTTGGTTTTAAACAAGTCGAACGTGCTGTAACAAAAAAGCGACTCGTACACGTTTTATTAATAAAATGTTTAAATATTGTTTACCCATTTCTAAGAAACTTGTTGATTATTGCGGTTATTTCAGTCAGAGGAACGTCGGGTATTTGTTTCTTAATGTCATCGTTGGATATTCCATCTGGATTAGATTTCGCTAAATCCAGTAATTTAATTTCAATTTCACTGAGTTCCGACGATGAGGAGTCTTCAGACATAATTTTCAAAAATTTTTAGCACTAATTTTGTGAGGTTAACTTCGTCTTCTTATTTTATTTACCTGTCAAGTGTCAAAATGAAATTAAATTTTGACAGATTAAAATCGCATCAGCAAGTTCTAATACGACAAAGATAGCAATATATATTTCTTCAACAATTGCTTATAAATAGCATAATAAACAGTTCCAATTAACGAAAGACGCTTAGCTTCGTAATAACTATTTGTTTATTATCTAAATCATAATAGAACTTCAAAATTGCCTTCTTTGAATTACGTAATTGGTTACAAAAGAAAATAAATGGTGAAATGCGATACGTCAAAGTCAAAGCAGATGTCGCTGGTGTCGCCATGTTTTTTTAAATAACAACTTTATTTTTATTTGCTGAATTGAGCGGAACGTGCGACGAAAAATGGCTCTAACACGTGCTTTGTTAGGCGCTGCTAATTTATCGAGATCAGTTAAAATAACTAGCAAAAGTTTTCCAGCATTTCCTCGGCATTTTCACCTGTCAAACTGCGCACTCGCAGGTGAGTTGACATCTAACCTCAAAATACCAAAAAGGTTTAAAGTTTATCACTGTTGAAATGTTTCAAATTATTATTTTATCGTAATGTATCGTTGTTTTTTAAGAACGTTTGTACACCGACAAGCACGAATGGGTGGAAGTTACCGGAAAAATAGGAATCGTAGGAATATCACACTATGCACAGGTAATAAATAATAATTAATTCATCGCTATTATTGTGAAATTGCGCTATCTAAAATCCCCCCCGCGTGGATACCGATGTTACAAATTCACGCATTCTTATCGTAAGGTTATCATAATATTTGTACGAATCCTGTAAACAAACCCAATTTCGAATCGAATACGTAACATATTTTTTTCAATTAATATTTTTAATTGATTAATTTATTTATAGGAAGCCCTAGGAGACGTTGTATACGCCCAATTACCTGACGTAAATACAGTTCTGAAGCAAAAAGGTAATTAGCGCTGTAGACTTGTAGTTAGACTTGTACTTGGTGTTACTTCAGCTACGATAAAACAGCATTATTTACGGAATTACCGCTAAATAAATGCATATTTTTAGATGAATGCGGCGCTTTGGAGAGCGTAAAGGCGGCTAGCGAAATATACAGCCCGATTTCGGGGAAAGTTGTTGAGAAAAATGGCGATGTGGAGGAAAAACCGTCCCTGATAAACACAGATTGCTATGCAAAAGGTTGGTTGTTTAAAGTGGAAATCGAAAATAACGGCGAAATAAAAGAGTTAATGACAGAGGACCAGTACAAAGAATTCCTGAAAACGGCGGAATCCCATTAATTTTTTAATTGTTTTTCTGTAAATAAATAAATACATAGTTGGCGTTGTTGTGCGTTTTTTTTTATTGTTATTTCCCTGCCGAAAATCTGGGAAAAAACGGCACGTGTGAATAAACCTTTTTGGAATATAAAAGAATATATTAAAATAATTCTAACTAATCATTGTGTTATTATACGCGCTCGCCGAATACATATGCAAATATTTTTATTCCCATTCTCATTGTTATCTATTTGTTAGGCTACCGAAGATTCCCGTTTAATGAATTATTTACGTAAGTAGAGCTGAAAAATTCTAAATAACGGTATTCTAGAAGTTTAAAATAGTCCTGAAAGCGTTCTAAATGATTCTGAACTGTTCCAAAAAGTCCCGAATTAGTTCTAAGCTATTTTGGAGAGTTCTAAAGTGTTTCAAATGGTTTTAAACAGTTATAAATTATTCTGGACATTTCTAAATGGTTTTGATCAGTTTTTAATAATTTTAGACAGTTCTAAACGGTTCTAATATCGCCCTAAACTGTTTCAAATAGTACTAATCAATTCTAAAATATTCTAGACATTTCTATAAATAGTTTTGATCGTTCCATCGCACTTAATAATTCAAATTACAATTTCCCTATTACTTTATTAGCATTTGAAGCAATTTGTTATACAAACTACACGAATAAAAAAAAAGGCAACGATGAAAATAACAAGCATCAGATAACTAGATGAATATGCGCATGTAAAAATAGGTAAAACAACAACAATTATACATAGGTAATAAACGGAAAAATAACCGATTAAAAAAAATAACGAAATTTCAATAGAAAATACATGGTTGATGACGATATAAAGGAATGTTCGGAACATGACTCTGATAATGATAATTAACAGGTCAAGTTAATGTTAACGTGAGTTCGTCGGTTTTTTTTTTCGTTATAATTGCATCAGTCTCGTGATCGAATTTTTTTTATCAATCCTCAGTCGAGCCGAAACTTCCATACATAACTTCCACATAACTCGATATCGCCAGATAAAATATAGCCACGATTATTTGGAAATGTTGCACGTTCCATCCGAATTTTATTCAATTCGAATGGACTTTTGTTCGAATGGAGTTTCTATTGCATCATTAACATCAGGAGAGTTTTCTCTCGAAATTGTTTATATATCGATTTGTTTCGTTATCTTTTGGTATTTGGAGTAAATATTGTAGAGATTATTGTTATTCTTATAATAGAATGTAATTTATTGTATAGTGAAGCAATTTTGTACAATTAAGCATCCTTTATGTACAGGGTGTTAATTAATTGAATGCCGATACTTCAGGATGTGAATATTTGGATGATTTTAAGAAGAAAAGTTTTTGAAGAAAAGTTATTTTTTTTCTAAAATTTTAGCACCCTGTAGCTCGAAAACTAAGAGGTTTAGGACATACATTGATAAAAACTTTTCTTCTAAAAATCAATCAAATATTCACAACCTGAGGTATCGGCATTCAATTAATTAACACCCTATATAAAGAATAGAGGAAACAAACTAAAGGAAGGCAAATTAAAATTATATTGCAAAATTGTCCAGAGAAATCACTAAAGTTTGGAGAAACATTTGCACTCAATAAAAATCAAAATTAATTGAGAGATGAATGGATATTCAAGTTCTCCTAGAGAAGAAGAAAATAATAAAAAATCTTTGCAAATAAAACACAGTAGTTTAAGTAAAATTTCCAAAGTTTTAGACCAAACGAGTACCAGTTATGTACAATAATAGAATGTAATTTCTGGTAATTTCTAACCTATTTCTGATCAAATCAATCATCCAACGATTGACTTTACATACTTATACATCATTATGGACGTTTATTGTTCATTTTCTTTACGTAACTCCTCTAATATTCTCCTTGAAATACCCTCGTTCCAATCTTCCACCACGAATCCACCGATTATTTTCGACAATTCCACGGCGCCCGATCGTCCAAAAGCGACCCTGAACTCGGCACAAAATCGTTAGAAACGCGCAAGTTTCACGAAACCCGCGCCGTTTTATTATCTCGACCAGTCCGATTCCCCTTCAGTTTCACACGGATTTCCATCGGTTTCGGTTCGCGTCGCGCCGAACACTCGCCAAGTCGCGGAAAATCCGGAAAAATGCCATCGGAAAAGTCGGTTTTCCAGCCGGACGGGGCCTTGTTCAGGCAGGCCCACGTCTCGTCGGTGGAACAGTACAAGGAAATGTATGAGAAATCGATCGATCGGCCGGAGGAGTTTTGGGGCGAAATCGCCAAGGAGTTTTATTGGGAAACGCCGATCAGTCGCGATAAGTTTTTCCGGTACAATTTCGATATCACCAAAGGGCCGATTTTCACCAAATGGATGGACGGAGCTACGACCAATGTTTGCTATAATTTGCTGGATAGGAACGTGAGGAACGGCAATGGGGAGAAGATTGCTTTCTATTGGTATGTAATGGGGGTTTGCACTATGAAATGCATGATGGGGAAATGTTTTTTTTACGTGATGAAACAAACAGGGTGTTTCTATCTCGATTGGTTTTCGAAATAATTGGGGTTTTCTATGTCGACTACTGGAATTAGTAAGTTTGATATTATTGATATAAAAATTCAGAATATCTCGAAAATTGAGGGGTTTTTGAATATTTTCGATTCTTCAAGAATTGTAGAAAAATGATTTTTCTACAAAATTAACTAAACAGGGTGTTATTACATCAATTAGTTTTCGAGATAATTGGTTTTTTCTATTGAATTACACTATATAATTAGTAATTTTGACTTCATCAATAATCACTCAAAATACCCCGAAAACTAAGCGATTTTTCAAAATTTTCGATTCCTCAAAAATTGTAGGGAAATGGTTTTTCTACAAAATAAAATAAATAGGGTGTTTCTATCTGAATTAGTTTTCGAGATAATTGGGGTTTTCTATTGGATTGTAGTGAAATTAGTAATTTCGTCATCGTCTATAAAAACTCAAAATACCTCGAAAACAAAGCGCTTTTTCGAAATTTTCGATTCCCCAAAAATTGTAGGGAAATGTTTTTTCTATAAAATATAACAAACAGCATGTTTCTATCTTGATTAATTTTCGAGATAATCCCGATTACTTTCTTCAGTTTTTTTTATCCATTCATTTTATTTCACATCATTTCATATTCATTTTTATTTCATTTTATCCATTTTACATCCTTCAATATTTCTATCCTCCTCCAATTTATTAACATTCCTATATTATACACTACAATTTGCTATTTAACAAACAAAAACAAAGTGTTTATTTGCAATGTAAATTAAATATTTATTATTTTATTTACATCGAATTTCACGAGTACTTACGAAAACATCCGCTCAACCAGAAAATTCTCGAATTTGTCGCATTCTTAAATTATCTATCGAAAATAGGAAAAATTTTTTAAAATAATTATTCATATTCCAATGACCGACTTTCTTCGTTTGTCTTACCTACTTTTCTCTATTCAAATTTCGAAATACTTTTTCGAGAATCAAATTATTTTTTGTCAATTATGTAATGCCAATTAAGATGGGAGAAAGTTTATTTACCCTACATTATAAATGCAAATAACTCGTCTGATTATTATCATTAAAAAATGTATTAAACATCATTGGACGTATGCCGAAGGAATCGAAATATTCTCCATACTTTTACATACTATATAGCGTAATTACAGGCAAGTCGCGTGGTAATTTGCGAGTAAAACGTAATTTCAATTAGGTTACCTAATCATTTCGTTTGCAATACGCGCTATTTAAACTACATGCAAATAGAGGAAGGCCAGAGGAAAAATAATAAAAAAGACATCAATTGTTCAATTTTCCAGACAATGCGGATGGCTAATTAAAAAGTAAATGTCAGATAAAAAATATTTATTGTCAAAAACGATGGGTTTTTATACCAGGCCAATTAAAATTTTAACGATTTCTATTCGAATCGGAAACGATTAAATAATTCAAAGTTAATTGAAAGCAATAAAGGTGTACGATCGTTTCGCTAAAAATAATCCGTCCAAGAAATTTTTTCGATTAACTTAATTGAATTTAAATCGTTTTATTTTAGTCTCCTATCGAAAATTCGCCGTCCTTATCCGTTACATTCAATCGCCTATTACCATAACAATAAATTTTAGAAAGGTAAAAATGCCTATCTTTACTCTACCGTAATTTCCTTTTGTTTTTATCGCTGTTTTAATGGTATAATAACAGGTTTTTAAATATTATAGTTTAACTTACAGATAATTACGATAAGTACATATTGTATTTCTACTGGCGACGTGTCCTTGACTTAAGGATTTACTATTATATGAGTTGTATTTTAAAGTGCTATATTTTAAAGTGGCAAAATTTTTTGAAGTGCTATAAAATTGTCTATATCCTTGATATAGAAATGAAATTTTCATCACACATACCCTCATATCTTCTATTGAAGACTACCAAGTAGCATCATCACCACTCAACTCCAAAGGATAGAACCACCCCTTTGAATAAGACCTTCTACATCGTTCCTCAAAATAAATAACCCAATTTTTAACGCCTTGTAAAATTGGCTACAACCAGTCTAGAGATTTGAAATTTTCATCACACATAGCCTCATACCTTCTCTCGAAGTCTACCAAGTAGCATCATCACCACTCAATCACAAAGGATAGAACCACCCCTTTGAATGACACCTTCTACATTGTTCCTCAAAATAAATAACCCAATTTTTAACGCCTTGTAAAATTGGCTACAACCAATCTAGAGACTTGAAATTTTCATCACACATAGCCTCATACCTTCTCTCGATGTCTACCAAGTAGCATCATCACCACTCAATCACAAAGGATAGAACCACCCCTTTGAATGAGACCTTCTACATCGTTCCTCAAAATAAATAACCCAATTTTTAACGCCTTGTAAAATTGGCTACAACCAATCTAGAGATTTGAAATTTTCATCACACATAGCCTCATACCTTCTCTCGAAGTCTACCAAGTAGCACCATCACCACTCAATCACAAAGGATAGAACCACCCCTTTGAATAATACCTTCTACATCGTTCCTCAAAATAAATAACCCAATTTTTAACGCCTTATAAAATTGGCTACAACCAATCTAGAAATTTGAAATTTTCATCACACATAGCCTCATACCTTCTCTCGATGTCTACCAAGTAGCATCATCACCACTCAATCACAAAGGATAGAACCACCCCTTTGAATGAGACCTTCTACATCGTTCCTCAAAATAAATAACCCAATTTTTAACGCCTTGTAAAATTGGCTACAACCAATCTAGAGACTTGAAATTTTCATCACACATAGCCTCATACCTTCTCTCGACGTCTACCAAGTAGCACCATCACCACTCAACTCCAAAGGGTGGAACCATCCCTTTCCCTTTTTACACCTCAACATAAACATTCCAGGGAGGGCAGCCATCCGGACGACTACAGCCGACTAACCTACAAAAAACTCCTCGAAGAGGTCTGCAAATTCGCCAACGTCCTGAAGAGCAAGGGCATCCGCAAGGGCGACCGAGTCGCCGTCTACATGCCCATGATCCTCGAAGCCGTCGTCACCATGCTGGCCTGCACCAGAATAGGAGCAGTTCACTCGCTAGTAGTAAGTACAAATCACGCGGAACCCAACCCATCCACGGGATGCTACGTTTTATTGGACAGTTCGCAGGATTCTCGGCCGATTCCTTCGCCGAGAGGATCCTGGACTGCGAGGCGCGCGTCCTGGTGACCGTCGACGGTACCTGGAGAGGCGAGAAACTCCTCCAATTGAAGGCCATCTGCGATCAATCGATGATCAAGTGCGCGCAGAAGGGACACAACGTCGAAACCTGCGTGGTGGTCTCCCATTTGGACAGGGTCACCCCACCGCAAGGCATGCAGTACAACAGCAACAAGGTAAGTTGATGAGTTTGTTGGTGGGTAACCTGGAAGGTTTTTATAGAAGATTCCTGGACTGTAATGAGCTAAAGATGCCGTAACAAAAACGTTTGTAATGTAGCAAAGGAATGTTGAGCTCCTCTTGCAGTCCAACACAGCAAATAGAAATCCTTTTTGCACAACACCTTAACTCCCCAAACTCTTACAAATCGACTTTAATTGCCCCAAACCTTGCACTTTCACCCACACCAATCCCCATATCCAACTTAAGCTCCTCTTACAGTCCAACACAGCAAACAGAAACTCTTCTTCCACAACACCTGCACCTCCTACACAGTTCTACATCGATTCCAACCAACCCCAAACCTTGCACTTTAACCCACACCAATCCCCATATCCAACTTAAGCTCCTCTTACACTCCAACCCAGCAAATAGAAACCCTTTTTCCACAACACCTGCACCTCCTACACAATTCTACATCGATTCCAACCAACCCCAAACCTTGCACTTTAACCCACACCAATCCCCATATCCAACTTAAGCTCCTCTTACACTCCAACCCAGCAAATAGAAACCCTTTTTCCACAACACCTGCACCTCCAACACAATTCTACATCGATTCCAACCAATCCAAACCTTGCACTTTAACCCACACCAATCCCCATATCCAACTTAAGCTCCTCTTACACTCCAACCCAGCAAATAGAAACCCTTTTCGCACAACACCTGCACCTCCAACACAATTCTACATCGATTCCAACCAACCCCAAACCTTGCACTTTAACCCACGCATATCCAACTTAAGCTCCTCTTACACTCCAACACAGCAAACAGAAACCCTTTTCGCACAACACCTGCACCTCCTACACAGCTGCATATCGATTCCAACCGACCCAAACCTTGCACTCGAACTCAAACGAACCCGTTCCAGACGCCCATGACGCCCGGCCGGGACGTCTACTGGCACGACGCGGTACCCCAAGCGTCGGCCAGCTGCTACCCCGAATGGATGGAGGCGGAGGATCCGCTCTTCGTGCTGTACACCAGCGGCTCGACGGGGAAGCCCAAGGGGGTGCTGCACACCACGGCAGGTTACATGCTCTACGCCGCTACCACGTTCAAATATGTCTTCGACTACAAACCCAACGATGTCTATTGGTGCACCGCGGACGTGGGATGGATCACCGGGCATACTTACGCGGTTTACGGGCCTCTTGCTAACGGGGCTACCAGCGTTTTGGTGAGTGTGAAGTTTGCTACAGGCGGTCGAAAATCGTTCGGGTGCGTTCCGAAGCTTTCCGAATGGTTCCGGACGGTTGTAAATCGTTCTACAGATGGGTAAATTGCGGTTGTAATTCATTACAAATGGTTCTAAATTGTTTTGAATGGTTTTAATTCGTTCGGGTTTATTCTGAAGCATTGTAAATGGTTCCGGACGGTTGTAAATCGTTCTACAGATGGGTAAATTGCGGTTGTAATTCATTACGAATGGTTCTAAATTGTTTTAAATGGTTCTAATTCGTTCGGGTTTATTCTGAAGCATTGTAAATGGTTCCGGACGGTTGTAAATCGTTCTACAGATGGGTAAATTGCGGTTGTAATTCATTACGAATGGTTCTAAATTGTTTTAAATGGTTCTAATTCGTTCGGGTTTATTCTGAAGCTTTGTAAATGGTTCCGGATGGTTGTAAATCGTTCTAGAGATGGGTAAATTGCGGTTGTAATTCATTACGAATGGTTCTAAATTGTTTTGAATGGTTCTAATTCGTTCGGGTTTATTCTGAAGCTTTGTAAATGGTTCCGGACGGTTGTAAATCGTTCTAGAGATGGGTAAATTGCGGTTGTAATTCATTACGAATGGTTCTAAATTGTTTTGAATGGTTCTAATTCGTTCGGGTTTATTCTGAAGCTTTGTAAATGGTTCCGGACGGTTGTAAATCGTTCTGGAGATGGGTAAATTGTACTGGGCGGTTATAATTCATTGAGAATGGTTCTAAATTGTTTTGAATGATTCTGATTCGTTCGGTTGCGTTCTAAATTGATCTGAACTGTCCAAATTCATCCAGAAGCTTCCTAAATTGTTCTATAAGGTTTAAGTTTCGGTAATATTATAATATTTTCAGATGATTTAACATGTAAATTGGACTAATCTATTAGAATATTTTCCAATTGGGCTCGTGTTTATAAATAATAAATAACGCACGTAAAACAAACATTGAAATCAACAGAATGACGACGCGGAATAGCCGCCTTTGTTTTGGGTACCTAATTAACTTTCTCCGCATTTGCGTAAATTGTTATTTTTCGTCGTGTTTCCTGTGAATTTTTCGATACTTTTTCGAATTAAAATGCAACGCTTTTAACAGGTAATCGTTTTATTGTTTATTTTCCAGTACGAAGGAACGCCGTTTTATCCGGATAACGACAGATTTTGGGTGGTAGTGGATAAATATAAGGTCAATCAATTCTATACGGCACCCACAGCTATCAGATCTCTAATGAAATTCGACGATAATTTAGTTACAAAGTAAGTCATTCGCTCAAATAATTAATTAAATTCCACCTCTACTCAGTCACTTAAAGACTCATCTAAAACTTTTATTGGCTGGTAAAAGGATTGACTAAAAATCGAGCACTGTAATTGGCTAGACTCTGTGACGTAACGACTCATCTTAAACTCTTATTGGCTAGTAAAAGGATTGACTAAAAATCGAGCACTGTGATTGGCTAGACTCAGTGACATAAAGACTCATCTAAAACTCTTATTTGTTTATAAAAATACTGACTAAAAATCGAGCACTGTAATTGGCTAGACTCTGTGACGTAACAACTCATCTAAAACTGTTATTGGCTAGTAAAAGTATCGACTAAAAATCGAGCACTCTAATTGGCTAGACTCAGTGACATAACGACTCATCTTAAACTCTTATTGGCTAGTAAAATGATTGACTAAAAAAGAAACTTTGTAGTAGACTGAGAGACTTTTCCCTGAATTCTCTTTAATAAATATTTGTGTATTTGTATTATAGGCACGATTTGTCGTCGTTAAGAGTATTGGGTTCGGTAGGGGAACCCATAAATCCGGAAGCCTGGCATTGGTACTACAAATTAGTGGGTAAGGAAAGATGCTCCATAGTGGATACTTTTTGGCAAACGGAAACCGGAGGACATGTACTCACAACTTTGCCCGGAGCGGTACCCATGAAACCCGGAGCAGCTGTAAGTACCCCTGTATTTTTATCTACTGCATCTTTTCAATGTAAATTTCATCGATTAAAAAATTGGGGGTATTTTTAATCGGGTTTTCTCTAGGGTTTCCCCTTCTTCGGCGTCCTTCCAGTGCTTCTGGACGAATCAGGAAAGGAGATAAAAGGAGAGGGCGAAGGTTATTTGGTGTTCTCGCGTCCATGGCCTGGTTTGATGAGGACGCTGTTTAACAATCACGATCGATACGAGACGACTTACTTTACGAAATTCCCCGGATATTATTGTACAGGAGACGGTGAGTTTTTTTATTTTTTTCTTTTCACGAAAAACTTCCTTATGTTTTTCTCTCACTACTTTTACTCTCCCTCTCACAAATTGTTCTGAAGAGACCTAATTCATTCTGAAGCTTTCCTAAATCATTCTGAAACATTCTAACTTATTCTGGACAATCCTAATTCATATTGAAGCTTTCTAAATCATTCTGAATGGTTCTAATTCATTCTGAAGTTGTTTTGAAGAGAGCTAATCCATTCCTTATGTTTTACTCTCACTTTGAAAATCCTACTTTTCACACTATTTCTCGCGAGGAATAATTATAATAGCGTTGTTGCCATAGCTCTGTTTATTCAGATAATTCAGGAAATATGCTCGATTACATTCGATTATTACGCGTTTCAATGTGACTTTTATGTAAGTTTTCGATAACCTTCTAAGTAAGAAAAAAAATATCTAAATTAATATCGCCCGAAATAATAATTTCAGATAATAATATTATAATATAATTGCGCGTATCCTTCGAAAATTGGCGTAAATAATTCGAACAAAACGACACCAAATTGGCTTGTTATCGTCAAGGAGGCTGATAAAATATTAAATCTACCGGTTCGTAAATGAAATAAAATTGCACGATTACAATCGATTTTTTTTTAACCCGGTAATCTACTTTATTTGTGAATAGTATTTTTCCTGTCGATTCCTTTTGAAATATATTGCACAATATTTCGTTTTCTTCGATTTTCTGCTAAATTTTCTGCTAAATAATTTAGTTTTAAGTTTTCTAAATTGTACCGGACAGTTATAATTCATTTTGAAGCCTTTAAAATTTTTCTAAATGGTTCTAATTCATTCTGAAACATTCTACATTGTCCTGGATATTCATAATTCATTTTAAAGCTGTCTAAATTGTTTTGAAGGGTCCAAAATTTATTCTAAAGCTTTCTAAAATGTTCTGAAGAGATCTAATTCATTCTGAAGCTTTCCTAAATCATTCTGAAGCATTCTACATTGTTTTGGACGGTTTTACTTCATTTTGAAGCATTCTAAATTGTTCTAAATATATCTAATTCATTCTGAAGCTTTCCTAAATCATTCTGAAGCATTCTAAATTAGTCTAGACAATCCTAATTCATATTAAAGCTTCCTAATTTGTTCGAAGAGTTCTAATTCATTCTGAAGTTTTCTACATTATTCTAGACAATCCTACTTCATTTTGAAGCTTTCTAAATTGTTCTGAAGGGACCTAATTCATTCTGAAGCTTTCCTAAATCATTCTAAAGCATTCTAAATTATTCTAGACAATCCTAATTCATTTTGAAACTTTCTGAATCGTTCTGAATGATTCTAATTCATTCTGAAGCATTCTACATTGTTTTGGACAGTTTTACCTCATTTTGAAGCTTTCTAAATTGTTCTAAATATATCTAATTCATTCTGAAGCTTTCTTAAATCATTCTAAAGCATTCAAAATAATTCTAGACAATCCTAATTCACATTGAAGCCTTCTGAATGCTTCTAATTCATTCTGAAACAACCTACATTATTGTAGACAATCCCACTTCATTTTGAAGCTTTCTAAATTGTTCTGAAGAGATCTAATTCATTCTGAAGCTTTCCTAAATCATTCTAAAGCATTCAAAATAATTCTAGACAATCCTAATTCACATTGAAGCCTTCTGAATGCTTCTAATTCATTCTGAAACAACCTACATTATTGTAGACAATCCCACTTCATTTTGAAGCCTTCTAAATTGTTCTGAAGAGACCCAATTCATTCCGAAGCTTCCCCAAATCATTCTAAACCATTCCTAACTCATCCTGAACAATCCTACTCAACCCGAACCACCCCAAACCCTCCCCAACCCCATCAACCTCTCTTCCACCACACCAGACACTTCGCCTCATCACCTTCTCGTTCCAGGCGCCCGTCGCGACGCCGACGGCTACCTGTGGGTGACGGGCCGCGTCGACGACATGCTCAACGTCTCCGGCCATCTCATGTCCACCGCCGAAGTGGAATCCATCCTCGCCGAGCACCCCGGCGTCGCCGAAGCCGCCGTCGTGGCCAAGCCGCACCCCGTCAAAGGCGAATGCCTCTACTGCTTCGTGACGACGACGGCGTCGGCGTCGTTCGACGGGCGGCTCGTCGCGGCGCTGAAGCAGACGGTGCGCGAGCGCATCGGGCCGTTCGCGCAGCCCGACGTCGTGCAGGAGGCGCCGGCGTTGCCGAAGACGCGCTCGGGGAAGATCATGCGCAGGATATTGAGGAAGATCGCTGTGAACGATAGGGACGTGGGGGACGTTAGCACGTTGGCGGACAGCTCGGTGGTGGAGATGTTGTTCGCTACGAGGCCGCAAGGGGCTTGAATTTTTCGATTTTTGGTTTATTTGTTTTTTTTTTCTTGTTGTTGTTTTTTATTGCAAAGTTGTTTCGGACGGTTTGTATGTGTATAAGTAGGTCTGGATGGTTGTGAATTCTGAAGGGTTCTGAATTTGTTTTGAACAGTTCTAAATTCAATTTGAAGCATTATAAATTGTTAAGAACAATTCTAAATTCACTTTGAAGTATTTTAAATTGTTCAAAAGTGCTCTAAATTCATTTTGAATAGTTCAGAATAGTTCTAAATTCATTCTGAATCATTACAAATAGTTCAGAACAATTCTAAATTCACTTTGAAGTATTTTAAATTGTTCAAAAGTGCTCTAAATTCATTTTGAATAGTTCAGAATAGTTCTAAATTCATTCTGAATCATTACAAATAGTTCAGAACAATTCTAAATTCACTTTGAAGTATTTTAAATTGTTCAGAAGTGCTCTAAATTCATTTTGAATAGTTCAGAACAGTTCTAAATTCACTTTGAAGTATTTTAAATTGTTCAGAAGTGCTCTAAATTCATTTTGAATAGTTCAGAACAGTTCTAAATTCACTTTGAAGTATTTTAAATTGTTCAGAAGTGCTCTAAATTCATTTTGAATAGTTCAGAACAGTTCTAAATTCATTCTGAATCATTATAAATAGTTCACAACAATTCTAAATTCACTTTGAAGTATTTTAAATTGTTCAGAAGTGCTCTAAATTCATTTTGAATAGTTCAGAACAGTTCTAAATTCACTTTGAAGTATTTTAAATTGTTCAGAAGTGCTCTAAATTCATTTTGAATAGTTCAGAACAGTTCTAAATTCACTTTGAATTATTTTAAATTGTTCAGAAGTGCTCTTAATTCATTTTGAATAGTTCAGAACAGTTCTAAATTCATTCTGAATCATTATAAATAGTTCGGAACAATTCTAAATTCATTCTGAAGTATTTTAAATTGTTCAGAAGTGCTCTAAATTCATTTTGAATAGTTCAGAACAGTTCTAAATTCATTCTGAATCATTATAAATAGTTCACAACAATTCTAAATTCACTTTGAAGTATTTTAAATTGTTCAGAAGTGCTCTAAATTCATTTTGAATAGTTCAGAACAGTTCTAAATTCACTTTGAAGTATTTTAAATTGTTCAGAAGTGCTCTAAATTCATTTTGAATAGTTCAGAACAGTTCTAAATTCATTCTGAATCATTATAAATAGTTCACAACAATTCTAAATTCACTTTGAAGTATTTTAAATTGTTCAGAAGTGCTCTAAATTCATTTTGAATAGTTCAGAACAGTTCTAAATTCATTCTGAATCATTATAAATTGTTAAGAACAATTCTAAATTCATCCTGAAGTATTTTAAATTGTTCAGAAGTGCTCTAAATTCATTTTGAATAGTTCAGAACGGTTCTAAATTCATTCTGAATCATTATAAATAGTTCGGAACAATTCTAAATTCATTCTGAAGTATTTTAAATTGTTCAGAAGTGCTCTAAATTCATTTTGAATAGTTCTAAACAGTTGAGAACAATTCTAAGTTAATTCTAAAGTACTTTAAACGGTTCAGAACAGTTTTAAATTCATTTTGAGTTGTTCTAAATAGTTCATAACAGCTCTAAATTCATTTTAAATCATTCTACACAGTTAAAAACAATTGTAAGTTCATTCTGAAGTGTTTTAAATCGTTCAGAATAGTTCTAAATGCATTCTGAAGTATTTGAAATGGTTCAGAACGGTTCTAAATTCATTCCGAGACGTTTTAAATAGTTCAGAACAGTTCTAATTCATGCTGAGATTGATAGACCGAAGATCGATATACCAAATTTATTTATTCTACATTAGAGAAAGAAGACTAAATGCAGCCTTGTTTAATCTTCTTTAAATTGTTATAATTTATTGATGATTGTTCATTTTCTTATAAATGATATAAATATTGTAGTAATATTTATCAAACAACAAAAAGTACCTACAGGATTGCTCATTGGTCTTATTCTTCTCGTGACGTCAGCAAGTTTATTGAGATATTTTGAGATTGAGCAATCCTTAGGGAAAAAAATAATTTGAGGCTCAAATTAAGCCAGCTTAAATCGGAATTGTTGAAGGTATATCTGACTCGGCTAATCAATAATTGATATTCTAGTCTACTCGCCTATAAATTAATTTATCATTTTGCGTTAAATGTGGAAGAAGAGATAATAATAGATAATAATGAATAAATTTTAAGAGCGGTTTTCGAGGCGCAAAGGCCCGTACCGACGATCCCAAATTCGGCAGAAATTATTGAATATTGTACTCGTAAAAATACTAGATATTAATTAATAATCGGATATATAGTTTGAATGGATATGATTGCAATAAGATGTAGGAGCAAAAGAGTCGTTATAGGTAATAGAAGCACAAATAAAAAAAAAAACAAGTAGTTTTAGATCAGGAAAATGCGACTGAGCGCCAGATGAATTCGGTTAGATTTTCTTTGATTGTTTTTTTTTTATAAAAAAATATTTCAGTTGTCGATTATTTTTTTAAACCCGATGACGAAACCGACGAGAAAGGTGATAGAAACGATATTTTTGTACGACGACTTTCGACGAGGAAATAATTATTTTTTTAAACGTTCAATTTTCGTAGCTTATAAGCTTTTTATTGTTATATTTAATTTAGCGTTTGTATATAGACGAGAATTATAACGAATTGTTTTTAGAAAATTTAGAAGTATAAAAGCCTTCATCAAACATATCATTCCCAATGTTTAGCGTGTAAATTAACATTGCAAAATAAACGTTTGTTGATGTATGTAAATGTGTAATTATTTCGTTTAAAACTATTCCTGCAAATTTCGAGAGAAAGTTCTACTATTATCTAAAGGTTAGGCAACACTCATTACATTAAAAATGCTGGTTTTTTTGGGAGATATCCAGCTTTGAATAACTCGCTAAAAATCTTAATAGAATTATAAACATTTTTATTTTTTATAGAAATTCGCATTTATAAGTATCCCTACTAAGGCCTTATAGATGTCAAATGTCTCTATTTTTCGCCAATGAGAAATCTAGTTAGCGACCTTGTCAAGAATTTACTATGATTTACTATTTATTTTACTATAGTGTATCGATTTGAATGGAATTCCATCGGAAGACGATTGCAAAACTGCACGTTTCTTCTTTTTCCTTTAAATTTTAATGGCCGAAACAAATTTATGAATGGATTTCCACCGGAAGTTCGAAAAAGTTTTTAAACTTCCGTTTGAAAAGCGAGTGGTGGGGTTAGAATTTGAATGGAAGTGACATTTTAGTCAAATTGGCGTGAAAAGTAAAATTTATATCGCAATGTAATACAGAGTGAGCCAAACAAAAATGGCAATTTATTAGAAAATGATTCTCTAATACAGAGTGAGCCAAACAAAAACGGAAATTTATTAGAAAATAATTCTGTAATACAGAGTGAGCTAAACAAAAATGCCAATTTAATAGAAATTGATTCTATAATACAGAGTGAGCCAAACAAAAACGGAAATTTATTAGAAAATAATTCTGTAATACAGAGTGAGCTAAACTAAAATGCCAATTTAATAGAAAAAGATTCTACAACACAGAGTGAGCCAAACAAAAACGGGAATTTATTAGCAAATAATTCTGTAATACAGAGTGAGCTAAACTAAAATGCCAATTTAATAGAAAATAATTCTGTAATACAGAGTGAACTAAACAAAAATGCCAATTTAATAGAAAATAATTATATTATACCTAGTGACCCAAGCAAAAACGGGAATTTCATAGAAAATTATTCTATAATACATAGTAAGCTAAACAAAAATGCCAAAATGTTACAAAATAATTCTATAATACACAGTGTGCCCAAAAATTACCGTAATGCTATTAAGTTTTGCGTTAAACACACGCTTTTTTGACATTCCAAAGCCTACTAAAAAAAATCGAAAACAAATACCCGAAAAACCCTCAAACTTATAACTAACCCACCAAAAAAACCTTCCTGCAATTCACCAAACTCCAATTCCACACCTTCCTTCCATCAATCACACCTACTCCAATCCTCGACATTTCCCTCTATTATTGACAGTTGACATAAACCGTCAACATATCAACAACATTTCAAGCATGTCTCAGCGAGTACCGAAACCAAATTACCAGCGTTAGAACGATGAGCATCGAACGCAGGGACGTGCGCGAATTCAAAGCCTTGCAGACCATGGTCGAATGTCTCTGCCAGTTCGTCCTGGCCTCCAAGGACGTCGTCGAGATCATGAGCCAGAAGTACCCCGACGAAAGCAGCCTCAGCCCTTCGGAGGTCGAGGACCTCGAGGAACCTCCAGCGCAGCTACCGAGATCTAAAGGTGAGTGTTCAAAGGATCTTGGTGGTGATGATTCGATGGAATTCCGTAGATGATTTGGAGCAGATCCATTTGAATCCGGAGTTCGGCGTGGAGTCGGTGGGAAGGTTGAACGGAGACGAGGAGAAGAGCCTGAGCAACGAGCGATTGGAAATTGTGGAGAGCAAGGAGGAGAAGGAGTTTAGAGATAGGCAATACAGGTTGACGAAACGAGCCATATCCAGTCGATACAAACCGAAGGCTAGGAGTGTGGTTACGGCCGCTGGGTGTCCAGATGCAGGTACAAACTGATCTCTTTTGAACCATTTATGAACCTCTGGTTGATCCTTCAAATATTTCAGCCAGCATTTGGAAGGGTCTTTCACCTCTTTTGATTCATTTATCAACTTCTAGTTGATCGTTTCCAAGGTTTCAGACATAATTTGGAAGGATCTTCCACCTCTTTTGAACCATGTATATTAACTTCTAGTTGATCTTTCCAAGGTTTCAGCCAAAATTTAAAAGGATCTACCTCTTTTGAACCATTTATCAATTTCTAGTTAATTCGTCCAAGGTTTCAGACAGAATTTGGAAAGATCTTCCACCTCTTTTGAACCATTTATTAACTTCTAGTTGATCTTTCCAAGGTTTCAGCTAGAATTTGTAAAGATCTTCCACCTCTTTTGATCCATTTATCAACTTCTAGTTGATCCTTTCAACATTTTAAGCAGAATTTGGAAGGATCTTCTACCCCTTTTGATCCATTTATTAACTTCTAGTTGATCCTTCCAACATTTCATTTAGATTTTAAAAGTATCTTCAACATCGTTCAAACCATTCACCATCTGGTGTTCAAAATATCACCAGAAAGCCTACTCTTAAGAAGCCAGTTATCTTTTCTCTAATCGATATTTGTACAAACTCTCTAAAATAGCAGGAATTTTAGAGAAATTGTTTCGTGCTAACCTTGCACTGAAGAAGCAACTACAACAAGATGGCGAGGAATCGAAGGATTTCGAGAAATGTCGCGTCCCTTTCAAACTCGATGGTAAAGAAAACCGATGATAAAAATACAAGCAAAGCAATGTAACATGTAACGTCAATAAAGTTCCTATATTTTTTTAACTGACAATTGTTTTTTTTATTAATTAAATAAATAATCCCACTTCTGATTATCCTTCTAAATTGTTCTATATTGTCATTGATTGTTTTTGATAGTCCTGGAATTGTTCTGGGCAGTTCCAATTCAATCTGAAGCATTCTAAAATTGTTCTGAAGGGTTCTATTGCGTCATGAAGTTTTATTCTGGACAGTTCTAATTCATTCTGAAGCGCTCTGAATTGTTTCTGGATAGTTCTAATTTCTTCTGAAGCATTCTAAAATTGTCTTGAAGGGTTCTATTTCGTCATGAAGCTATATAAAGGGTTTTGAATCATTATGAAGCTTTCTAATTTATTCTGGACAGTTCTAATTCATTCTAAATCGCTCTAAATTGTTTCTGGATAGTTCTAATTTCTTCTGAAGCATTCTAAAATTGTCTTGAAGGGTTCTATTTGGTCATGAAGCTATATAAAGGCTTTTGAATCATTATAAAGCTTTCTAATTTATTCTGGACAGTTCTAATTCATTCTAAATCGCTCTAAATTGTTTCTGGATAGTTCTAATTTCTTCTGAAGCATTCTAAAATTGTCTTGAAGGGTTCTATTTTGTCATGAAGCTATATAAAGGGTTTTGAATCATTATGAAGCTTTCTAATTTATTCTGGACAGTTCTAATTCATTCTGAATCGTTCTAAATCGTTTCTGGATAGTTCTAATTTCTTCTGAAGCATTCTAAAATTGTCTTGAAGGGTTCTATTTTGTCATGAAGCTATATAAAGGGTTTTGAATCATTATGAAGCTTTCTAATTTATTCTGGCCAGTTCTAATTCATTCTGAATCGCTCTAAATTGTTTCTGGATAGTTCTAATGTCTTCTGAAGCATTCTAAAATTGTCTTGAAGGGTTCTATTTTGTCATGAAGCTATATAAAGGCTTTTGAATCATTATGAAGCTTTCTAATTTATTTTGGACAGTTCTAATTCATACTGAAGCGTTCTAAATTGTTTCTGGATAGTTCGAATTTCTTCTAAAGCATTCTAAAATTGTCTTAAAGGGTTCTATTTCGTCATGAAGCTATATAAAGGGTTTTGAATCATTATGAAGCTTTCTAATTTATTCTGGACAATTCTAATTCATTCTAAATCGCTCTAAATTGTTTCTGGATAGTTCTAATTTCTTCTGAAGCATTCTAAAATTGTCTTAAAGGGTTCTATTTCGTCATGAAGCTATATAAAGGGTTTTGAATCATTATGAAGCTTTCTAATTTATTCTGGACAATTCTAATTCATTCTAAATCGCTCTAAATTGTTTCTGGATAGTTCTAATTTCTTTTGAAGCATTCTAAAATTGTCTTGAAGGGTTCTATTTTGTCATGAAGCTATATAAAGGGTTTTGAATCATTATGAAGCTTTCTAATTTATTCTGGACAGTTCTAATTAATTCCGAATCGCTCTAAATTGTTTCTGGATAGTTCTAATTTCATCTGAAGCGTTTTAAATTTCATATCGATCCCACTTCTGGTGTTCCGCGATCCCGTCAATATCCCATCAAAATGCACGAATGTTATTTTCGTAAAATTTAAGCGAGACGTACTTAAGACGCGTACGCGTCGCGGCGTCGACGTCGAGGCGTCGCTTACGGACTTTCTCGCTCTCGCTTACACAGTAATTTTAGAAATGATAATAGAAAATTTTCGAACGCCAGACCGTCGAGTAGGCGCTGATTTTTCGGCTACATTTCGACGCGCTTTCGTCTCGTAAAAAGTGTTTTAAATTTTATCCGAAAATTCACGAAAATTGTTAATAAATAAACGGGGGTTTTTATTTTTGAAAATTTAAGGATGAACGGTAAGGGGATGAGGAGGAAGAAATCCTCACTGTCGGAGGTCAAGGTGGCTGTGATTGGAGCACCGGGGGTTGGTAAAAGTGGTAAGGATTTTTTTATCTAATTTATTTATTTCATAATTTTTTATACAACCGAATTTTTTTGTTGTAAATTCATATATGTTTACCTAAGTAAATTATCAAATAATTGGCAATAGAAATTTCTGTTTTGAAAAAATTTTTATTAATAGATCGACCATGCACGAAGGCCGATCCTTTTCAAAAATCACGTGTCAGATATTATTTTCTAATAATTTCCGTAATGTCGTAACATATTCTAAATTAATAACATGCAATTATTACTATTTTTTTTGTTATTTATTATTAAACACTCGCGATTTATTTATCCGATAATTTTAGAGTACACAAACATAGCGAATATATCGCTTGAACCTCGTAAAATTTTTTCCTTCTTATTTCTACAATAACATTTTATTATTACCTAGCGAATTTTCATCGGCATCAAGGTCGCCGCGATTCCGGAATGTTTTCTTTAATTTATACTTGACCCATAAGTGTATAAGTGCAGCTTTTTTTTTAAATAGATCGTTGCGAAATGACTTGCTCGGGTTTCTCCATCACCAAATTTTTCTCTTCATCCGCGAAAACGCGAAAACAAAACATTTAAAGTGCTCCAGTGGCGTACCCGACGAATTTCTCGCGTTGGTAACGAACGAAAATCCCCAAAAAAGTCACTAGATACTCACAGGATGGCAACTTTGGATTTTGACATGTGTCAAAGCGAATATTGCAGGTTATGTTTTATTTCGATATGGAAAAATGGAATAATTCGTGCGCCGACTATGCAGGAAACCGGCCAAACAAAAGAGTCTTGGGGGGATATTTTTAAATTCTCAATGCACCGGCGATTCCTTGTTAATATTTTTATTACAAGCCATAAGAAAATGTGTGTTAGTAGGTCTAGTATAAAACGATTTAAAATTAAATTATCGGTAAATTCGAGGGCGCGTTTGGCGTTAAATTAATTAAATCTAATTATAAATGTTGGAGAATGTGGCTGGGCGAAATGGCGATGGGTAAAAATAGTTGGTAAATCGTCGTAATTTAACAGCCAAAAAAGATGAGGAATTTTTGGCAAAAGGAAATTCGGGCGAATTAAAATTTCCGCGGTTTTCGATTTATCGCGTAATTAGCCCGGATTAATATTCAACGCCCGGTGGAAAATTAATTTGATGCCTCTTTAAAATGGCGTAGCTCGTAACTGTTACAAAATAACCGGTTATAAAGTAACAGATTATAAAATGATGGTTCTATAAATTCAATTAAAATTTTGGAATGAGTTAATAGTTATAACTTTAATTTGTAGTGAAAATTTCGAGCTTTAATTAACCTATTTTCTCCCTAATTTTTAATAGATTCAGTTAGTTTGGAAAAACTTTCATAACAATGACAAAGTTTTTGAGCTATTTTAATTTTTCGTAAAATTAAACAAGCAATCAAAAAAACAAAAAAAATGGGTCAACTGGGATTTCTTTGATGCTTCGAAAAAAAAACATCCTCGTGCAAAAAAAATAATCCAAACAAATTGCTTACCAGATGTCCAAACAATATTTAAACGATACTTAAATACCCAATTCAAAAACTATTATATTTTTTATTCGATGCGAGTTATTATAAATATTTGAAGCCGGTTTTATTAAAAGTAAACATATAAACGATCGAACGAAAAAATAAATACGTAAATAGAGATGGGAATTGTTAAAAAAATTCCAGTTATTTTTCTCGTCATTTTCATGGGATTGTTAACTCTAATCATAATAAAATCGACCTTCCATATAATTTCAATGCCAATAAATCGTAAAAATTTGATTTATGCGCGTGGATCATAAAATTATATCGATGAAAAAGAATTAAAATCAACAAAAAATCGCCTACCTACAAATGTTTCACGTTACATATTCTCTATATTTAAATTAAACAAATTTATTTCAATTCGAAATTTTCAGCGCTTTCAATCTATTATTATATAACTCTATTTGATATTTAATTAACAATTATTTAGAATACGCTTTGATTTGTTTGTTTAATTTTACAAAATTGCTTTCGATAATTATAATAATAATAATATTCTGGTTGTATTTACAGCTCTGTCAGTGAGATTTTTAACAAGAAGATACATTGGAGAATATGATCATCAATCAGGTAAGAATCTACACTGCTCGTCAAAATTAGCGACTCGCTTTTATAAAGCCCTGTAAAATTGGATACAATAAAACTAGAGATTGAAAATTTTCACCAGAGATAGCCACATATCTTGTCTTATGGTCTACGTAGTGACATCATCCCTATTTTAGTCTAAAGGGTGGAATCACCCCTTTGAAATGCACCTTCTACAATGTTCATCAAAATTAGCGACTCTCATTTTTGAGGCTCTATAAAATCGCGTATAGAAAAGCTAGGGATGTGAAATTTTCAGTACTAATAGCCTTGTGTATGTTCTTGGTGTCTACCAAAAGTCTACCAAATTTTCCTTTGGGATCTGGATATTTAAACGTTGCTACGAGATAACAAATTTTCGAGTTTGTACATTCCTCGCATTATTCAAAGGAGCGGTTCTACCATTTGGAGTTGAGTAATGATGATGCTACTTGGTAGACTCGAAGACAGTATATGAGGCTACATTTGCTGAAAATTTCAGGCCTCTAGCTTCTTTACAAGCAATTTTACAGGGCTTCAAAAAGTGTCGTTAATTTCGACGAACAGTGTATAAAAAAAACACCTATTTTTACCTATAATTAGTTCACAATAAAATCGGAACTACGTCACGACTGTCTTGTAATAGTTGGCTTAGGAATGGGCAATAAAACTATCTAGTTAGCGGTTAGAAATAGGTGAGAAAATGCGAATTTTCTGGTTTTGTTTATTTTCAGAAACTCGATATAAACACGAGGTGTTGGTGGACAATGAACCCGTTCTCTACGAAATATTAGACACGTGCCCAAAGGTTAGTATATTAAATATTACCTCTACACAAATGTAATTTAAATTCGACAAGTTACCGAGGACCTCGCGAGCTGCGCGAGCTCGAGTTTACCAGTACTTTAATACTAGAGTACAAAAAAAATATGTTGAAACAAAATCGCGGTTATCTCGAAAATTAATTGAGATAGAAACGCGTTGTTTGTTTCAAATTGTAGAAAAAATGTTTCTCTACAATTTTTGGAGAATCGAAAATTTTCGTAAATCGCTTAATTTCCGAGATATTTAACCATATAAGAAATAATGATCAATACCGAAGTAAATTAGTGTTACCAACGCAACATTCAAACTCTACTACCAACTTTTCAAAAAGAAATAGTCCCATACTAGCTGCATCTTTCGATGCAAGTGCAACATATTTATTCAAACCTGTTTTATTTCGGTCGCGACGAACGATATGATTTACGTAAATAACACATTCACGCCAATTTACTTGCACTGACACATATTTTATTAGATATTCAGATATTTAGAACGCCGACTTGATTGTCACTTTAATTTAACCAAACTAAAAACAACGAAAAAAAATAATAAACTACTTGTACAACACTACCAACTATTAAAATATTTACACAATGACACCAGTTAAAGTACTACCAACTATTACCTTTTTTTTACTCAGTTGTAGGAACACAGTAGGAGGAAAATACTACCAACTGTACAAATATTTACACAGTTGGTAACACGTACAATAAGACAGTAATAAAGTGTTGCCAACTTTTTTACGCATTTTAGGCGAATGATTCAGGGAGTGCTTGATGTTAACGATTGTTTACGTGTTAATTTCGAAACCACAGCCTACTCGGAAAGCCGTTATTTCTCGCGGAAACGGTAAACAAACCGCCATTGTTGCCGCTAATAAATATCGAACGAATATCGAGTGTTTACGCTTCGCCGAAAGTGCTTCCTGATTATTTCGCGAATCGATCGAAAAATATTTACGCTTTCTTATGTATCAACAAATTTTTTTAATTATTTGGGGCGCCTTCGGTACACTTAAACAAGCCGGGCGTTTGTCGATGCGCAGTCGAAGGTGCGCGGGATTCGATTTGATTTATTTATTTATTAATTTTTTTTTAATTTTTATTATTTAGAGCGACGAAGATTTACCTTCGTCGGAGACGCTCAATTGGGCCGATGGGCTTCTTCTCGTTTACTCGATCACCGACAGACGTTCGATTCATTATTTGAAACGAGTGGGAAGTTTAATGGCGGATTCGGACATTCCCGTTTACATTGTCGGCAACAAAAACGATATGGTAAATATTTCTAACGATATTCTTATAGAGTTCGTTCAATATTTCACTCCCCCGACGTCACAACTAGGTTAAAGTAACCTTACTGTAGGTATACTAAAATTTATAAAAAATACATTTATTATATCAATTTCCTGACGTCACAATTGGGTTAAAGTAACCTTACTGTATACTAAAATTCATATATTTTTTTATTTAATTTTTCTTAATTTTTTATTATTATTTTTTTTTTTTTTTGTGTTTTTCATATTGAAACTAGTCTGAAAGACTAACTTTATTATTCCCTCATTTATTATTATTTTATTATTTTTTATTATTTTTTTTTAATTTTATTTTTTATTATTTTTTATATAATTTTTTCATATTGAAACTAGTTTTTAAAATTCATATAATGCATTTATTATATCAATTTCCTGACGTCACCACTATAGGTTAAACTAACCTAACTCTATACCTACTTAAATTAATATAATACATTCATTATTTCACTCTCCTGACGTCACAACTAGGTTAAAGTAACCTTACTGTATACTAAAATTCATATTTTTTAATTTTTTTATTATTTTTTGTTGTGTTTTTCATATTGAAACTAATCTGAAAGACTAACCATCAATTTTCATATCAATATCTTAAAACTAGTTTTTAAAATTCATATAATGCATTTATTATATCAATTTCCTGACGTCACCACTATAGGTTAAACTGACCTTACTCTATACTATACCTACTTAAATTGATATAATACATTCATTATTCCATTCTCCTGACGTCACAACTTATTACACAATTAAATGCATATATATAGTACATCAATTCTATCAACCTCCTGACGTCATTCACACACGCTAACTAGATCCGTATACGCAACAAGACAGTAAATAGGATGTATAATTGCAGGTACACCTGCGCGAAGTGAGCGCCGAAGAGGGCGCCATCCTGGCGCGAAACTTCGAATGCGGCTTCTCGGAGGTGGCGGCCGCCGAGATGGTGGCGCCGGTGGCGGTCGTCTTTCAGGAATTGTGCCGATCGGCGTTGGCGGCGCGCCGGAAATCGAAGCATTCGCTGTTAGAGCGCATGCTCGGCACGAGAACGTCGAATCTGCGCCTGTACGCCCGAGGGAAGAGCGACAGCGCCCTGCCCAAGGACTGACAGTTGACGTACGGCGTGACGTAAGAGGGCGCCATTTGTATCTGCTCGCCTGCTTGATTGTTTTGAACGATTTTTTTTTTTTTTGTATGGGTTCTGGACCGATTCCTGGGGTGTGGAATTAGTTGTGTGATATTGTTTACTACGTTAGTTTAGTTGGTAATTTTGTAATAGAGCGCATGTTGTTCTGCGCATTGACGTTTTATAATAAATTTTTGTTTAGTTTAATAAATTGTGTAATAAGTCGAGTAGGCTTTGAGATAAAATGATGTAATTTTTACTATTTTTGAGAGAAATGTTTTCTTTTTTAAATTATTTGGTTTAGGCATGAAGGTTATTTAAAGCTTAGTGTAGCTATTTAAATGAATAATTAATTTAATAGTCTGTATAATATTATGTTGTGACGTCGTACCGGTTTTAATTTAAGCTAACTATAGATTTATTACATTTCCTTCTGTAGATATTGTTCGAAAATATATGCGTATAATAATGTATATTGCGTTTTTATTATTTATTTTGAATTTCTACGATGAAAATAAATAAAAATTTTTCAATAATAATCGCAAAGTCTCATCCAGACTAGCGATATAAATTCGACGCGGAGCGTATTTTTCTGTTCAGGACGCGCGAGCGGAGTAAAAAGGAAAAATAATCCGTTTGTTCGCGTATATACAGGGTGTTTCCTAAACATGCGGCAAAAATTCAGGTGGTTGTTCCTTGGACTATTCTAAGAATATTTTGTCCTTTGATGATTTTTGAAAAACCTCTTTGTTTCGAAGATACAGGGGAAACAAAATTTTAGATAATAACATTTTATTATGAAAAATTACATGAAAATTTAACTTAACCTACAAAAACTGTTAAAAATGACCACCTCTAGCCAGCATACAAGCGTCCAATCTTCTCCTCATCCCCTTCGTTCTCCTCAGTTTAATCTGTATTCCTTTACCATCTGAACTTATCAATTTTAAATTAAAAAAATTGGCCGTTTTTAGTAATTGGAATGTTGTTAAACAAATTTAAAAATAAATTGTACCTACTTAGTAAACACAGTGCGGTACGCATTTTTATTTAAACTATTATTAATTTTAAAAATATGAAAAATGTTGTTCGCCCTGTATCTTCGAAACAAAGAGGTTTTTCAAAAATCATCAAAGGACAAAACATTCTTAAAATAATCCAAGGAACAACCCCCTGAATTTTTGCCGCATGTTTAGGAAACACCCTGTAGAGCAATAAAACTCAATTTTCGCATTTTCACCCTAAGCGCCAGAGACGAAAAAAAAAGAAAAAAAAAAAACGAAACGAAAGAAAACCGTATAGAAACCGAGATAAAATAACCGGAGTATGTGATAAATTCGAGCTAATCTCATCTTCCGGCCAATGCGCCAGAAACTATATAGCCAGTCCAAGTTAATCCAATAATGACGTCACATTCATTCATTAGTAAACGCATTATATATATACCTAATAATTCCTGCTATACAGGGTGTTCTTAAAAATCGTGTACATCCGAAAGGGGGTGATTCATTGGCTTATTTTATGACTAAAAGTTCATATAAACTTGCGTCTGCAAACGCTTCGTTATCGATCTACAGGGTGTTGAATTTTCAAGATTTTTTTTTGTTTCTTTTTTAGAGCTCCTGCAGTTTTTGAGATATTTAGCTCAAATTAGGTATATGATATAGGGTATAGAGTGGAATTTGAGTAGGAGGGGTTCACTTTCAACATTTATTACAATGTAATTTAATAATTAATATTTAGGGTTTTTGTTTTGTAAAATAAATCATTTGTACAGAATATCATTATTAATTTTTTTCTCGATAACGGTCACAGAAACGAAAAAAGTTTAAGAATAAAAAAGTTTCTAAACAAAACAGACAATTAATTTTGTATTTTAGAATCTACCAGCGGCGCCCAGCAAAAAAGTTCGGGGGGAAAAAAGGGTACATGACCCCTGAAAAAATATCACCCTGTAGAATTCAACAACCAACTGATATACCCAATATTGTGTGCCCTATAAAGCAATCTAGATTCAAAATTTGAACTAAATATCTCAAAAAATGCAGGAGCTACAAAGAAAAAACAAAAAAAAATTGAAATTTCAACACCCTGTAGATCACTAACGAAGCGTTTGCGAACCCACATTTATATGAACTTTTAGTCATAAAATAAGCCAAAGAATCACCACCTATCGAATGTACACGATATTTAGGACCACCCTGTATATTACCTTTTCCTCTACATTTTTCGACCACCAAATACACCCCATCTTCAGTTCAATCATATTCAAAAATATCCCAACTATAATGCATCTCCAATCGAATCTCTGGATGAGGTTAATTTCAAACGATATATCCGGATCAACCGCAGAATGTACTGTACAATACTGCACGTCGTGCGATATTAGAGCGAGAAGCTCAAAGGGAGGAAAAGAGAGCTGGTGAGCGGGAGAAGAGGACGCCTGCGTCGCGACGCCCGGTCGCTCTTTGTTTGTGAGACGCTGGACCGGAGTCTGCGACGAGAATCCGGGCAGGCCATGGGCTCCGCCAATTTCGGTTTAGGCGTTGTTTTCGTGACGTTTGTGAGCGGAATTTTGGCATCGGCTGAGAAGATTCCATTAGGTGAGTGTAGATTACTAGATGATATTGCTTGGTGATTTTTTTTATAAAGGGTTTTATCGAATGTTTGTGATTGGGGTGGTTTTGGGGGAGTGTACGAATCTGGATGTAGTCAGTATAGTGTGTTTAAAATTTATAGATTGTGATGTAATTATTTTATAAAAAACTATAAAATTTTGTTGGTTAATGAAGGATACTTTCTCTTAAAATCATCAAATTTAAGTTAAATATTTTGATAAAATCAACAAATTTACTATTAAAATCATTCTAGACCAAATTTACTTAAATGCTCTAGTAAATTGTCAAATTTACATGTAACGTCTTGTAAAATCATCTGGAAAATCAAGTTATTGATTAAAATTTTCTTAAAAAGTCTTCAAATTTAATCCACCAAATTTGTAAAATATTCCAACTAATTAAGAACAAAATATTTATCATTCATAACCGTTTTTCGCGATAATTTTGAGTGATATTTAGTTAAAATTTAATTGAAGTCAAATTTAGTTAAATATTTTGATAAAATTATCAAATTTACTTTTAAAATTATTCGAAAATATCGAAAAAATATAAATTTAGTTAAATATTTTGATAAAATCAACAAATTTACTTTTAAAATTATTCGAAAATATCGAAAAAATATAAATTTAGTTAAATATTTTGATAAAATCAACAAATTTACTTTTAAAATCATTCGAACAAATCAAAAAAATAGAAATTTCGTTAAATATTTTGATAAAATCAACAAATTTACTTTTAAAATCATTCGAAAATATCAAAAAAATATAAATTTAGTTAAATATTTTGATAAAATCAACAAATTTACTTTTAATCATTCGAAAAAAATCGAAAAAATAGAAATTTAGTTAAATATTTTGATAAAATCAACAAATTTACTTTTAAAATCATTCGAAAAAAATCAAAAAAATAGACTAAATTTATCTACTTAAATACTCTAGTAAATTGTCAAACTTATATACAAGTAACATCTTGTAAAATCATCAGAAAAATCAACTAATTGTTTAAAATATTCCTAAAAAGTTACCAAATTTAATCCACCAAATTTATAAAACATACCAACAAATTCACAACTAAATATTTATCATTCACAAACCGTTTCTCGCGATAAATTAATTTCACATCAAACCCACGAAACTTCCAGAAAAATCTCGCGCACATGCCCTTTCCAGAAATTCCCCCAATTCCCATCAACTCGTCCAAAACTCCAATTTGTCCACGGCTCCCTTTGATTGTCCGTAATTTATATTTTCCATTTTCTTCGGTATGCGAAAACCGAAACGACTTCGAGCGCTTCCATTTCCTCGAACACAAGGGTGTCGGTTTCCCGTTTAAAGTGAAGGAAATAAGGAAATTCAGGTCGAGATGAAAGCCCGAGAAAATTCCATTATACAGCTCAACAGGCTCGAATTTAACGCAACGATTATAATCTACCAGACGTCACTTACCGATTCATTGATTAGACTCACTACAGATATATTTTCCCTAAAGGTTTTGTACTCACCCTGTAGTTTGATATTTTTCCAGGCGCCATTTTCGAGCAAGGCACCGATGATGTCCAAACGGCCTTCAAATTCGCCATGTTGCAGCACAACCAAAACGTATCCAGCAGGAAATTCGAATTCCAGGCCTACGTCGATGTCATCAACACAGCCGACGCCTTCAAGCTATCCAGACTGAGTAAGCACCCAAACGAATTCCTCTTCCACGACATCTTCCAATAACGTTTTTTCTTTCCAGTTTGCACCCAATTCTCGAGAGGCGTCTACTCCATGTTGGGCGCCGTCTCGCCCGATTCCTTCGACACGTTGCACTCGTACAGCAACACCTTCCAGATGCCCTTCGTGACGCCCTGGTTCCCGGAGAAGGTGCTCGCCCCGTCCTCCGGGTTCATGGATTACGCCGTCTCCATGAGGCCCGAGTACCACAAGGCCATCATCGATACCGTCAAGTACTACGGCTGGAGGCAGATCATCTATTTGTATGACTCTAACGACGGTAAGATGTGGTGTTAGATCGGCGATAGATGGCGGTTTTGGTGGTGAAAGTACCGATGTTTGGGTACTTGCTGTTCATTGGTTCGTTGGTCTTCTAGGAGGACTTCCAGTTGCTCTTTCTAAGCGACTAGTCGAGTTCATCTAAGAGATGAAAAACTATTAGTTAGATTCATCTAAGATCTTCAAGGAGGACTTGCAGTTACTCTTTCTAAGCTACTACTCAAGTTCATCTAAAAGATTTTATTTAGTTTCTTGTAAAGGTTCTTCGAACAGTTATCTAAGATCTTCCAGGAGGACTTCCAGTAACTCTTTCTAAGCTACTACTCAAGTTCATCTAAAAGATTTTATTTAGTTTCTTGTAAAGGTTCTTCCAAAAGTTATCTAAGATCTTCAAGGAGGACTTCCAGTTACTCTTTCTAAGCTACTACTCAAGTTCATCCAAGAGATAAAAAACTATTACTTAGATTCATCTAAGAAGTTTCATTTAGTTTCTTTAAAAGGTCCTTAAAAGCAGTTATCTAAGATCTTCCAGTTACTCTTTCTAAGCTACCACTCAGGTTCACCTGAGAGATAAAAAACTATTACTTAGAATCATCTAAGAGCTTTTATTTAGTTTCTTCAAAAGGTCCCTAAAAACAGTTATCCAAGATCTTCCAGGAGGATTTCTAGATACTCTTTCTAAGCTACTACTAAAGTTCATCTAAAGGATAAAAAACTATTTTTTAGATTCATCTAAGAGCTTTTATTTAGTTTCTTCAAAAGGTCCTAAAAGCAGTTATCTAAGATCTTTCAGTTACTCTTTCTAAGCTACCACTCAGGTTGACCTGAGAGATAAAAAAACCATTACTTAGATTCATCTAAGAGCTTTCATTTAGTTTCTTCCAAAGGTCCTTCCAACCGAACTACTACTTAGATTCCTTCCACGACCAATTACTCAGGTTGTTCTAAGAATTAACAGCTACTAAGTAGATTCACTTACTGTTCCTCAGGTTTGCTGAGACTGCAGCAGATCTACCAAAGCCTGACGCCCGGCGGCGAGATGTTCCAGGTGCAGACGGTGCGCCGGATCACCAACGTCAGCGAGGCCTTGGTGTTCCTGCGGGGCATCGAGGAGCAATCGAGGTGGTCGAACAAGTACGTGGTGCTGGATTGCTCGACGGAAACGGCCAAGGAGATCGTGGTCGGCCACGTGAGGGACATCTCGCTGGGCAGGAGGAACTATCACTATCTCCTGTCGGGTTTGGTGAGTTCCTGCGAAATGAATTTAGATTAAAGAACATAAGTTAAGAGTGTAATAGATTTACTTAGAATTACTCTAGCGTTAATAATAAAGAAGATAGCGGGTTAAATTGTAAACTGTTACTTTATAACGGGTTATTTTGTAACAGTTATTTGTAGTAACGACGCTGGTATCTGGTGTGTTTTTAGTTTTTTTCGTGTTAGCAATGGTTTAATCGAATTAGTTGAGTAAAGTACAATGAAAATGGCCCGTCAGGAACGTCTGTAATCAACTCGACAGCTTGATTAAATCGCTAAACGAATTTATTTACATAAGGTCTCGTCACGCGAACGTTTCGCTGAGAAAAAAAGTGTTTTTTAGTAGACAAGCGACAATTAAAAGTAGCTGGATGGTAATAAAAAATACGTCAACGTCACATGTGACACATGTCAACTGTCAATGTCATTTGTGATTAGTCAAAATGGTGGAATTGTTTGTTATAAAAATTTGTCTGCTACGTCTCTGGTGGGTTTATCTATAGAAAATTCATCGCAGTAATATTTCCCATGACCTTATTTAGGAGTTGCTGCAATGGGACAGCGTGATAATAAATTCAACTTTGTACCTTGATATTTAAAATTCCGCATAATTACAGCAATTGGGTATCGATATAGTTTAGTTATTTCATATAGTTTACTGGAACTATTTTGAGCTAAGGAGAATAGGGAGTTTTTTGGAAAATTCCTCATGTCAATTTTGCTCCGTAGAATCAATTAAAAAAGATTTATTTGTTTGCCATAATTGAGAGAATTATTTGCGTTCGTGACGGGAAAACCGGCGAAGGAAAGCAATTTTCCCTGGAAATATAATAAAATCAAGCGCGAAATAACCCACGAAATTGCGAAATAAAAAAAAAGAATTCTTCGCTTATAATTTGAAATTCCCCCGTTTAGAAATAATCCGAAGTTTTTCCAGTTAAAGAATAAGTGGTAATCCTAGTTTTCCACTGAAAATTGCTTTTCGCGGAAACTTCCTTTTTTTTCGTCGCCGCCACCGCATTATTTCCCGGTTGTTATTAAAGTTTGCGGTCCTATTTTATCGAGTTAATCCTCGAAGGAAATATTGTTTACCTGCCTTATATTCGTTAAGTCAAGTCGCCCGTTTTCTGTTCCCTATTAAAAATTTTCATCATCTAATTCACGCTGGTTAATAACAAGAAAATTGTGCAGGGAAATAGAAAAAAATAATTTTCCGATAAATTGCTGGGATAAAGATAAGAAAAAATCATTGTTAGCTAGAAAAAAAATTGTAAGGCGAACAATTTTCGCAAATTTCACACTGATGATGAAATTTCTCGATGTCGAAACGTCGATTTTCTGATCGGGCGTGTTCGTTTACATAAGATTCGAAATTTTTCCCCATCAAAAAGGCTTATTAAGGCCACAAACAAATCTCCATAATCAGTTCATCAGGAATCCTTGACCTCTATCCAGAGTTATTATATCAACAAAAATTACTAATTGGTTTATTCCAGGTAATGGACGAAAGATGGGAAAGCGAAGTTGTCGAATATGGAGCAATTAACATAACTGGATTTCGCATTGTCGATTCCTACAAACCCTACGTCAAAGATTTTCTAGAAGGTATAATTATCAATCATAGTCAATGAATCACAGTCAATGAATCAAAGTCAATAAACTATAGTCAATGAATCACAGTCAATAAATCACAGTAAATGAATCACAGTCAATGAATCACAGTCAATCAATCACTATTAAACAATTACAGCCAATCAACCACAATTAATCCTCAAACACACTCAATCATCAACAATAAACCAATCCTAACCAATCAATCACACAACCAATTAAATTCGAACATTTTCTCCGTCCAAAGGCTGGAAGAGACTGGATCCCGCCCAATCTCCTGGAGCAGGCAAGGACAGCGTATCGGCCCAAGCCGCCTTGATGTACGACGCCGTTTTCGTGCTGGTCGAAGCCTTCAACAAGGTCTTGAGGAAGAAACCGGACCTCTTCAGGACCAACGTGAGAAGGGGCATCGCCTTCAACGGCACCACCAAGTCCCTGGATTGCAATACCAACGGCAATTGGGTCACCCCGTGGGAACACGGCGATAAAATATCCAGATTTTTGAGGAAGGTTAGAGAGATTAGAGATGCTGTTTTGGATTGAGTAATCCAAAACACCTGGAAACCACCATGGTGTGAATATTCCAATTCCCTTCTATTAGAGGAGCTAATTGGACCACCTGGATATTAAAGATGTTGTTTTGGGTTTAGTAATGTTCCACCTGGAAACCACCAGGATTTCAAGTGTATCTTCACCAGGTGGAATATTCCAATTCCCTTCTATTAGAGGAGCTAATTGGACCACCTGGATGTTGAAGATGTGATGTTTCAGATAGAGATCGAAGGGCTGACGGGCGAGATCCGTTTCAGCGACGAAGGTCGTCGCCAGAACTACACCCTGCACGTGGTGGAGATGACCGTGAACAGCGCCATGGTGAAGGTGGCCGAATGGAGCGACATCGCGGGATTCAATCCCGTTGCGGCGAAGTACGTGAGGCTCAAAGCCAACGCTCACATCGAACGGAACAAAACTTACATCGTCACCACGATTGTGGTAAGTTCTATAGGGTGCAGAATATAGTGATGTGGTTCGTTGGTTGGTCTACTTGCAGGAGGAACCTTACATCATGCTGAGGAAGCCCGAACCCGGCGAGAACCTATCGGGCAACGACAGGTTCGAAGGCTACTGCAAGGACCTCGCGAATCTCATAGCTCAAAGGCTCGGCATAAATTGTAAGTAGATCTAAGTAGTAGTACAAAAAAACTGGATTTTGAATTTGTTCCAGACGAAATTAGAATAGTCAAAGATGGAAAGTACGGTACTGAAAATCACGAGGTCAAAGGCGGCTGGGATGGAATGGTGGGAGAATTAGTCAGACAGGTATTATCATTTCTAGGTGTTATAAAAAATAATCTGGTAGGTATTAATGAATCCTGGAAAGCTTTACTCTTGGAACATCATTCACTAATAGCTCGATTCAATTTGGTGTGTACCAAACTGGTCCAAGACCAGTTCAATGTACCCGATTCTCCCCTAGCTAATTTTATTATTCACAACGAGGTTAATGGGGGTCAATTATTACCGTTTATCCAGATTCATCAATAATTCATAAATTGCGTGCCGCCAGGATTTTTATTCCAACGCCCGGGGCTCATTAAATTGATTGTTTACGCACAAGACCTGGCAAGATTTCAAATTTCAAACGAAAGAAAATTACATTTCTACGATAACACGAAATACATTTCTGGATGAATTGCAGGAAGCCGATATGGCCATAGCTCCGATCACCATCACGTCGGAAAGGGAACGAGTCATCGATTTCAGCAAACCCTTCATGTCCTTGGGCATATCGATAATGATCAAGAAACCGATGAAGCAAAAACCCGGAGTATTCAGCTTCCTGAATCCCTTATCCAAGGAGATCTGGGTCAGCATCCTGTTCGCCTACATCGGAGTCAGCATCGTGCTGTTCGTCGTATCCAGATTCTCCCCCTACGAATGGAGATTGCTACACCTTTCGGCCGATTCCAGGTAACGCAAAACGAATCCAGTACTGCCTGGAACATTACTCGTTCATCTTCTCTCGGTCTTCTCTCATTTCCAACGTTTCCAGAGATCCCAACAACGGCCAAACGGCGATGTCGAACGACTTCACCATGGTGAACTCCTTGTGGTTCTCCTTAGCGGCGTTCATGCAGCAGGGCGGCGAGCTGTCGCCCAGATCGATGTCGGGCCGGATAGTGGGCGCCTGCTGGTGGTTCTTCACCCTGATCCTGATCAGCAGCTACACGGCCAATCTGGCCGCCTTCCTCACCGTCGAACGCATGGTGACGCCCATCAACAGCCCCGAGGATCTGGCCTCGCAGACCGAAGTCGAGTACGGGACGTTGTTCCACGGCGCCACCTGGGACTTCTTCAGGGTACTCTACACCATTACGACTCCGCGTTAGCAGTGTTGATCGATTGAGGTTTTTGCAGCGTTCGCAGCTGAGCCCCTACTCCAAAATGTGGGAGTTCATGAACTCCAGGAAGCACGTGTTCGTGAGGACCTACGACGAGGGCATCAAGCGGGTGCGTTCGTCCAAAGGGAAGTTCGCCTTGCTCATCGAATCGCCCAAGAACGATTACACCAACGAACGGGAACCGTGCGATACCATGAAGGTGGGCAGGAATTTCGACGCCAAGGGTTTCGGAATCGCCACGCCCTTGGGATCACCGCTAAGGTTCGTCCAGGTCTAGATTGAAGTCCAGGTCTCAGTCTAGATTGAAGTCCAGGTCCAAGTCTAGATTAAAGTCCAGGTCCAAGTCTAGATTGAAGTCCAGGTCTAAGTGTAGATCTCAGTCCAGGTCTTAGTCTAGATTGAAGTCCAGGTCTAAGTGTAGATCTCAGTCCAGGTCTTAGTCTAGATTGAAGTCCAGGTCTAAGTGTAGATCTCAGTCCAGGTCTTAGTCTAGGTTGAAGTCCAGGTCGAAGTCTAGGTCGAAGTCCATTTCTAAGTCTAGATTCAGGTCCAGGTCTGAGTCTAGTCTGAGTATAGTCTGAGTCTTTTGGTGCTTGTGTTTCAGAGATGCGGTGAATTTGGCGGTGCTGGCGCTGAAGGAAGATGGTGAACTGACGAAATTGAAGAACAGATGGTGGTACGACAGGACGGAATGTTTGAGAGACAAACAGGTTAGTCCAATTAGAGAAATTTCTACACTTAAGTTATTACAGTCCAATTTACAACACTAGCACTATAAATTGGACCACTGATGGTCTATTAAAATTCCTCCCCTACACTCGAGACTCTTTTCATCCAAAAAAATATAGGTCACTAGATTTCCAACGCACCCTTACCGAGTAATTAGTCATTTAACGCCGATATTGGCAATTACTTCACCCTTCGTTAACCAGCCAATCAATCGATCGAATGACGGCTATTTTTAACTCAAAAAAAAATGTAAATCTTCCGCGACAGGATTCGACGAGGAGCGAGCTGTCCTTGAGCAACGTCGCCGGGATTTTCTACATCCTGATAGCAGGACTGTTCGTCGCCATGGCGGTCGCCCTGCTGGAGTTCTGCTGGAAATCCCACACGGACTCCAAGAGGGCCAAAATACCGTTGGGGGACGCCATGAAGGCCAAGGCTCGGCTCACCATCGGAGCCTGCAGGGATTACGACAACGGAAGGGTACGTGATTATTCATCAAAAAAAAAACATTACGAGGATTGATCGTTGATCTCTATCTATGACGTCAGAGAGGTGGTGTACTAAGCATTAGAGATTGGTCTAGATGATACTCTAATAGAGCAATTCTGGTTGGTGTAAGATAGTTGTGATGCATGGAAGGATTGGTTGATGACGTCAGCGTTGAATGAGCAATCCTTGTTAATCTACAAGCGACGGTTCGATTAAGGATAGTTCTTGGAAGGATTGTTTATTGAGTGTAGTTTCTATTGGTCTAGATAGGACCTTCTAGATTATACTCTAAAAGAGCAATCCTTGTTGATGTTAAATAGTTGTGATGCATGGAAGGATTGGTTGATGACGTCAGCGTTGATAGTCCTTGGAAGGATTGTTTGAGTGTAGTTTCTCTCTGACGTCAGAGACATGATCGAATGAGCAATTCTTGTTGATGTAAAATAGGTAGTATATTCAAGGATAATAAATATATGGAAGAATTTTATAGTAATATCAGCGTTGAATGAACAATCCTTCGAGAAAAATCCTTTTGGAAGTATTGTAAATGGAGCAAAAATCAAGGAGGATCGTTCATTCTTGTACGAGTTATCTTGTATTTGTGACGTCAACGAGTTGGTTGATTGAGCAATCCTCGTTGTATATTATCAGTTGGTGTTTTAAGGAGGTTAATTTCGAATTTCAGCGCGAAAGATGTCCACGACACCTGGGGGATAGTGCGCAAAATACGCTGTCGAAACAGCGCAAACGCTCCCAAGGGTACATTGTTATATAAAAAAAATAATCGAATAAGTACGTTTTTAACGGTAATTTTCGTCAAACCCGAGCACTAGCAGTTTTTATTGTGAATTTCCATCCCGAGCACTAATCCCTTTAGTACTCGCCCCTAACGGGAATTTAGCCCCCCGACCTGAATTTGTTAGGTAATGTGAGAAAATACTTCAAAAATTCACTTGTGTAATATAGGGTGTTAATTAATTGGATGCCGATACTTCAGGATGTGAATATTTGGATGATTTTAAGAAGAAAAGTTTATATCAATGTATGTTCTAAACCTCTTAGTTTTCGAGCTACAGGGTGCTAAAATTTTAGACTAAAAATAACTTTTCTATCATAATTTTCTTATTGCTCCAGTAATTTTTAAGAAATTTTGTAAACACTTTTTAATTATTAAGGAGCATGTTTTGAGTCGTAGGATTTTTTAAAATTTTCGCCAGTGACGTCCGTATGGGGGTTGAACTGAATATGTCTGAAAAAAAAAATGGTACACCACTGCTTTTTCTAAAAACTAAAATTATTTTTAAAATTCTTTTTTGGGATAAAAATTAATTTTCTACTATTATCAGTGACATCCACGTCGTCCGAAATTTCATAAAATATCTGCCGTAATAAGAAAATTATGATAGAAAAGTTATTTTTTTTCTAAAATTTTAACACCTTGTACCTTGAAAACTAAGAGGTTTAGGACATACATTGATATAAACTTTTCATCTTAAAATCACCCAAATATTCACATCATGAAGTATCGGCGCATACAATTAATTAACACCCTGTATATTAAAGATATTTTCTATTTTGTACTGCACAAACCCGAGTTAGCACAAAGTTAGATGATGTTTAAATCAGTTTAAATTATAAGACAAGTGTTTAAATACATGTACATTGAACGATGAATAAAGGATTTATTTTGGACTATTTGGTGGAGGAGTATATAAAAGTTTTTAAAATATTGGTTGAGGAAAAAATGAGATTTTAATCAAAATTTGTGGAGGAACATTAGAAGAACTACGAGATAAAAATAGTATATAAAAATTGTCTCTAATTTTGTCTATAATCTAGTAATTTATTCTTCCGCACATTCAAGTACAATTTAATCACTTGTTAACCGCAATCAATTAACGAATTCTCCGAAATTTACAAGAATTTTTAAATTTTTTTGATACTTTTTGAAATTTTCCTGATTTTTTTAGTATTACACGCCGGCGAATCAAATAGCAGGAGGGCAGGATCAGGAGCAACCTCACAGTAATACTCACACGCAAGTCTGAAGATGTTCCGCACGTTTACCTTATTAGATTATATGTACAGGGTGTTATCATATTAGGCTCAAAACAAATATACGAGGTTGTTAAAGGAAAGTACTTTGTGGAATGGGAATTTTTTTATATCTAAATGACGTGTAGAAATTTGTTATTTTTCGTTTGTTGTGGGTGCATTTAAACATTTAACAATATTAACGATCATTTGTAAAATGGTGCTTGTACAGTCGAAATTTAATGTTGTATAAATAATTTAACTAGACTGAAAATATTTATTAATTCGATGTAATTATTGTGATATACGCTGTTTTTTTTTAAACTGATTGTGTACAAATTAGATTGTTTGTTAGAATTTTATTTTTATTTTACTGTATATAAAAATGATTGTAAATGTGATCAAAACTATTAATCAAACAAATCACTGTAAGATCAAACTTTTAAATCAAACACAACTAACCCCAAAGTTATAAATAAAAAACAATTCCAAATATACAAATCGATAAATGGAAATTATCAAACATATCCATAAATTTTATAGTTGGACGTTTTTCGACTGGACAAAACACCCCTAACGTGTTATTGAATTTTTAATCAACTACCAATACATTATACGTATACATAATATGTACATGTTTTTACCTGAAACTAGTAAAATATTTGTTGTATATTTTCGTATTTTTTAACTACCTCCCATATCGGCAGAAACTAGAACAAGGCGGCCCTGACTGAACACGAAACACGATCAAAAACAAGGCTAAACTTGTTACAATTCACCCCTAATTATTCTCCTTCAACCCTAATTTTCCCAATCGAAAATTTCACACAACCCCTCGCTCACAATCATTTTCCTACCTAACATAACTTTATCTCAACTATTTCACCAGAGAGTAACTGCATTTAAAACAAGTAAAAGGCCTTCTGAGCTGAAAATTTGTCGAGCTCGCGCAGCGAGGAACATTTTACTAATTTTCCCTCGGAGCATTAGAGCGAATTCAACAGGCTCTAAAACCCTTAGAGAATATCCCGGGCCACTCGATAACTCAAACAATCTCGCGAAGCCTCTCGTTATACAAATGAAATTCGAGAGGTGCTCGAAATTTAGCGGCGGTTTTCAGGGCGTAAAGGGCGCAAAAGTGGCCGGAAATATCCGAAGAAAAAGCGTAGTTTAATATTTACAAAGTAGAGCAAACAAGGCGATTACGCCGGAATGCGATCGCAGGAGGCGAGGAAAATCGTTTTGCACCTTTAGAGGGACGATGTGGCGTCGTATATTGCAGGAGTCGTACGTGATATTTTAGCAGGAGAAGGGATAGGAGTAACATTTTATGATCTGTTCAGGTTTATTCGCTTCGATAACGTTTTGTAGTTGCTGTACGTGTTATGGGAATTTTATAGGTTTCATCTAAATATGAAGGTTTTGGTAGCGGAATTAACGAGAATTTCGTAATAGTTTGGTGGAGGTTTTAGATAGAATTATTCAAAAATTGGTGGAGGAACAAATGAGAATTATAATGTATAAGAATTAGATGGAAAATAAAAATTTTGTGGAGGATTTACTCAATATTTGATGAAGGAACAAACGAGAAGTTTAATGTATAAGAACTAGATGGAAAATTAAGATTTCGGTGGAGGATTTACTCAATATTTGATGAAGGACCAAGCGAGAAGTATAATGTATAAGAACTAGATGGAAAATAAAGATTTTGGTGGAGGATTTACTCAATATTTGGTAAGGGAACAAGCGAGAAGTATAATGTATAAGAATTATATGGAAAATTAAGATTTTGGTGGAGGTTTCACTCAATATTTGATAAAGGAACAAACGAGAAGTATAATGTATAAGAACTAGATGGAAAATTAAGATTTTGGTGGAGGATTTACTCAATATTTTATGAAGGAATAAACGGGAAGTATAATGTATAAGAATTAGATGGAAAATTAAAAATTTGGTGGAGGATTTACTCAATATTCGGCGAATGATTAAATGAGAACTATAATGTATAATAACTAGATGGCAAATAAGAATTTTGGTGAAGGATTTATTCAATATTTGGCGAAGGATTAAACGAGAAGTATAATGTATAAGAACTAGATGAAAAATTAAGATTTTGGTGGAGGATTTACTCAATATTTGATGAAGGAACAAACGAGAAGTATAATGTATAAGCACTAGAGGGAAAATTCAAATTTTGGTGTAGGATTTACTCAATATTCGGCGAATGATTAAATGAGAACTATAATGTATAATAACTAGATGGCAAATAAGAATTTTGGTGAAGGATTTATTCAATATTGGGTGAAGGAATAAACAATAACTATAATGTATAAGAACTAGATGAAAAATTCAAATTTTGGTGGAGGATTTTCTCAATATTTGGCGAAGAAACAAACGAGAACTATAATGTATAAGAACTAGATGAAAAATTAAGATTTTGGTGGATGATTTACTCAATATTCGGCGAATGATTTAACGACAACAATAACGCATAACAACTACACAAAAAAATTAAAATTTCGCCGGAACAAATCCCCCAATCCTCCAATCACCGAACCACGAACCAATGACCTTTCCATCCATCCATCCATCCACACATTACATAAGACCTACACCTATACAGGACCATAAATATACCCACCTATATACACGCATATACATGCACGAAATGTTGACTAAAATTACGTCACGCGGTCGCGTATTGATTCCCGGTCCCGGGTCCCAAGCGCGAGCCAGAAATCAGAGAAGGCCCGGCCGCCGGGCACGGCACCGACGGAGATCGAGCTACGAGAGACAGAGGCGATCGGTGGGCGGCCGGGGGGCGGCGGGGGGGGCGGTTTCGCGAATTCCTGCCCACCATGCGCAGTGGGCGCGCTCCCGTCCGGGCCGGCAGGACCACTCCTAGTCTCGGCGTCGAATGGGACAGGACGTGTACTGGCGGTGTTCTGCGGCACGGGATATGGCGATGTTCCGGGGACACGTGTAGAATCGCCCGCGATGGGGCGCAGCCGGATGGTCTGGCCAACCGTGCTGGTGACCCTCTTGGCCCTGGGATGGGCTTTTGCTGGGTGAGTTTTGCGGGTTGTGTGTTTTGGGTTTTTTCGGGTTTTTTTTTTTGGGGGGTGAGTTTTGGGTGGGTTTTTGTTTTGGTCGCGTGTGTTCGGAGGGGGTGGGTGTTGGTAGTTCGAGCGATGGTTCGGGGTGGATTTTGGTATTTTGGGTTGCTTTTTTTGGTCGGTTTTTTAAGAGATTATTGTTGAGATTTTTTGGAAGAGAATAGGAGTTTTGTTTATATCGGGTGTGTTCGGAGGGGGTGGGTGGTAGTTCGAGCGATGGTTTGGGGTGGATTTTGGTATTTTGGGTTGCTTTTTTTGTCGGTTTTTAAGAGATTATTGTTGAGATTTTTTGGAAGAGAATAGTTTTGTTTATATCGGGTGTGTTCGGAGGGGGTGGGTGGTAGTTCGAGCGATGGTTTGTGGTTGATTTTGGTATTTTGGGTTGCTTTTTTGGGTTGCTTTTTAAGAGATTATTTTGAGAGTTTTTGCAAGAGAATAGGAGTTTTGTTTATATCGGGTGTGTTCGGATGGGATGGGTGTTAATTCGACCGATGGTTTGGGGTGGATTTTGGTATTTTGGGTTGCTTTTTTTGTCTGTTTATTATGAAGTTTTTAGGAGATTATTGTTGGGCTTTTTTTTGGATTTTTTTTGCAAGTGATTAGGAGTTTTGTATTTATCGGGTGTGATCGTATGGGGTGTGTGTTAATTCGCCCAATGATTTGAGGTGAATTTTAAGCCAATTGCACTATTTTTTAATTAATTTATAAGGAAACTACCTAGTCCAATATTTTTTTTAAATTTCACCTAAATTGACCTCCTCCACCATCTTTTACTTCTACTAAAGTATTTCGAATTATTACAAATTTAATTTCATTTTACAATTTTTGTAATATTTTTCTTATTTAAAAAAAATGATGTACATTTCGAAACCCTTTCATCAATGAAGAACAAAGCTCATTCGAAAATAACCGAGTGTGTGACACAGAACGTGTTACATTATAACAGGAAAAGGGTCGTGTTTTGTGTTCTGTGTGTCTCTGGTAATCAAAACACGATATTTTCCCATTGTGCGGATTTACACCTAACTTCGAACGCATTCATAAGACCTTTTGTTTCGTATCATCTTGTCAGAGATATTGTTGAAAGAAATTATTGTAAAAAAATCGCAAAGTTCACTTGATTTTTATGCTTTTTGAAGCGCTGTAAAATTGGTTATAGTTGAAGTAGAGGCATGAAATTTTCAGTAAATATAGCCTCATTTATTGTCATAAAGTTTACCAAGTAGCAACATCCCCATTGAAATATCAAGGGTGGAACGACTCTCTTAAATATGACCTTCTATATACTGTTCATAAAAATTTTTGCGCACTTTTTTGAAGTCCTGTAAAACTGAATGTAGTCTAGTTAGAGACTTGAAATTTTTAGTAGTGATCGCCTCAGGTATGCTCTTGCTGTCTACCAAAATTCCATCAAAATTTCCTATGGGATGTCAACATTTAAACAACCCAAAAAGGGTTAGAAATGTTTTCGATTTTGTACATAGTCTCATTCAAAGGAGTGATTTTACCCTTTAAAGTTGAGTAGGGACGATGCTACTTGGTAGACCTCAAGACAAAATACGAGGCTACTACTGTTGAAAATCTGACGTCTCTAGCTTGACTGTAGGCTATTTTACAGAGCTTTAAAAAAGAACAAATTTTCAATCAAACTTTACGAAATAAATGAAATATGATTCTCTTAAATGAGCCGTTGCAAATGCACTATTCTTCATCGTTTCTTTTCCGTCCGCGTCCGTTTGAAAATAAATATTCTCCCTTTGACAAACGAGACCCGGTTTTTCGCCCGAGACGCCCGTAAAGCGAGCGTCGCGGCGCCGCCGGCCAAAAGACCAAATCCATTTGGATATCAAAACAAAGCGCAGAATTGGCAACTTCACTTTTTATGCTAATGCTCCGCGATATTCTAATGTTTTTCGGTCCCCCTTTCCACCCCCCGTTTTTCCCCCCTCGTACTCTTTATGTTATTTCTCCTTCGTTTTTTCGTTCCAGCGCGGGTCTTTTGTTGTGATACGGAAATATAAAAATTATTCGACGCTAGAAAGCTTGATGTGGATGCGAAAGATGTGCTTAAAAGCATCCAATCTTTTAGAATTTATGAAGATATATGGAGTGTGCTTTTGTTTAAAAAAAAGTTTCGTTTCTCTATGGTTTGTTTTGAAAATATTCACATCGAAATCGAATAATAATGTGTTGTTTTTATTTATCGCGTACTGTCGTAATCAATCAATAATAACGGAATCAAAGCCGGCTGGGATTATGAGTTGAACGAACTTTAACATTTTGTATTTGAAAAGGTGGCAGAACTTATCGAAAATGTCAATATTCTAAATAGGAAAGATCCAATTTAAGGTGGGAAATACAATGCTCGTCGAAATTAGAAACTCGCCGTTTTGAAGCGATGTAAAATTGTTTATAGGGAAGCTAGAGGCGTGAAATTTTCAGTAAATGTAGCCTCATATAGTATCTTCAAATCTACCAAGTAGCATCATTCTTACTCAAATCCGAAGGGTGGAATCACCCCCTTGAATAAAACGATGTACAAAATCGAAACTTTTTGGAAAAAAATTGTAATCTCGCCGTTTTGAAGCGATGTAAAATTGCTTATAGAGAAGCTAGAGGCGTGAAATTTTCAGTAAATGTAGCCTCATATAGTATCTTCAAATCTACCAAGTAGCATCATCTTTACTCAAATCCGAAGGGTGGAATCACCCCCTTGAATAAAACGATGTACAAAATCGAAACTTTTTGGAGGAAATTTGTAATCTCTTTTGGATGTTCAAATGTATAGACTCCGAAGGAATTTTTGATGGAATTTTGGTAGACACCAAGAGCATACACAAGGCTATTACTACTGAAAATTTCACGTCTCTGACTTGACTATAGCCAATTTTACAGGGATTCAAAAAAGTGAGTTTCCAATTTTGTTGAACAGTATACAAGGTCTCGTTCAAAGGGATGGTTCCACCCTTAAGAATCAAATGGGGATGATGCAACTTAGTAGACCTAAAGACAACACAAGAGTCTACATTCACTAAAAATATCACGCCTCTACCTCTATTATATCCAATTTAACAAACCTTCAAAAATACTCGTGCATAAAACATTGTTTTATTATAATACACCCCAACCCCCTCCTAATCTCTAATAGAAATCGCACCTTTCCAACCCCCATCCACGTTTTCGAACCGTCTATTTTTATCCACCCCGAAATTTTCCACAACCTACTCGCCTCCGATAAATAATCGGGTTACCTCTCCCTCCCGGAAAGATCCGGGGATAATATTTAACCTACTATCAGATAGTAGATGAACTCCGAATTCATCCGGTCATCGAGATTATTTTCCACGAAAATTTCCCGATCGCTGTTGCCGATATTTCCCTGCTTAGGTACCCGAAAAATCACTATACAGGACCGGACCGACGCGATTTAAATATTGTGAGAGAGTGAGAGAAAGATGAGTGTATTTAATAGTGGATGAGAATGAGTGAGATGGAATTTTATAAATAAATTGTACTTGGGAGTGTGTTTGTGCGAATTGTTTAGGATTGTTTAAAACTATCTAGAACTCTTTTAGAACTGGGTAGAAAGGGGGGTAAAAAGGGTAAAACAGTTCAGGATTGCTTAGGACTGGTTAAAACGTTCTAGAACTGTCTAGAACTCACCTAAAACTGTGCAGAATCGTTTAGAACTAACAAGGACCGTTTAAAATAGTTTAGAATTGCTATCTAGAACTCTCCTAAAACTGGTCAGAATCGTTTAGAACTAAGTAGGACTATTTGAAACAGTTCAGGATTGCTTAGAACTGCTTAAAATCATCTAGAACTGTCCAGAACTAACCTAAAACTGTGAAGAATCGTTTAGAACTAACTAGGACCGCTTGAAAAAGTTCAGGATTGCTATCTAGAACTCTCCTAGAATTGGTCAGAATCGTTTAGAACTACGTAGGATAATTTGAAACAGTTCAGGATTGCTTCAGACTGCTTAAAACCATCTAGAACTATCCAGAACTCACCTAGAACTGTGCAGAATCGTTTAGAACTAAGTAGGACTATTTGAAACAGTTCAGGATTGCTTAGGACTGCTTAAAATCATCTAGAACTGTCCAAAACTCACCTAGAACTGTAAAAAATCGTTTAGAACTAACTAGGACCGTTTGAAAAAAATTCAGGATTGCTATCTAGAACTCTCCTAGAACTGGTCAGAATCGTTTAGAACTAAGTAGGATTATTTGAAACAGTTCAGGATTGCTTCAGACTGCTTAAAACCATCTAGAACTATCCAGAACTCTCCTAAAACTGGACAGAATCATTTAAAACTAAGTAGGAAACAATTCAAGATATTCAATATAATTTGGTAATGTCCAGGATAAGCTAGGAAAATTCACTACCATTTAATTCTAAAATTTCACTAGAATATTTTGAGCGTGTATAGTAAGTTCATGCTAACCCAGTCATGACGTCATTCATTATTAAACACGATTATGAAGTGTACGATGATGTCCTTAGGGATCTCATCCTAAATGGATGGTAAATAATTATTTAAAATATCGATTCGATTTTGCAGTTCGCCCGGAGCAGGAGGAAGCTACTTGGGCGACGTCAACGTTTCGGCCATTTTGGACTCCTTCAGCGTCAGCTACGACAAAAGAGTAAGACCGAATTACGGAGGTGAGTGGCCGAAAAATGCACGTACCAGATTTTCCGTTTATTTTTTTCGATTTTTCGTTTCAAAATTTTTATTTTCGACACGTTAGAATCGTTGGTAAAATTTTCCGGAACGTTCGCCGCGGCAACGCCGCGAATTTACCCGGAACGCCGGGGTTTTCGAAGAGCCGGCAACGCCGGAATTTTCCCCCCCGGAAAAGCGGCGGTTTTCCGGGAGCCGGCAACGCCGCCGCCGGCCTGGACCGGCCGCCCAATCGATGGCGGGCGGGCGTTGCTAGGCGACGCGCGCTATTTCTGATCCAGACCGATTTTCCAGACCGAGCTTCGCAGCCTCCTTTGCCGGAACCTCCTCCTTCTGCCGGGAATCTTTTAAAGGGAAATGTATCTCTCTCGCAATCGATGTGTGCACGCGGAATCGATTCCGTTGCTCGAAACTATCGATTGATTGCGTTGATATACAGGGTGTTTCATTCGAGTTTTTAACTGCGTGTGGATCTTTTAATTCTGAGCAACTTTTTGAAGTACATTTTTTTTATATTATGGGAAATAGCAAAGATGGAAATCTTCTAAATTTCTTTAAATTTCGAATATTTTCCAATATGACAGCTGTCAAAAAAATATTAAATAATTAATGACAAAAAATTAATTTTTCGATTGTTGAATTGAAAATGGCTCATTTTTATAGAAATAAGGAATTGGTGGACATTCTGATTATTTATGGAGAATGTTTTCAAAGCGTTTCCAATCAAAATGGCGACAAGTTTTAGCAGTTATTAAATAACTTTTTAATAATTAAAAATTGAAAAAAACATGCTCTCTTATTTTCCAAAAAATTAAAAAAATATTACTTGAAAAAATTGCTTAGTATTAAAAAATTAAAAAAAAAAGTATCAACTTATGAGACACCCTGTATAATTGCATACGATGCATTCTAAATAACAAACTCGTGACGTCACATAACTTTGCATCTACATTTTTATTCGACAAAAACAGCAAATTAGAATTTTCCAAGATAACTACTATTACTTACATATAACACATTCAACATTTCACGACGCTGACGTCACGCCAATCCAACATAAACACGACTATATTATATACATCCCATAAATATCGAAAGGGGTAGAGAAAACAGATATCCCACATCGTATCACCGTCGACACCTTTTCTCACCCCCCCAATATCTCGCAGGAATTTTACGTCTCTCGCAGGAACTTTACGGCCCCCTCGACGGCGCCGCCGCCCCTTTTTCCCCGGTTTTTACTGTCGCTCGTTTCGATCGAGAGGGTTCCACGGGAACCGGGGAATACCCTTATGAAGGGTATATACCCTTCGAAAAGGAAGGAAAATCGAAAGGATTTTCCGCCGGACTCGATTCGCATCGAAGATGGCGCGCCTATACATTGTTATGACGTCACGAGCTTGAATATTTAAATGAACTATATACGAATATTCGCATATACATTATTAAGTTAAACTATAGCGAATACTATATGAATATTCATAATGAATAGTGTGCTCTGAACTCGCTAATAATATACATACTTATAACGCGTTCGGTTTAATCGAGTCGTGACGTCGACGCAACGTTGCCACGTTGTGAGATTTATCCTGAATAACGGGAATAGTCGAAGGTGATGTTTCGCACGAATGAAACCCCGAGCGCGTTAAATTAAATTAAATGGAAGGAAAGTCCAGTTAGAGACTTGAAATTTTTAGTAATGATAGTCTCAGGTATGCTCTTGGTGTCTACCAAAATTCCATCAAAATTTCCTATGGGATGTCAACATTTAAACATCCCAAAGGGGTTGGAAATTTTTCTCTCGACATTTCGATTTTGTACATGGTCCCATTTAAATGAGTGATTTTACCCTTTAGAGTTGAGTAGGGATGATGCTACTCGGTAGACCTCAAGAACAGATACGAGGCTACTACTGTAGAAAATATGACGTCTGTAGCTTGACTGTAGCCTATTTTACAGAGCTTTGAAAAAGAACAAATTTTCAGTCAAACTTTACCTTGCTAAAATCATTTCTGTCACTATGTCAAACGTCATTATCAACGTCAAAATCACAGCCTACTAAATATGAAAGAAAAATATATTTTCCGCCGGACTCGATTCACATCGAAGATACATTTCTATACATTGTTATGACGTCACGAGCTTGAATATTCGATTGAACTATATGAATATATTCGCTTAAACATATACAGCGAATACTATATGAATATTCATACTGAATAGTGTGCTCTGAACTCGCTACTAATATACATACTTATAACACGTTCGGTTTGATCGAGTCGTGACGTCGACGCAACGTTGCCACGTTGTGACATTTATCCTGAATAATGCGAATAGTCGAATTTCGCACGAATGAAACCCCGGGCGTGTTAAATTAAATGGAAGGAAATTAAGAGGACGTGCGACGGGCGTCGCGGCGCCCTTTTCTCTCCCGTTATACCCGACGCTAAATGAATTACCGGCGTCCTTTCCGGGCTGGGTCGTAATTTTCCGAAAACAAACGTCTAGTACGTCTGGTTTACAGGCGAAAAATAAAATGGACAAAAAAAAGAATAATTGTCGAGGTCGAAGAGGGCGTTATACTTATGACGTACTTGTGACGTCACCGAGACCGGCCAATTACAATGCTCGGTTTTCATTGGGACTGTCCAATAAAAGCTCTGTATGAGTAGTGACGTCACTTTCGAGTGATATACAGACTTTATTTGCTCACTGTATATTATGTAGTATACGAGGGAGGTTAGAATTGTTGGTTTCGCTTTCACTTTACACGACGCACCGATTTTAAGGATAATTATACGAATAAATTGTTAAATAAACAAAAAATTAAATAAAATAACAACTCAATATCGCGCAAATTTAATTAACTACCTACTTACTAAAACAAATTAACAAAACAATTAATTAGTATATATAAATAAAAATTATTTTCCTTAAAATCGATTTTTTTTCTAAAAACCAAGCACAACTTCACACCGATATATACGACCACTTTGTCTCCTAGTATATTCAAATCGACACTTTTTTCAGTGTACTCGAAACAAATTCAGGGGGTAAATTCAATGAGGGTAAATTCAATGAGGGTAATTTCAGGTCCGCCGGTGGTTGTGGGAGTGACCATGTACGTGTTGAGCATCAGTTCTCTATCCGAAGTGAAAATGGTAGATACTCATACAACTCATGTAAAGTATTCGTGAGAATTAAATTTTTTTTGACATTTATATAATACATGTATAAAGAGCACTGTGTACAGAAACGAGAACGCGAAAAGTCGGCTTTGGAATTTTTTTTATACACGAATTATTTCTATCAGTGTAAGTACTACATTTCATTTAGATGGGTTAAAGTTCGATTGGAAAATTTGGTTGTTTTTTACTCAATAAAATGTAAATTTCCAGGAACTACCAAATTTTCTGAAACACCCGAAAAAACAAATCGACTTTTCCGTCCGACGAAAAAAAAAAAAACCCACAAACACACACACATAAAGCAAGGTTTTCCAGGCAAGGTTTTCCAGGCAAGATTTTCCAGGTTCCGAACAAAGGAGGACTCTCGCGCTCGACACGGTCTGAGGGTGTAACAAATATGATTAAAACCCCCAAAAAAATCCTTTTGAAAATTAAAAAATCGCCATCGCAGGGTAGGGAACAGGGTAGGGAAAAGGGTAGAGCAATGTTGTGTAGGAAAGATGTTTGGACAAAAAAAGATAATGTAGGAAAGGTTAGGAAAAATCGGGTAGAGAAAGTTAGCTTTAGTAGAAGAGTAACAATATTTTGTCGACTAGCAACAGTTGTGGGTAGGTAAAGAGAGTGTAGGAAAGAGAAGGGAACGATTAAGTAAGGAAAAGTAGTATAGGAAATGGTATTGTAGGAAAGGTTAGGTTAGGGATGGATTTGGAGAAGAAAGGGTAGTGAATAGAATAGAACAGGGTAGGTCAGGGCGGGCGTGGGTGGATATTTGAAAACAGTAAAAAAAAATTCCCCATGAGTTTTTTCTTGTAATTACAAGAAATTTCCACTTCCAGGCCCACCCGTGGACGTGGGAGTCACGATGTACGTGCTAAGTATCAGCTCGTTGTCCGAGGTCCAAATGGTTAGAAATTTTCATAAATCTCAAACAAAAAAAAAATGTTATATTTATTGATAATGGATATTTTTGAAATGTTCCTTGATTGTTCGATTTTTTTTTCGTTATCCAATTTTCGTTTCGAACTGTTTTCTCTTATTTTTCTTTTGAGTTCGAGTAGTAGATTTAGCCCCGTTACCCAGACGGACTGCAATTCACGATACCACACAATGTCCCTCTACCTACGCATCACCAAAAAAATTAGTCGACTAGCAACAATATTTTGTCGACTAGCAACAATATTTTGTCGACTAGCAACAATATTTTGTCGACCAGCAACAATTGCTTGTCGACTAGCAACAATTTTAATCGGCTAGCAACACTATTTTTGTCGACTAGCAACAACTTCCTCTGCTAATAAAAACGTTTTACCCGGCTAGCGACGGTTTTGGTCGACTAGCAACAATATTTTCATCGGTCAAGCAAAATATATCTATTTCACAAATGACATTTTTCGATATTTTTAGACATTCCAATCGAAGGGTTTTATTTAGAGAACCGTAAGTGGGCGGTGGAAAGAATTAATTTCCGAGCGATTTCGCTATATTTTATTTTTCCCCGGGAAAATCGGGGAGAGCTGGAAAAGCGTGGGTAGACGGACGTTTTCCTCTTATGAAAAACGGCTGAAACTTTCGTTTTGACGCTCCGCTAGTCTGACGGAGTTCATTCGTTGATATGCTTGTTAGATTTGAATCAGTAAGCTTCTAGGGCATTGCATGTTATATAAATAGTTTCTTTTTTAATCGATGATGAATTTATATTAATTTATATATAATATTTTAAATATATACAGGGTGTTTCGATTAGAAATCGACACGGAGGAGAGTATAGAATGTGTGGTAATTTTTTTATTCACATTAGTTTTGCGATAAGTTGAATTCCTGATGAGTTCTGCTGTCTTGAAAAATCAACATAAGATAGTTCTGAAATTTTATCTTCAGGACCGAATTTGCAAAAAATACGTTTATTAATCTTATTTTATGGTATTTTCTAAGTTTATTCGAGCATTTACTCAAAATTTCTCACAATGTTTTCTACTGTTTTCTACTTATCTCTTCAAATAAGTTGTATGAATATTATTTTCCCAATATCTCGAAAATTAAACGTTTTTCGAAAATTTTTGATTCTTCAAAAATTATAGAGAATTGTTTTTTCTATAAAACAACATAAACAGTACATTTCTAACTCAATTAGTTTTCGAGATAATCGCCATTTTCCATAGAATACCACTAAAACTCTCAATTTCGACACCATCAATAAAAACTCAAAATATCTCGAAAATTAAGCAATTTTAGAAAATTTTCCACTCTCCAAAAATTATACAGAAATATTTTTCCTACAAAATAACCCAAACAGCACATTTCTATCTCAATTAATTTTCGAGATATTCGCGATAATTGTTTACTCCTCACATTTCTATACCCTATATATTTTTAAACACCTACCAGTTCTCGAGCTCGCGCAGCTCTCGAGACACCGACTAGCTCAACAATATTTACAAACGTACTATTTCGCGAATTGCAGTCCGGCCGCCCGTTCTATAATTAAAATACAAAAAAAATAAAAACAATAACCAAAAAAAATGTTTGTTGCACGAGCGGCGTAGTTTCGCTCGACGAGGCGGCAGGCCAAGGGCACCCGATTTGATTTGGTTTTCATTTTATATCGGGCGATGCGCAACTCAGGAAAAGTTTGCTTGCCATTACAGGCCCGCCCGTGGACGTGGGAGTCACCATGTATGTGCTCAGTATCAGCTCCGTCTCAGAAGTACTCATGGTATTTACACAAAACTATTCAACTATTATCTTGTCTTATCTTATCTTGATTATCGCATTTGATATGTAACAAAATCGTTTCCTTTTTATTTTGATTTTTCGTTTAATTTTTTACAAAAAAATATGTTTTCTTCAACTGCTATCTTCATTATTTGAAACGTATACGAATCCATTTTTCCTTGTTTTTTTTTTAATTTTTTTTGTTTTTTTTTTCTATTGCTATGGAAACGAATTTGTCGGGACAATTCTTCGGGACAATTTTGGTTCCTTTGATGATTAAAATACGTTGATTTAAAGTAGGCTGTGAAAAATCAGTGAAAAATTTTTATCTAATCATAAATTTATAGTCAACAGAAGGTCAAATTTTGCAATGATGACATTTTTGTAGTTAAAAGAATAACTAATTTTGTTCTGATCACAAATTTGTAGTTAATGAAAGGACTAATTTTGTTCTGATCAGAAATTTGTAGTCAATAAAAGGTCTAATTTTGTTCTGATCAGAAATTTGTAGTTAATTAATGGACTAATTTTGTTCTGATCACAAATTTGTAGTTAATAAAAGGACTAATTTTGTTCTGATCAGAAATTTGTAGTCAATAAAAGGTCTAATTTTGTTCTGATCAGAAATTTGTAGTTAATTAATGGACTAATTTTGTTCTGATCACCAATTTGTAGTCAATAAATAGTATAATTTTGTTCTGATCACAAATTTGTAGTCAATACAGGACTAATTTTGTTCTGATCAGAAATTTGTAGTTAATAAAAAGTCTAATTTTGTTCTGATCACAAATATGCAGTCAATAGAATGTCAAATTTAGTGCTGATAACAAATTTGTAGTCAACAGAATGTCAAATTTAGTCCTGATAACAAATTTGTAGTCAACAAAAGGTAAATTTTTATCCTGATCACAAATTTATAGTCAAATTTGACCTTGATCACAATTTTTTAATGAACAAAAAAAAACAATTTTGTCCTGATCACAAAGATTTTAATCACGCAGAAGGAACGGTTTTGTCCTGAAGGATATCTTCTTCTTCCAGTATACTAATAATATATTATATAGCATCACTTTGTAAACTGTAAAATTGAAACTATGTGTTGCAACCCCACGAAAAGTGCAGAAATGTATACGTGTGTGTGCGTGTTGTGATGCCTACAAATTTACCAGAACACTCTTGATCAGAAATTATCTTGCTCTATCTAATATAACAAGTTTTACACCAGGTAAGATAACTGGCGACCTCTAAAAAAAATCCTGACTGTTCTTACTAACGAATTTTCCACTACGCAATTGACTAGCAACATTTACGAGAGACTAGCAACATTTTGTATTGCCTAGTAGGTGACTCTTTTTTATTGACTAGTAACATTTTTATTGACTAGTAACATTTTTATTGACTAGCAACATATTTATGACTAGCAACATTTTTTGATGACTAGCAAATTGGCTGGTTCTGTATTTTTATTCAAAAATTATGTAATAGGATTACATTTTTTGGCATAACTCGAGTAAGCTTCGAGATAAAATCGCGAATTTTTCACCATTTGGTAGAGAAAAGATTCCTCTACAATCTAGCAATTCGAAAATCTTTGAAATTTCGTGTCAAATCGGAGTTTCGATGCAGAAAATGAACTCGTTTCGAACTCGATAGTCGCGACTGGGAAACTGGGCAGGATGAGATAGTGACATTTACGTAAACGCGATGTCAATTACCTCCGAGGATATTTCCTGCACTCCTGCTATCCTGCCGCACTTCCACAGGTTAAGTTTTATCACCAGTATCGCGCCGGCCTGCGCACGAACAGGACCGGATTCCTGCGCGTAAAATCGATTCCTGCAATAGGAAATTCGCCGACACTTCGTCGATTTATTCTCTCTTTCGAGATTTTTCCGAATTTTTAAAAGGCCACGATAGTTCATCGATAAAATCCAAATCCCCGAAAACTAGGTTAACTACAACGATCCGGCAACGCTGTAAAATATAAATAGAACATGTTAACACCTCTACAGAGCATCGAACACGTCCCTCCTTTACGAGCTGGGAAAAATAAGGGATGAAATAAATAAATAAATAACGAACATACGAAGCACAAAAATAAAATTCTCACTACATAATTTATATTCCACAAAACGACGAAAACCAGAGAAGCAATTGTATAGTGACAGATGACACAAGTGACGGATGACAACTGACGGATAACAGGTGACAGATGACAAGTGACAGATGACAAGTGACAGATGACAAGTGGCAGATGACAAGTGACAGATGACAAGTGACAGATGACAAGTGACGGATGACAAGTGACAGATGACAAGCGACTTATTGTCTATCCGGAAATGAATTTATTTGCGACCAATTAGCGTGGGCAAGAAAATTTCTGATCCACATCTTTGATATACAGTATGTTCTTTGCGTATATATATATATACTAAATGTCACAGCAGTCTTGAATACTTGGACTGTGCGCATGACCGCCTAAGATCCGCTGCCAAATCGCTTTAATCGTGTACTCGAGGTGTACTCAAAGGTGTGTACTTATCCGGCTGTCTTTCCGGTTTTTTTTTTCACGCTTTCCAGAATTTTCGACAAAGCGAAGCGAGCTTCGTTTGTCCAGTGGTTCTGGAAAGACTGCGAATGTCTATACAGGGTTGGCCTGTTGCGATGCGGATATATAGGAACGATGCGAGTGCGAGAAAGAGAGTGTACATGATCAATGTATAATAGAGGGAGAGCGAGAGAGTATTACACTTTTTTTTAAATTGTATTAGGAAATGTTCCAGAATCATTTAGAATCAAAAAAACTCGTATCCACATCGTCAGAAACCAACCCTGTACTTATAAAAAAAAACCAAAAAAAGTACCAAGTTAGTACCAAGAAAGGTCACCGGCATATCAACTATACACATACTAGATGTTGTCTTGTACTTTGTACTATTTATTTACATTTTGTTTTTCTTTTCAGTTCGTTTATTTTACGTTATTCTTCTATATATTGTATGTAAAAAAAAAACACTCAAGGTCTAAGGGAAGTACCGAATTAGACGAAACGACCTCTCGAGGGTACCACCCCCTTAGACCATATGGAAACCAAATCAAGGTTAAAGGTCACACTAGGACGTGACCCTGGCCTGTCAAGCGCGTGAGTCCGTTTCATTACACCCCTCAAAACCCCCCTAAAACCACCCCCCGAACACCCCCCAAACATCGGGGCAGGGCAGATAAGTACTATGTACTATATACTATAATATATATAGTACTATATATACTATAGTACTGTGTAGTACTATTTTTTTTTCATTTTATAATATCCTTTTGAATGATACCAGTACCTTTCCAAGCATGCTGAATGTCTTCAGTTGATATTGATTTGTATTGATTGATTTTAGTTAAGTTATCGAAGGATTGTGTGTTTATAATAGTACTGGATATAATCTAGTAATATCAATAATAGATAATAATATTAATTGTAATAATAAAAAGAATTATGATACCAAAAGTTGATGAAGAAGAAGGAGATTTGTTGGTAAATAGGTAGGAAAGGGATGATTAAGGAGTTTGTTCAATTATTAAGTATTTTCTTCATATTTTCTCTCTTTCCTCTTCTTGCAGTTTCCCTGTTCTTATTCTATTTCTTTCTTCTCCAAATTTTCTATCCTTCCGTTGAAAACTTTGAGAATCTATCCAGATTCTCTTCTATCTGCAATCCTCTCCCTAGTCTTTTTTCAATTTCTTTATTCTCTTCCTCGCCTCTTCCACCTCTTCTACATCTTCTACCTCTTCTACCTCTTCTACATCTTCTACATCTTCTACATCTTCTACATCTTCTACATCTTCTACATCTTCTACATCTTCTACATCTTCTACATCTTCTACATCTTCTACATCTTCTACATCTTCTACATCTTCTACCTCTTCTACATCTTCTACATCTTCTACATCTTCTACATCTTCTACATCTTCTACATCTTCTACCTCTTCTTCCTCTTCCTTTTCCTGAATTTATTATTTACCTTCTCCAAATTTGCGAATCTCTCGTGATTTTCTCCTTTCTACAAACTCCCTCCTAGTCTTCCAGTTATTTTACTACATATTCCTTCCTTCTGTTATTTCGATTGTTTGGCAACATCGCAATCATAAATGTCAATTTATCAAGTAAACTTCGTAGTTTCCCCGGCCGACTTGGATGTAAATCGTAATTCTAGCGATTCTCGACGTCTTTTGTTTTCCTAATGAGCGCTCGAGCAAGGTGAGTTGTTAGGTGAAGTGTTGCTCTGGAAAATTTAACTCTGGAGAACTAATAAATAAATGATATACGCTATATGTAGCGTGTATGGTGGAGGTGTGGAATATAAATTTTCGGGAAAATTCCAGAGGAAACGTAATAGAGTCTTGGCAGCGATCCAGAGTCGCACTGCACCTTTTCCAGGCCGGACGAAATCCCATCCTGGATTCCGGTAGGTAAATCCCGGATTAAAAATTAACATAACATGGAGAATAATGTTAATAAAAAATGGGAAATATTAGTAATTTTTTTTTTCGAATTCTACAGCGAAAATTAATATAAAAATAACGAAATTTCTTCTTACAATTTCGAATTACACGTTGGACGATTACCCACGTTATTCCTGCACCCTTGCAGGATAATAATTGCAGCGATATTGACCGATTGTTAGGGAAACTAGGTTAAGGTTTATCGATTAATTTTTTCCTGCTGAATAATTTTTTTATTTATATTTTTATTAATTTATTTATATCGTAGTCGCTTCGTAAAAATAACTGGTGAAATGAGGATATGTAGTTACTCGATTCCTTCGGCATACATCCAATCTTTTTGTATCAAATGTTAATTTATTGTTGGAGGAATGAAAGAGAAGAAAATCCTTTCAATTTTGTAAAACAACGGGGGGAAAAGTTAAATGAATGTGTCTGATGAATGAAATTTCCCATTGAAATCGGGTCAATGTCACGATTAGTATCATTCTGTACTAGTTTGTTCGTGCTTTTATTACAAATATCGATTTTCATTAGCTCAAAGAACATCGCGTCTTCCTTGCCACACTGCCCGTCGAAATTAGTGAGGCACTTTTTCGTGTAAACCACTGTAAAATTGCCTGCATCGGAGCTATAAACGTGAAATTTTCACTAGAAGTAGCCACGAGTCTGTTCTTAAGGTCTACAAAGTAGCATCATCCTCACTCAACTCCAAAGGGTTCATTCATCCCTTCGAATGTGATCTCCTGTACTGTTCATCAAAATTAGTGACTCACTTTTTTGAAGTCCTGTAAAATTGGGTAGAGTCAAGGTAGACTCGGGAAATTTTTAGCAGTTGTAGCCTCATATCTTGCAGTATTGTCTACCAAAAATGTACCAAATTTTTTCTTGGTATGTGTTTATAAAAACATCCCAAAAGGTTTACAAATTTTCCCCAAAACAAATCAATTTTGTACACTGTTCCATTTCAAGACGTGGTTCTACCATTTGGAGTTGAGTGATGAAGATGCTACTTGGTAGACCTTAAGATAAGATATGAAGCTAACTTTACTGAAAATTCCAGATTTCTATCTCTTCTACAGCTAATTGTACAGAGCTTCAAAAAATGAGTAGCTAATTTTGACGAATAGTGTAGTTTCTCCCGATTTTTCCACTAAAATCGGGAAAATTAACAGCTATTGACAGAAATGTAATTTAGATTCAGATTATGCGTAAACACTAAACACATTAACTTGCCATAAAAGCGAAAAGAAACGAACAAACTCCATTAGTATATTCCATTAAACGCTTTAATGGAGAATTTCCCAACCATTTTCCTATTTTATAAAATAATAATAAGGCAACAAAAATGGATCGTTTACGGTATGTTACAAACACACAATCTTTCAAATATGTATTGGAAAATTAGAAATGGGGTATAAAACATCAAAAATAGACAAATGACAAGTGACAAGTATGGCATTTGACGTTTTATATCCTCATATGGGTTAATAGAGTATTCCAAGAACACAATCGAAATTGGCTACGACCAATCCTGGAGGAAAAGAGCTTCATTGGCCTTATCCAGATCCAATTTTGCAGAGTCTTCTATTCCAGAAGTTCTCTATTAGAAACCTGCAGGTGTCATCAAACCCTTCCAGGTCCTATTTCCCCACCAAACTCCTCCATTACAAAGCTATAACTCCAACCAAACTCTTCAAATTCCTCTATTAGATACCTGCAGGTGTAATCAAACCCTTCCAGGTCCTATTTCCCCACCAAACTCCTCCATTACAAAGCTATAACTCCAACCAAACTCTTCAAATGCCTCTATTAGATACCTGCAGGTGTAATCAAACCCTTCCAGGTCCTATTTCCCAACCAAACTCCTCCATTACAAAGCTATAACTCCAACCAAACTCTTCAAATTCCTCTATTAGATACCTGCAGGTGTAATAGAACCCTTCCAGGTCCTATTTCCCAATCAAACTCCTCCATTACAAAGCTATAATTCCAACCAAACTCTTCAAATTCCTCTATTACATACCTTCAAGTGTAATCAAACCCTTCCAGGTCCTATTTCCCAACCAAACTCCTCCATTACAAAGCTATAACTCCAACCAAACTCTTCAAATTCCTCTATTAGATACCTGCAGGTGTAATCAAACCCTTCCAGGTCCTATTTCCCCACCAAACTCCTCCATTACAAAGCTATAACTCCAACCAAATTCCTCCATTATTTTCACGGACTACTCTATTAAATCGAAGCAAATTATGGATAATACAATTAAAGCATGGCAAGCTACAAACTCCCCGCATGCAACCCCCGATTATCGGAGGAAACCCTCCGAGAAAACCGCCCCCCCTCCCAAGAATTTCCCATCGTCTAATCGCCGCCGGCGGTTCCGCAGGACTTCACCTTGGACTTTTACTTCCGGCAATTCTGGACGGACCCCCGGCTGGCGTTCAGGAAGCGACCCAGCGTGGAGATCCTCTCCGTCGGCTCGGAGTTCATCAAGAACATCTGGGTGCCGGATACATTCTTCGTTAACGAGAAGCATTCTTCTTTCCACATGGCCACCACCTCCAACGAGTTCATCAGGATACACCATTCCGGATCGATTACGCGGAGTATTCGGTGAGTTTTTGCGATTTTTTTTTTGATGGGATGAGGAAATTTGGTAGAAGAAACAGTTTTCCTGCTCTTATTCTGTTCCTTACATTGGTCCTTCATTCTACTTTCTCCTATAGTCTTTCAGTTTTCTTGGAATTGCTATATTTCATTTACCACTTCTTCCAGTTTTCCATCTTTTTGCCTCTCTATATGCTCCTCTATACCATTTTCCATCATTCTACTTTCTCCAAGTCTTCCAGTTTTTGTGCTCTTATTCTATTGCTTAGACCTTTTATTGGTCCTTTATTCTACTTTCTTCTGTAGTCTTTTAGTTTTCCTGGGATTGCTCTATTCCTTTCACCACTTCTTCCAGTTTTACTTCTTTTTATGTTCCACTTTTTCCTAGTCTTTCAGCTATACAGGAATGCATCTCTATACCATTTTCCATCAACCTACTTTCTCCCAGTCTTCTAGTTTTCCTGGGATTGTTCTATTTCTTTCACCACTTCTTCCAGTTTTCCTTCTTTTTTACGTTCCACCTCTTCCAGTTTTCCACCATTCTACTTTCTCCTGGTCTTCTGGTTCCCCAGGATTTTTTTTTGTAATTGGTTTTTTTGGGTTTTCCAGATTGACAATTACCGCTTCGTGTCCGATGAATCTCCAGTATTTTCCAATGGATAGACAGCTCTGCCATATCGAAATCGAAAGTTGTAAGTTGGCTTTTCCAGACACTTTATTACGTGGATTTCGTTTGTTTTTCAACGGTGTGTTGATGATGAAAAAAACAATTTAACAGAGCTTTTAAACAGCACTTTAAAGCACTATTATATGTTGATGAAAAATCCACTTTAAATAAATATATACAGGATCGGCCTGCTGTGATTTGGATACCTAATAGTTAGCATTGTTTGGTACCATTTTAGAACCAATTATGACTATTTGGAACATTTAGTCAGGCATCGCCTCAGACCGACCCTGTATATCGATTTATTAAACAAATCAGCAGCTAATCTGATATATACAACTCGATTTTAGTTCGTTTTCCCAGCCACCTATCTGATTTTAAAAATAATTTTAAATTTAACGCCCCACTCACCCCTCCTCGAATCCTTCGGCATCCTTCTCTTATACAGCACTCGCGGAAGGACGACCGATTTTGAAAAATTTCGAATATTTTTATACAGAGCGTTGACGAGCTTCGGACCAAAAATGAATAAATAAAAATGAGTATTTTCCAAATTATTTTCTACATTTTTTTTGATTATTCATATTTAATCTTGTCGAGTAATTAATAGCAGAAATAATTGGAGGATTTGTTAATTACATTAAAGCAGCACTACACGACAACGCGACGCAGCGCATACCGATGCACGTGTACTTTTAATTAACCAGATACTAATTAATTAATTAATTAATTTTATTTATTAATCTGTATTCTTTTAATCTTCATATTTATTATTAGTATTTTTGCTTAATACATGCTTTGGCTTCATTTTGAAATTATTAATTATTATACAGGGAGTACCAAAATTTCACCCTGTAATACAAAGTAACTAATCATACAATGTGAATTATACAGGGTGAAATTTAACGTAAAAAGAATCATATTTTTGACGAGTTATTCATTTTAATTATGGGAATAAGGGGGCTCAATTGAACAACAACAACAACAACCCGGGAGAGCTGTCAAACGAGCTGTCAAAATTCGTTTGACAGGTCTCCTTCGACAGCTGTTGAACGTCTTTTGTTTTGTGGCCGCGATTTAGTCGGTTATACGATGAGGGACATCCGGTATAAATGGAATTCGGGCGTTAAAAGCGTCGGAATTAGCAACGAAGTGGAGCTGCCCCAATTCAGGGTGCTGGGACACAGGCAGAGACAAACCATTATATCGTTGAGTACAGGTAGGGTGTGATGTGATGGATTTTTCCAAAAAAAAATTTTTTTTTTTTTTTGTTGAGTTTTTCTTCCTTTTATTTCATTGTCTTTTTCCTACTGGTGTTTCTTCTTTCTTTTTTATTTTTTTTTTCTAATTGTTTTGGTTCATTTTTTTTAATAAAATTCGGCACAGTAAGTACTCAAAAGACAATTAAAAAGGATATTTTTCACTGAAAAAATCACACACCGAAAATGTTTGTTGTTTTTTTTGATGTTTTCACCGCAGATCATTTCGATTTCGGTTAAAAGTAGCGGGATTAAAAGCTTAATAAACGAGAGTGAGGACTTTATAGCGCAAATTATGATACTTTTTATAGATCAGTTTACCGTCCGACTAGTTTCTTACACAAAAAGCAATTTTTATAATTTTTTAATCAATGAAAGTGAGGACTTTAAAGTGCGTATTATGATACTTTTTATAGATCAGTTTACCGTCCGACTAGTTGATTTAATTGATTAATCCCGGTACTGTTTACACCAATTGGAATGCTACTACAGACAAATATACTGCGAACTGTATACTATCTGTAGACATTAATAAAAGCTTCAATGCTACTACACCCGTTTTACGATAAATATACCGGGTGTGTACGATAAATCAACCGTTTTAAAATTAACGAGTACCGCTTCAAACGCTTGATATTTTATATTAAAATCACCACAAAAAAAACTAAGTCTAATCGACGAGTGCTGTATAATAATTCAACCCGACCAAAAATAGAGGATTTCGCTGCTGTTTGTACAAATACGAAAAAAAAAACCAAAAAAAAAAAAGAAAAAAAAAATGGCACTGGCTTGTGATTACAGTCGGTTACACCATGCGGGACATCCGGTATAAATGGAACGAAGGTCCCAATTCGGTTGGTGTATCCAACGAGGTGTCGCTGCCCCAATTCAAGGTCCTGGGACACAGGCAAAGGGCCATGGAAATCAGTCTGACCACAGGTATTAATTGATCCCAATTTACAAATTGATCCCAAATTTTCAAATTTCGATTAATTTTTTACTCTGGAGTACAGTTTGATCGATTAGAAGAGGTCCAATATAATAATAAATTGCATGCATATCTTACATATCTTACATACTTAAAAAAATTAAATTATCTAACACTTTTTGTATTGGTTTACGCAACCTACTAGTACATAGCTTGGAAATTATTAAATGTTCCCTGTATATATATTCATATACGAGCATGCAGACACAAAAAAAGGTAACTTTTTTCGGTTCACCGGTATAAAATAAATTGATGTTTTGCAGGAAATTACTCGAGATTAGCCTGCGAGATACAATTCGTACGATCGATGGGTTATTATCTCATTCAAATTTACATCCCGTCCGGCCTTATCGTCATTATCTCATGGGTGAGTCTGCCAGCTTTAGAAAGCTTTATAAACCCTCTAAATCTCAAGATAGATAAAGCTAGATAAAGTTAGATAAAGCTTTTGTACCCCTGAAATTCCAACAATCAACAAAAGTTTAGGTAAACCTAGATAAAACTGGTTAATCTAGATAAAACTGGGTAAATCTAGGTAAAGCTAGGTAAAGCTAGGTAAAGCTAGGTAAAGCTAGGTAAAGCTAGGTAAAGCTAGGTAAAGATAGGTAAAGCTAGGTAAAGCTAGGTAACTAAACTGAAAAATCAACCTAGTGTAAACTTCAATTACTTTAGATATGTACATTATATCTTACATATCTAACTTTATCTAATAAATATAGGTGAGCTTCTGGTTGAATCGTAACGCCACCCCTGCTAGGGTAGCCCTTGGTGTCACCACTGTATTGACCATGACAACTTTGATGTCTTCGACCAATGCTGCTCTACCAAAAATTTCCTACGTGAAATCCATCGATGTCTACCTGGGGACCTGTTTCGTGATGGTCTTTGCCAGTTTACTAGGTGAGTTTGTTTTTCCATTATCCAGATTGTATGTATTTACCAAATTTTGGATTTGGTTTATTCCAAACTGGAGTCTTACCAATAACCCTATAGTTCTTAGAGTAATGTTATGAATTATGGTTATGGATTTAGATCATTTGGATCTGGATTATTACCAAAATCAGATATAGTTCATAGGTCATTATTATGGTCTAATTCTGGATTTGTGTCTATTGTAATCTGGCTGAGGTTTTGAACAGATCAGATTTTATTGGTGTGTTTTATGAGTTTATTGGTTGATTTGTTTCCAGAATACGCCACCGTTGGTTACATGGCGAAACGAATACAAATGCGAAAAAACCGGTTTCTAGCGATACAAAAAATAGCCGAGCAGAAGAAACTAAATGTTGATGGTGGACCTGACGATCATGCGCCCAAACAAACAGTGAGTAGTCGTCCAATTGGTTAGATTAAGCCATCAAATACCCCTACCAAAGCCTCCACAACCTCCACCAAAAATTCCTATCAAAATCTCCATCAAAACGTCACAAAACCATCACTCCAACCTCACCTCAACTAAAAGTGTCGAAACCTCTATCAAAATTTCCAAAACCTCACCAAAAATTCCATTAAAACCTCAAAAAACTATCACCCCAACTAAAAGTGTCAAAACCTCTATCAAAATCTCCAAAACCAGATTTTTGGAGTGGTCAATGAGTTGAAAATTGGTTATTAAAGAACTAGAATTGATTTTGGAGTATTCAAGGAGTTCAAAAATTGGTTATTAAGGAAGTAGAATCGATCTTGCAGTGTTCAAGGATTTGAAAAATGAATATTAAAGAACTATAATCGATTTTGGAGTGTTCAAAAAGTTAAAAATCAATTATTAAAGAACTAGAATGGATTTTAGAGTGTTCAAGGAGTGCAAAAATTGAAGATATCGTTGAATTTTGAACACTTGAACACTTTTGAAACCATCACAAAACCATCACCCCAACCTCACCTCAACTAAAAGAGTCCTACCTCCATCAAAATCTCCATCTAAAGCTCCACCACCCCCCACACCTTAACCGAAACCTCCAAACCCTCAATCCAATCCAGTAACAGAACCTCCAAAACCTCCAGAATCTCAACCAGAACCTCCAGAATCTCATCCAAAACCTCCAGAACCTCCAGAATCTCAACCAAAACCTCCAAAATCTCAACCAAAACCTCCGGAACCTCCACCAAAACCTCCACCAACCCAGCTTCCAGACGACTTGTTAGTTGGAACCCTCGTTCCAGGAGGTACGCTTCAAGGTTCACGACCCCAAGGCGCACAGCAAGGGCGGCACGCTCGAGAGCACCGTGAACGGCGGCCGTGGAGGCGGCGGCGGCGATCGCGGGGGCGGCGCCCCCGACGAGGAGGCCTGCGCCCCCATACCCCAGCACATCATCCACCCCAACAAGGACATCAACAAATTGTACGGGATCACGCCGTCGGACATCGACAAGTACTCCAGGATAGTGTTTCCCGTGTGTTTCGTGTGCTTCAATCTGATGTACTGGATCATTTACTTGCACATTTCCGACGTCGTCGCCGACGATCTAGTGCTCTTGGAGTCCGATAAGTGAATCGGAGAGGGCGATGGACGGGCGAATGGGTTCCTGGTGATTTGGCGGTTTCGTTTGGTTTTAGTTGTACTAGGTTCATTGGTACTTTACTATAAGCTCGTTTGAGGTACTGTCGCAAGCTTATTGTTCGTTTAAATTTGAGGGGTGAGGTTACTTGGGATGTTTTAGGTGTGTTTTGGACATATTGGGTGTGTCCAATTGTGCATGGGAGAATGTACTTGTACTATATTATTTGAGGTTGTTTTTGGTCTATGTGAGATTGGTTAAAATAATGCTAGAATCGATGTTATTGAGTTCAAGGAGGGTACAATCAATTATTAAAGAACTAGAGTTGATTTTGGAGTGTTCAAAAAGTTGAAAATCGATTATTAAAGAACTAGAATTGATTTGGGAGTGTTCAATGAGGGGAAAATCAATTATTAAAGAACTAGAATAGATTTTGGAGTGTTCAAGGAGCTGAAAATTGGTTATTAAAGAACTAGCATTGATTTTGGAGTGTTTAAGAATAAAATCAAGGGGACAAAAATGATTTTTAAAGTACTAGAATGGATTTTGGAATGTTCAAAAGGAGTTAAATTTGTTAATAGAACGCTAGAATTGATTTTGGAGTGTTCAAAAAGTGGAAAATTGGTTATTAAAGAACTAGAATTGATTTTAGAGTGTTCAAGGTGTTCGAAAATTGGTTATTGAAGAACTAGAATTAATTTTGGAGTGTTCAAGGAGTTGAAAATTAGTTATTAAAGAACTAGAATTGATTTTGGAGTGCTTAAGGAGTGTGAAAATTGAACCTTTGACCACTTTGAACATAGAGAAGAAGATTTTTGTAATGTTGTTCAATGAGTTCAACTTTTGAACAATTCTTTTAAATTTCATGACTATTTGGTCCAACGAATAATAAGTTTGCCAGAGTACTCAGACCATTTACTGTTAAAGAAATCGCTTCGGAAGTTTCAGCACTAAATCTTAAAAATAATTCCATCACTGTTTCCATGAATTGCTCATGTAAGTTATTAAAGGCATTAAAAGCTTTCCAGACATGTTTAAACCGAATGGAATCGAATCGTCAGAGAACCCGTTTTTATAAATCCCGTTCGAGTGACTAAAATTACCTAAAATTAATGAAATTCGTGATTTTTTTTAAACCGAGATTTTTTAGGTTAGATGTTGAAAATTTACCAAAATATTTTTTGGTGGAATTTTATTCGAAAATTTCCAAATCCCGTTTCCAATGCGCGACGTTAAATAAGCGATAAATTTATAGAGTCAAGCGTATTGGAAAGGGGAGAAAATAACGATTGTTTTTATTTTTTTGTTGTTTTTTTTTTAGAGAAAAAATTTTTCGAAAAAATATCGCTCAGTCGGCTGTGCTATTTCGTGCTATTTTGGAAATCGTGGACGATTCACGAGGAGAATTGAAGAACTGAGCACTCTTCAATTGGAAATTAACCTCATTTTATTTCGAAGATAAAACTTTTTTTCTATAAAATCCAATAATTTTCAAAAAATTAACAGGATTCGATAAAATCTCCAAAAAAAAAAGTTTTATCTACCAAAAAATAAACCTTTCAATTCACGTTCGAAAAACTCGATTCAAAAAAATAATTAATAAAAAAATAAATTTATATTTATTTAAAATCGTTACGTTCTAGTCGCTGGTAGTCTAGAGTCGATTAGTTGTATAGTAAAAAAAAAGATATACAATTAATTAATTATTAATTTGTTTATTAATTGACAATTAATGAACAAACAATTAAAGGATATTTAATTGGGAAGAAAAATGTCACGATTATATAGACTGCAATACGAATGATTTTTGTACTCCTTATAAACTGATAAAAAATTAATTAAGTAATTAATTAGCGTTTCGATTGTTCGTGTTGCGGATTTTATTTAATTTATCTATCGATAAAATCCCCGAAATAATTCCGAATTTAACGAGCACAAAACAAAAAAAAACTTATGACATCTGCCACTTGTCGAGTGTCATATATGTGTCATGTGTCATGTGTCATATGTCAATCTACGCTTTCTCGTCAATTGCCGATAAAACGGGCGTTTTTCTCGATAATTGTGTAATTAAATTTAATTGGGAATTATTTTCGCGGGGCCCGTATAAAGTATTGTAAATAAAACGTTCCTGTTTTTTACCTAATCCACGCACAGAACCCAGCTAACAAAAGGAAAAAAAATGATAATTAGTATATAGTATAAGCACGTAAAAACAATTTACACGTACCCCTATATTGTTAGGGTACTTTGATTTCATTGTGATCTAGTACATTCTAGTACGCATCTAAATATACCGGTGGTAAAAAGGAACTTTTTTGAGGCCCTGTAAAATTAGCTATAGTAAAGATAGAGACGTGATATTTTCAGTAGTTATAGCCACATGTGTTGTCTTGGAGTCTACAAAGTAGCATCATCCCCATTTGATTATACAGGGTGGAACCACCCTTTTGAATGAGACCTTTTTTTTTAACAAGTCGATTCGCATTTTTGAAACGCTGTAAAATTGGGTATAGCAGAGTTAGAGACGTGAAATTTTTACCAGGGGTAGACTCAAGTGTTGTCTTGGTGCTCTAAAAAATTCCACCAAGACGTCATAGTTTAAACATCCCAATGAGGTTACCAATTTCTCACGAAAAAATGTTTGTTCACGGTCTCGTTTAAAGGGGTGTTTCCACCCTTTGGAGTCGAGTGTAGGGGATGCTATTTGGTAGACCTTAAGATGAGATATAAGGCTATGTGTGATGAAAATTTCACGTCTCTAGCTCGACTATAGCCCGTTTTACAGGGCTTCGAAAACAGCGAATGGCTAATTTTTTATATAGGAGGGCGAATCGCAAAGCGGGCAACTTTTCGATCCGCCCTCGTATAAATCGAAATTTTATACTAACCGAAATCAAAAAAAAAACTAGCAACAAATGTACTAGATTCGACTTTTCAATAAAAGAAAACTCGCGAAAAACTCCTTCTTTTTATTTTTTTGGAAAATTTCAAATACTTTGATATCAAAATTTCGAAATTCATTATCGTTTTTTTGTGCGGCGCGTGAATTTTTTTACGCGCCAACGTAAAACCGTGAATGCTAAAAAAGAACGGTAAAAACGAAATTCTAAAAAATGTAAAATAAATATTATTGTAATAAAATTATATATATTATATATACAAAAAAAAATAAAATTATTAGGTAGAACACGCGCTCGTAGCCAAAATACTGAAATACCTAGAGACACTGACTGTAAATATCAATTTATACTTGGCGCGTTTGGAAGACGGAGTAATAAAAATGTCAGGCGGTTCCTAAATATCCCTACCCCAGTACGGCAAAACCCTGTACAAAGATCGATTCGATCGATCGAAATTTTGCACATCGCCTACAATTACTCAAAACCATTCACAGAGTATCAACTTTTAGGCCGGCCAATGGGGAGTGAGTGATATCGGCGACTCGTTTACAACCCGGGTGGACTTCGGGTGATTAATGTGTTTATTACTCCGTCTTCCAAACGCGGCAAGTATAGTTTATACAGGATGTATCAGAGGTTTCACTGAAATATATTTATTTCGAGACTCGGCAACGTTGCAATTATTTATTGTACACTCGATAAAAATATTCCCTACAAATAAAATAATCTTTCTAATATTTCCAGTATAAAAAAACTCAACTTTTCGAATGAATAAAAGCAATAATAATATTTCGAAATAAATATTTTTTGCGTAATTTAGCGACACCTCTAGTCACCCCGTATATTCGATCACTAAAAATCAGTTGTAATATTTAAGTAAGTCACCTAAAATTTTCCACATAAAAAAAAATAAAAATTACCTAACTATAGTACGTTCGTTTTAATCTATCGATGACGTCACGCCCGCGTAATAATTCGCAATTTGTATGCAACATGGCCGATTCCGTGAGTCGAACAAAGATAGATTATTTAAATGCGAGTGGGTTAGAGTGAGAATAGATCTTATTGCGTACAAATTTAGTGTATGTCAAAAATATTATCGATTTTTTTTAGATATACACACAGGGTGTTCTCGAATTTATGGTAGGGGTTTATTTCTAGGGGTGGTAGTTTGAATAATTTGAGAGCGATTCGCGGATTTCATTTTTGAAAAAATGTATAATAAAATTTGAAATATTAATATTATATAGGGTGTTCGTTAATTGAATGCCGATACTTCAGGGTGTGAATATTTGATTGATTTTTAGAAGAAAAGTTTATATCAATATATGTCCTAAACCTTTTAGTTTTCGAGCTACAGGGTGCTAAAATTTTAGAAAAAAAATATTAACTTTTTTATCATAATTTTCTTATTACTCCAGTTATTTTTAAGAAATTTTGTATACACTTTTTAATTATTAAGGGGCATTTTTTGAGTCGTAAGATTTTTTAAAATATTCACCAGTGACGTCCGTACGGGGTTTGAACTGAATATGTTTGAAAAAAAATGGTACACCACTGCTTTTTCTAAAAACTAAAATTGTTTTTAAAATTCTTATTTATTTTGTAGCAAATTCGGCCAGAAGACTTATTTTCGTACGGTGCAACAATTTCACATAAAAAAATAAAAACCAAAACCATTTTTTCCCAAGTTCATTTTGAGACTGCTTTTGATATTTTTTTGAAATTTGATAGGCGCCCACTACTTATTTATTCCATACATGGTCTCTAAATGTTTAGAATCGTGGAGAAATAATAAAAGTCAACCGGGATTTTCAAACAAAATAGAAGAAAATCAACTTTAAAATCGAAAGAAATAATTAGCTTACCTATTTTGTTGTTGAAAAATCGCGAAGGTCATCGTAATTGTTCATTTAATAATCCCATTCAACAATTGTGGAATTATCAATATTGCACTTAATTGTTCCAGAACATCACTAACATAAGAACTAACTGGGAAGAACACTAAGAATTAAAAGAGTCAAATAAATCACTAAAGTTTAATCACAAAAATGTATTTAACCCCGATGTTTATTTAACGTATTTATTTAATGTATTTAACCCCGATCAAAACAATACAATTTTCACTAGAAAACGATCGATATCGATAACGTTTTTCTAAAGCTGAAAAGCGGAAGGGGAAATTTTCGCTCGCTGATAAAATACACCAAACCTGTTTTTTTTTTTTTTAGTTAAAACTCCGATCAGCTGATTATTCAGGCCAGGGTTGTATTCGCTCTTTGCATTTATTTCTAATGCCTCTATTTTCTTTATTATTTGTTCAGAAAAATGAAATTTGCGAATCGGTTTCGAATTATGTAAACTACCACACCTAGAATTTAGTGCCATAAGTTCGAGAACACCCTGTACAGGGTGTTAATTAATTATATGCCGATACTTCAGGATGTGAATATTTGGATGATTTTAAGAAGAAAAGTTTATATCAATGTATGTCCTAAACCTTTTAGTTTTCGAGCTACAGGGTGTTAAAATTTTAGAATAAAAATAACTTTTCTATCATAATTTTCTTATTACGGCAGATATTTTTATGAAATTTCGGACGTGGATGTCACTGATAATAGTAGAAAATTAATTTTTATCCAAAAAAAAGTGTTTTTATGCATAGTGGGCGACTATCAAATTTCAAAAAAATATCAAAAGCAGTCTCAAAATGAGCTTGGGAAAAAATGGTTTTGGTTTTTATTTTTTTACTCGAAAATGGTGCGTCGTACGAAAATAAGTCTTCTGGCTGAATTTGCTACAAAATAAATGAGGATTTTAAAAATAATTTTAGTTTTTGGAAAAAGAAGTGGTGTACTATTTTTTTAAACATATTCAGTTCAAACCCGTACGGACATCCCTGGTGAATATTTAAAAAAATCTTATGTCTCAAAAAATGCCTCTTAATAATTAAAAAGTGTATACAAAATTTCATAAAAAAAACTGGAGTAATAAGAAAATTTGGATAAAAAAGTTAATTTTTTTTTTCTAAATTTTTAGCACCCTGTAGCTCGAAAACTAAAAGGTTTAGGACATACATTCATATAAACTTTTCTTCTTAAAATCAATCAAATATTCACATCCTCAAGTATCGGCACTCAATTAATAAACTAACACCCTGTATATCAAAAATATCGATTGATTGGCAATATTTTTGATATATTTTAGAAAATTTCAGTTCGATTTAAACGAACAACATGGTTAGATTAGAGCGAATTTATTCTGGGTACGCTCGAAAAAAAAAACAATTGTGTACCGTTTTTGAGCGACGAAATAGAGCCTCTGTACTATTAGAGGCGTTTCGAATAATTCGAAAAAAATCGAGAAATTTCGAAACAAAAAAAAATTCAATTTCCCACCGGAAGAAACTACGAAAATCTCGCGTATTATTTAGTACCGTTCGATGGTACCCGGTGGGCACTTTAAGCACCGAGCAAGGTTCCCGAGCAACTTGTAGAAATAAAAAAAATCAATTGATAAATTCACGAAACTTCCTTCTCATGACGAAAATAAAATCCACCACTGTAAATTGCACCCCTGTAACGAGTTAATAAAGGGTTCTTTGGGGGTTGACTATTGCTCACTATTAAACCAAAAATATTCTAAACGATAAGGATGAGTTGTATGTAATATATTCGAAGGACATTCCGATTATTTATTAACTACGTAACGCGTAGATATATATAAATATATATATACAAACTGTTCGGCGTTTTTATTTAAATAAAAAAATCATAAAATACTAAATGGCGTTTTTTTTTCAAATTTCTGAATCGTCGAATAAATAGGGGAATTTCGATGTGGGATGCAACGTTGTATTACACTAATTCTCTAATCTACAGAAAAATCACTAAGCTTGGCAACAGTGCATTGACGATACGAAAAAACCCTAAAGCTATGGATATTTTACAAAATTTGACAACCCTGTATTCACCAATAGAAGAATCGCCTAATTTACAGAAAAATTCCTAGGCTTGGCAACAGTGCATTGAGGAAACGAAAAATGCCCAAATAAAAGAAAATTTTTCAAAATGTATTTGTTTATTTTTCAAAATCGTACTCAAAAATTTCTTTTTCTTTTATAAATATTATAATTATTATTATTTAAATAGATTGTTAATAAATATAAAATTTTCCCCTTTTTTCCTTCTTCTTCTTCTTCTTCACAATAAAAAAACACAAACAAAAAAAAAACAAACTGACATAAAAAAATTACAATTTTTTTTGAAAAAATCAAAAATATTTCGCAATTACCCATACGCAAAAAAAGAAGAGAAAAAATCGAAAAAAAAAAAAAACAAAGTTCCAAAAATATTAAAACTAAAAAACTAAAAATATAAAAAAAGGAAACTAAAAAATAAAAAATAATAAAAAAAAAACTCATTCAATAGTCTTGACTTGGGCCATAATTTTCCCCTCCCATAAAGGAAGCACTTGACAGTCATTTGTCACCTCCTCCTGGATCACTTGATTGTCCAATTCGTAACATAATGTCTTAAAAAAGTACCTGAAAACCAAGATAATTGATTGTTAGATAACGAAATGACTCTCAATTGACTCTTATATTACCAAATCTACTCTCTAAAACAGTCAATTTACTCTTTTAGATAACTAATTGACTCTTAGATAACTAATTGCCTCTCTTAGATAATCAATCGACTCTTTTAGATAACCGATCGACTCTCTTAATCTCACCTGTAATTTCCCTTTTTAGGCAAGTACTCCTTGAATTGTCTCAGCGTGATTTGAGTACCGGGAATTTTCGTCCTGTAGGGAAACTGTTCCTCGCAGAAATTGAACACAACAGTGGTCAAGTCGCCTTGCCCTTGGCCCTGGCCTTGTACTTGATGGGTCAATTGGACCCTTTGACCTCTGCCAGGCTTCCGTAAGGTCGATTGGCTCGATTGACTCGCCGCCTCCGGGGGGTAATGGCGGCCGGAAGATCTGAAAATTACAAAAGGAGTTTATAGGAGATATTGATTCGTTTTGGAGTCGATATTGACTCGTTTTTTGGTGTATTAGATTTGACTAGTTTTGTCTAGAATATTTGATTAGTTAGGAAAAAACGTGCCCCGCTCTCTCCCAATTATTTAGTATGAAAAAATACCTTTGTTTAATAGTTAATCTAGTTCTCTGGTCCTCTTCTAACAATCTCCTTCTCGCTTCCTCTAATTGCACGGCAGTATTAGGTAGGGGTAATGGGGGCATATTCGGATCGGCCATGAAAGGTTGGGCGGGTACCAAAGAGGCTCTTTCCAACGAATTCGATCTGAAACAAAAATAAAAAATTTGAAAAAAAAATTCCAAAAAAAATAACAAAAAAAAAATACCTCGATAATCCGAATCCTTTTCTCCTCCGTGTATATTTCAGGGACATTTCGCTGTGGCTCGTATGGCTCTGGTGGCCCGTGTGACTCGTCGATTGACTCTTATTCGAGTCAATCAACCAGGCTATGACGCGGTGATTGTCCTTCGACGTCGACTCAGAGGCCACTGAGACGCCGCTGTCGGCCAACTCCGATTGTGGGGGTTTTTTCGACGATCTAGAATAAAAAATACGCATGACTCGTATTGACTCGTCGATTCAATTTGATTCAATTTGGATTAGTTAGCGCGTTACGACTTAATTTGCTTATTTTGATCTATTTTTAGTAAATTCGGTTCTGCTTGACTCATTGACTCGTATTGACTCGTTGACTCCATTTGACTCTATTTTATTACGACTTCAATATGACATAATTTGCATAAATTAAGTTTTTTAAGACTCATTGACTCATTTTCGATCATTGACTCCTTTTAACTGATTGACTCGTTTTAGCTTAATTCTACTTAATAGGCTTATTACATAATTAGTTTTTAAAGGAGTACTTAATCCATCCTAAAGAGTCCACAACATATCTAATAGTATATCTAACAGAGTCAACTATTTATCTCATATCGTACCTTCTCCCGTAAACTCCTCTACTGAACCTCGTCTCCTCGACGGACTGACTCCACATCGATTCGGGCGCGTTGACGAAATCTCGCACGTTGACTCCCGAGTCGATCGAATAAATCGACCCGTCCTTGTCTTTCCTCCTGATCCTGCCGTGCGCCTGCGCCGCCACGTGCCTGTTCCTGGGCGGCGAATAGACGTTGACTCCGCCGGCTGGACTCCCGCCCGACGAGTCGGGCGAGAGTCGACTGTTCCGGTCGGAGAGCACGCGCGACAGGTGCTCATCCAAGATGTCCTCCGGATCGTTGTCGTCGCCCAATTGGAGCTCCCTGATGGCCGATTGGATGTCGCTCTTCGAGCTGCGGAACGAGTCGTTCTGTGGAAATTAGATAGAGTCAATATCTTAATGAGTATAAGTATTCGGTTAACGTAGGAAATCGGTTCGTCGGCGTGGGAGTCAATTGGTTATATTAGGGGAGGAGTCGATTGGTTATCTTAAGGGGAGGAGTCGATTGATTATCTTAGGGGAAGAGTTAGTTGATTGTCTTAGGGGAGGAGTCGATTGGTTATCTTACGGGAAGGAGTCAATCGATTATCTTACTCGCGACTCACCTCTTTCAATTTCATCTCGAGCAACTCCCTTTGCTCCCTCTCTCGCCTGATTGGCTCCAATTTCTCGATCAAGACGGCGGCGAATCGTTCGACGTCCATGGCCTGCTGTTGGTGTCTCGATGTTCTCGGTATGAACAATTGGCGGGCGCCAGCCAGATCGTGTTCTCTGTTTCTCATGGCCGACTCGCGGATTTTCCGGGCCTCGAGGATGTCGCGGCGTCGCGACGACGATCGACCGTCCCTGTCGAAAGGACGAAGATGAGAAATGGGAATGTCTAAATGGCCAAATGTGTAAAATTGCCAAGTGTCCAATTTGGTCAAGTGTTCAAAATAGCCAAATGCCCAATGTCTAAAATGGTCAAATGTCCAATATGGCCAAATGTGTAAAATTGTCAAGTGTCTAATTTGGCCAAGTGTTCAAAATAGCCAAATGCTCAAATGTCTAAAATGGCCAAATGTGCAAAATAGCCAAATGTCCAAAATGGCGTAATCTCCAAAATGACCAAATGCCTAAAATGGTCAATGTAAAAAATAGCCAAATGTCCAAAATAGCCAAATGTCAGAAATGACATAATGTCCAAAATCGCTAATATCCAAAATGGCAATATGTCCAAAGTGTCTAAAATGGTCAAATGTGTAAAATAGCCAAATGCTCAAAATAGCCAAATGCCAAAAATAGCCAAATGTCCAAAATGGCACAATCTCCAAAACAACCAAATGCCCAGGGAAGCCAAAAAAAACGTCCAATATGGCGAAACGTCCAATATGGCGAAACGTCCAATATTCCTACATAAAAATTAGTTTCTAACAAACTCATGGCCTACTTACAAGGACCCGTCAGTCATCGACATATTGTCCGATTCGGTTCTGACGTCAGAATGGCCGCTCAACGAATGGGACTCGCTGTCCTGTCTCGATACCGGATTGTAGGAATTATAGGACGCATGCGCGTTACCCGAACTTCCGCCGATCGACAATAATGGCCGCTGTGACATCATCATGCTGTGTTGCATGATTGTATTAGTGCATACGTGTGTGTGCGTAAGTGAGACGAAGATAGGTAGAGTGAAGGGGTAGTATGTGTGTGGAAAAGAGACCGAAAAAAAAAATAAAAAAAAATAAATTAATTAATAACGAAATAATAAATAAATAAATAAGTAAATAAATAAATAAATAAATAAATAAATAAATAAATAAATAAATAAATAAATTGCACCGACCTGGCGAAGGTTTCCGATTTCGGGCGCAAATCGACGGCGCGCCGGCGCTGAGACATCAACAGCAAATCTTTGGTGAGCCGGCCTTGAAGGGCGGGCGCCGGCGTCTCGGCGCCGCTCGGCGCTTTGGCGGCGCCGGGCCTGGCGCGGCGCGCCGACTGCGCCTCCGTCACCAGCTCGGCGTCTTCGTGCAACGTCGCCAGCGGCTCGGGCGCCCTGTCGAAGGGGGCCGGTTCGGCGCCCGAATCGGCGCTGACGCTGCCGCTCGACTGCTGCTGGGCGTTCTGTAGGAATAAAAAGTTGATGTTTGAGCTGCTATTGAGGGATAAGTATCAGAGTTAGAGCGTTAGTGTAAATGGGAAAGTTTTAGAGCGAAGTTTCCTCTATAAAACGGCGCAAACCGGAAGTCTCTAGATTGAGCCGTTTGGGAGTTACGCAGGAAAATGTGAAAGAATACATTCTCGAAAACCAGTCCGAGCTCTAATCTCAAACTTTTCTCGATTATATCTCACCTCTAAATATTCCAGGTACATGTCGCTCTCGAGGAAATTAGGGTAGGTCGTCCTGTCTATGAGTCGTTCGATGGCCGATTGAGCTCTATCGAATAGAGTCACAGGAGGCTCAAAAAGGCACTGGGTTGATTGAGAGGATTTCAGAGCCGATCCGATTTCCTTTCTCAGCTCTTCGTCGATCGGCAGAGCAGATTTGACGAAGAATTTTCTGGAAAATAAACGAGATAAAGGTAAGATATTGATCCTATTATCAAGATAATTGACTCTATTTGTAAATAATTTCAAGATTTCATTGAGATAACACGTTGACATCCAAGACAATCCAGTGACTCTTTAAGATAATTCGTTGACTCTTTAAGATAATCCATTGACTCTTTAAGATAATCCATCGACTCTCTAAGATAATTAATTAATTCCTGTTAGATAACTTACTTGTAAATAACCTTAACCAAGGGCCTGATCCGATCGGGCGCAGTCTGTTTTCTGAGCCCCTCGCAGGCGAACCAGAAATCCAGGGCGTCGGCGTGGCGCCGACCCTCGCCCTCCAGGTACCGCCTGAACAACTCGACGCCCTCTTGATCGCGCAGTAGTCGACGCAGCGAGTCGGCCCAGCGCAGGCAAGCGGGCGCCGGCGGCGGCGAGGAACCGTCGCTGGAGGTAGTGGAAGTCGTAGGCGGCTTGGACGAGTCCGCGCCGATTTGGACGCCGGTGGTGAATTGATTGCCGGACGACGAGTAGGCGCCGGTAGAGTGCTTGGGAAGGTCCGGGAACGTTTTGGGGCCGGCGCCGAGTTGAGCGCCGGCGGTTCTGGTGGCGCTGGATGGATTTGTGGAAGATTTGGAAGACTCTGGGGTGAATTTTTGGCCGACGCCCGCTTGGACGCCGACGCCGGAGGCCTCTGGGTAGTTGGCGCCCGAAGGAACGGTGGGTTTGGCGCCGTAGGGGACGCTGGAAGTAGTCGTACAGTCGGCGCCGGGGTAGTTAACGGCGTAGGTCGGTGGCAGCGATGCGTCTGTGGACAAAAAAGACATTATCGTATTTATCTCATTATCTTAATGAGATATCTCACCTTCTGCAGCGCAACCGCAGCGCTTCCTCGGCTTCTCCTCCCAATCCCGGGCGGCTTGGCGCCCTTCTTCTCCGGGCACGGGCGGTCTCGGCGCCTTGTGATCGAACCCGGCTTCGTGAAGCAGCTCGTCCAGCTGCAGCTGCTTCTGCTCTTGGTACTGCAGCTCCTCTTGGTACCGCCGCATATCGTCCTGGTACCTCTGCAGGTGCTGTTTCTGGTGCACTTGGTGGTCTTGGTACTGCTGTAGGTGCTGTTGGTACTGTGCTTGGTGCTGCAGGAGTTGCTGGAGGTTCCGCCGCTGCTGCGGGTGCTCGTGATAGTGCCCGTGCTGCTGGAGGTTCTGGTGGTCTTGGTACTGCTCCAGGTGCTCGTGCTTCTGCAGCTGTCTCTGGAGGTCGAGCTGCTGCTGCAGGTGCTCTTGGCGCTGCTCCAGGTTCTCATGCTTCTGCAGGTGGCCGGCTTGCTGCTCGATGTCCTGGTGCTGCTGGAAGTCCTGCGGCTTGGTTTGGAACCTGCCGGAGCAGCGGGCCGGATTGTCGGGATCTCGATCGGCCGGGCTCATGATAATGACGTAACGGATGACGTAGTAGAGGAGCGGGCGGGGCCTTGGGGGGGCGTGGCCCTGGCACTGCCGGTTGTCGTGGTAACGGCTGCTGATTGGTCGCGGGATGAGTTAAAATTTCGCGGCGACTGGTGTCTCATGGTTGGCCCTGGAACGTGAGTAAGAGAGAGACGGGACGATTAGATTTGGTTTTATTTTAATAAGAAAAAAAATATTGAAGATAAATTTGCACTAAAATATTTTAATATGTTAATCTAGTGTGCTATGATTTTTGTAATTTTTAAAAAAATGGTAAAAATATTAAAATAATCACTGAACAATGCTTTTAAATTTATTAGAGTAGATTATAATTTTGTTCATCAATTTTTCCTCGAAATAATTTTGCTAAAATCTAGTAGTGTAATTTCATCGGTAACTTGATTTTTATGAATTAAATTTTATTCTCTATTAATTTCTGTATATGAAATACTTCAATTTAATCGAGTTACAATAGAAAATCAATAAAAACCCATCCGAGTGGGCCGTTTTGGGTGCGGTTTTACGAACGACCCGGGCTCACCCGAACTCACCCGAAACATCGAAAAATTCAATCGATAATCGAGCAGGCCTCGTCTCAATGCAAAACAAAACGCCGAATTTCATCCCCTAACAATGGAAAAATATTTTCGAAAAAAAAAAGCTCAGGTAAAAAATTATGCAAACAAAACGCTATCGAATTTCTCGGGTAATAGTTCGATCAAGCGTAAAAAATTGAAATATTTTCGATATATTATAGAAATATAATGGGTGGATATAATCGGCTTTAAAAATAAGGGTAAATAATAAATAATCGCAATTTCGGATAGAAAATCGAGTTGCCGTAGATAATTCGATACGACTACTAGATATTTCTGCGGAATATTTCTAATGTAACAAAACTAAATAATCCAAGCAAGCCGTGCATTGTATTTGTCAAATTTAAAGTCAAACAATTCATAAAAATCGAGTTACCGCAGAAAAACTACCAGATTTTATTGAAATATATCTGAAAAATATTAAAACTCGTAAAAATCAAGTTACCCTAGACTTCACCCGACTACTAGATTTCATCGAAATAACAAAGCCAATTATATCCCATTGTATAATCGAATTAACATATTGTATAGAAATATTAAGAAACGATATGAATTCATAAAAATCGAGTTACCGTAGATAATTCGATACGACTACCGGATGATTTTTCTACGGGATATTTCTAATATAATAATATAATAAAAAAAAACGGAGCAAGCCATGCATTGTATTTTTGACAGGGTTTTATGAGGTGCATTATAATGGGTATTGTTATCATTTTTTATTTAATCTACCGTTACTCACATGTTTCTCTTAACAGGATCACGAACAATACTGAGAACGGTTCGTTCGAACAGCTTTCGAACAGCATTCGGACAGTGTTCGAATGGATAGAGAAAGATGAATAGAGAGAGGAAATTTGCGTGGAAATTCTCTCTCCTTGTTTACTTTCTCTTGCATTTCCTCGTTCTTTCTCTGTCTTATTATTTTTTTGTTTTGTTTGCTTTCTCTGTTCGGGGAGTTCGGGGAATTTTTGTTCGATCGATCGGGTGATGATTCAGATGATTCAATGGGGGTTTATACAGGGTGTTTTTAATATGTTTTATTATATTTTTGGGATTGTTATTGAATTTAGTGATTATTTTGAGTCATTGAAATGTTAAAAAAAATAAGTAAAGTAGGGTAAAATGCTCGAGTTGAAAGTATGAAATTTTCACCAATTTATAGAGAAAAGTCTTGTCTAATATTTTGTAATTGGAGAAATTTTGAATAACAGCTTTATTTTTGAGTTATAGCGTTTTTTGTATAAAAATTAGTAATTTTTTATTATTATTTGAGAACTAAATATATTGGAAATACCGTGTACATTTCATTTTATAGAAAATTTTATTCTCTACAAATTACAAAGAATAATTTTTTTTGAAAATTCCTCTAGTTTTCGAAATATTTCGAAAATCGCTCAATCTGTCTCATTTTATTACAATATGAAATTACAGGAATCTGTAATATCATCAATCGTAATTTCACATAAAAGTCACTAGATGGCGTTGAATGACAAATATTTACAATAAACTAATTTTTGGGTAATTTTGATATTCCTTTAAATTTGTAAAAAAAATTACTGCACAGTACTTTAAAAAAAATAGCAAAAAAATTCCCTAAAGTGCAGAATTTTTGAGATATTTGATATTTTTCAACCTCACAAAAAACCTCAATTATTTAAAAACTAATCGAGATAAAAATACGAAATTTTTATTAATATGTAGAAAATTTAATTCTCTACAAATGTCAAAGACGTAAAATTTCGAAAAAAACGCCTAATTTTCGAGAAATTACACTGAGAAAAAAATTTACAAATTTTTCCTCTTTCCACGACTTTAAATTTTCAACGTAGTTCCAGCGAATATTCGAAAAAGCAGAAAACTCGATTTACCTCGATTAAATTCCATTAGAAAACTAATAGAAAATGGATGGAAAATCAACCGATTTCACGGCATTCTAAATGGATTTTCCTTGTACTTTTTACAAGACGTTCCCCGGGGAAATCCTGCAGAATTTTCCTCTCGAAGTCTTCGCGAATTTCCCGGTTGATTTTTCGCATGTTTTAGTATACATTTGGAATTGGCTTTCACCGATTTTCCTAGCAGGAAAATCATTGGAATTGAGAGATATTTGTAGTAAAAATTTTGTTTGATTTTTAACAGCGAATATCTCAGTAACCAAAAATTTTATCAAAATATTTTCAATTACCAAATTTATAGAGAATTCAATTTCCTACAAAACGATATAAATTCCACCCTTATATCTCAAAGCCTGCTCGACTTACAGCCCGAAGAACATGGCACATCACCCGAATTCCGGGTACCCTTCCCAGGTAAAGTACGCCCCTGGGCGGGCGGGGAAGCGGGAGGGGGCCGAAAAGGCGCCCTGGCGGGTTCTTTGAACACCCGCTTGTCGGGCTTTTGTCGTTTTTCCTTTCTCTCGGCCACATCAAGTGAGCTATGGCGGTACCAAGGTTGCTGAACCCTCGGCATCCGAGTGTATTGGTCGGCTTTGACGGGGTATAACTCGAGATAGGTTCGAGATAGGAAGATCAAATTTGGCGCATTTTGTAGAGGAATGATTTCTCTACAATTTTTGTCATTTGAATAATTTTGAGAAAATTGTTAGTTTTTGAGTTATAGAGGTTTTTTATGAGAGAATTGGTGTTTTAAGTATTGATTATTTGATGTAACTCGAGTAGGCTTTGAGATAATATAACGAAATTTTCAATATTTTGTAGAGAAAAGTTTTCCACAAAATATTTAAGTTATTATCTGTATCTAGCAAGCTGAGGAAATTCCTTTTCCCGCCTTCTCGATCCTTTTATTTTAATATCTATTGAATTATTTAATATACTTTATTTTCCTGGAATTTTTCTGGATTTTCCGGGCGTGAAAATCACGGTCAAACAGGCCGATGGAATTTAATATGTTGGGGGAAATTCGTGTGAAAAGTTTCCGATATATACAGGGTGTTTTTTATTGTAATTTTGGGATTAAAAAATGGAGTAATTGAATCGAAATTCAGAATTATCTCGAAAATTAAGCGATTTTTCAAAATACATCAAATTACCGAATTATAGATAAACCTTTTCTCTACGAAATGGTGAAATTTCCACAATTTTATCTCGACGCCTACTCGAGTTATACATCGCAAAAAAAAAGAGTTAATCATACACACAAATCAAGTATACCCATGGAAAAACAACCGAACGTCTTCAACTAACTCCGCGGCCTACTCGATATAACAAAAGAACCAGAAAAAGACCGAACGCGTCACGAGATAAAGACGGACAAAGACAGACAAAGACGGCAATAAATAAAAATAAAATTAAAGAAAAAAAAAATTAAAAGAGAAATAAATATCAAGCAAGCCGTGCCGGCGACACCGCGTTTGATCGACCGGCCGCCTTTGATGTTCCGCCGGCCCGACGCAAAGCCGACTGGATTTCTCTCTTCTTTAAAAACTTTTAAATCTTCTTGTCTTTTCTTCTCACTTCATCCCGTTCGATATCTATGCACCTGTCTCGCTTTATCTCGCTCACTCTTTATCTTTACTGTATGGAGTTTATATGGGTAAATATGCACGTATAAGTCTGTCTCGCTCTTTCTTATTACTCACTTATAGGTTTTTTTTATTATCTTTCTGTATTGAATGAATAACTATACTTGTATAAGTGTATTTTTCTCTCTTTTTATTATTTGCATTGTTTATTAGGATATCTCACTCGTTTTATTATATTTTTTATATAAGTCGTGTTATTAAATTATAAATGTTATTAAAAGAAATCTCTTAGAAAAGTCCCTAAAAGTAACTAAAACGGTTGAAAAGGTTTTGTTTTTTCGCTGCAACTCGCAGAAAACTTGAGATAAAAATATCCCGTAAATTTCATTTAGTAGAAAAAACAATTCAGCACAATTTTTGAAGAATACAAAATTTCGAACAAACGTATATTTTTCGAGATATTTTAAGATTTTTGTCATCAGTACAAGAAAAAAATCAATACAATTCTTCAAAAAACTTCAATTATCTCAAAAACTAAACGAGATATTAAAATGAAGTTTTTGCCGTTTTATAGAAAAAACAATTGTTAACAACTTTTAAAGAATCAGAAATTTTCAAAAAACCCTAAATTTCGGAGTTATTTAGACTTTTTCGTCGTAAAATATGCAGTACCCAGTGCAACATTACAAAAAAACTCAAATATCTCAAAAACCAAGTAAGATAGAAAAACCAAATTTGCACCATTCTGTAGAGAATTAAATTCTCTACAATTTTCAAGTTAGAAAAATTTCGAAAAAACCCCAAACTTCCAAGTTATTACGACTTTTTCACCACCCATTCGTTTTCCCAACACACAAAACCTAGCAAAACTTCAATAAAATAAAGTAAATAAATAAATAAAAACTCGCCTTTTTACACATGAAAAATCCAACGTAAAAATCCCATTTAAAACTTCAATTTCAAAACAGGCCAAAACAAACACAACACATAATTTTCCTCTTTTTTCCACTCAAAACTCACTATATATATCTTTCTCTTTCGCTCCTTCTTCTCCTCGCAGGGCGATATATCTTCTCTCCTTGTTCCACTCGCGCGCCGTAAACGCCGCACTCAAACACACAGCACGCTAGATATTCGTATAATAAAAACTTCCACGGCACACTAGACACTTTCGGGAATTCTCTATTTAACTTTAACAACTCTTTTGAACAGGCACTTTTTCGGTGAATTTTCACAGTAAAAAACAACAGGAAAACAACGGAAAAACAGGACAAAACAACCGAGTAACAGTAGAAAAACAGTGGAATAACGGGGAAATGGCGGAGCCGAAACAAATGCCGTGCGTTAGGTAAACTGAGGCGGCCATGAGACTGGAGAAACAATCGGCTGTCGGGTGTTTTTTGCGCCTGCGCCATCTGAGGGACAACTGTTGAACTAATTTCGTGAAGTGTGTGTGTATGTGAAAGGGTCAGGGGCGGCTTTGAATTGGTTTCGTGAGAAGAAAATTGTGTTTCGAGGTAAAAAAGCGGGAATATCTCGGAAATTAGGCGATTTTTGGATATTTTTGATTCTTTCGAACTTGTAGAGAATTAAATTTGCTATAAAATGAAACATACGAGACGTTTTTAGCTTAATTAGTTTACGAGAAATAGCGAATATAAAACGCTATGTTCATTTTTTTTAGTTACATTTTTAGTAACTTTTATATTTACTTAGGCACTAGAGTAGACTAGAGTAGACAAAAATTCTACAAAAAATTCATAGAAAAAAATCCAAATAATTCTAAAAGGTTTTTCAGATTTTCGAAAATTTCGATTTTTTTTGTTTGAAAATGTATCTTAGTTAAACAACAGCCCATCTGTTTTTTTTTTCACAGAAAATACATAGACAAGAAGGGACATCGCCATTGATGTTCTGTCATCTGTTATCTACCATCTGTTATCCGTCATCTGTCATCTGTCATGGTTAAATAACCGACAAAAATTCCCCATAAGGCAGTCCAAAATCTTAAAAGTAGTAAAGTAGCGACATCTGCAACAATCTTGTAGAACTCCAAACCAAAAATACTGCACACATTCACTTAAAATTACAGCCATTGATAACAGATGGCGCTGCCAGTTTATTTAAAAAAAAAAAACAATCAACAATTTTCCACCGAATCGACGAATTTTTGCCAATACCCCGCTATTTTCGAATCATCCAAACAAACAGTCCCTCCGCCTCTTCTTAACTGATGCTCCTGCAACAAACGATTATAATTTACAACCCTTTTAAACAAAATCCTAATACCTCTCTGTTAATATCCCCTATGCAAATCCAAAACTTCCCCCCGTCCCCCGAAGAAACAGCCCATTTAGAATGATCGTGGGTACTCAAAAACGAAACACCAGCCACCTCCAAACGTACAGACCTCACGTTTTTCACTCTACAATATAAATAGTATACAGTGACTTTCTACAGTAGAAACTATCATACAGTGCCGGCTTCAAACTAGACTACTAACTTGAACGGTAGAGTGCAATTAGACGCGAGTTTTCCCTTTCCGTTGGGCCAGGTCTCCACGTTCAAGTCGGTTTGTAGACCGGGGGCTACCAGGTCTACGTAGAGCTCTTTGTTGAATCGCTCGGATTTGGCGAAAGATAAGAATTCCACGTTCGAAATCGATTTAATGGAGGCCAGATGGTACCAAGGAGGAGACGTAATGGTAGTACCGGAGGCGGCTTCGGCCAAATGGCCCGCCAAATCGGCCACATCCTGTAGAATGCGTTTGGCGTAAATGGCGGGCTGGTTGTATTGGAGCTGTAAACCTAAAGTGGATTGTGTTATGGGCGATTCACGTTGAGAAGTCAGTGTGGTGATATGTAATTTATTAGAGAGGAAGTTAGAAATTGGAAGTATGGAGGAAATTAGGAAATTTAAAGTAGAGAGTACATAAAATTTAATGTAGGGGTTATGAAATTAAAAGTGGAGAGAAAATTTATAAATTTAAAGTAGGGAGAATATTAAGAAATTAAAAGTGGGGAGAAAATCCTGTAGTTCCCCTAACACTCAATGTGAATCGAACGATTTTTCAGTTTTCTCCCTACTTCAAGATTTCTCTAACACTGACTTCTCAATGTGAATCGAACGATTTTTCAGTTTTCTCCCTACTTCAAGATTTCTCTAACACTGACTTCTCAATGTGAATCGAACGATTTTTCAGTTTTCTCCCAATTTCAAGATTCCCCTATGCAAATTGAACGAAATTCCATACCAACTTTATTTACATTCTGCAAATCCATGGAGATGCAAAGAAAGGTCTGCCCGTAACGCGTCCCGGTCGATGGATAGAAATAATTTTCCGTCGAATTCGGAAAAAGCGGTACCGAATGCACCAGCCAATAACCCCCATTTTTATCAGTCGCCGCCACCCCTTTGGTGTGACCTTTCCCTTCGATTTTCCTATCGGGAAACTCGTCGTTGTAGAACAAGTAACTTGAGTCGGCCTGCGAATGGATTAATTTTAAATTTAAAAAATTTCAAGTAGAGAGAAAAATGAGGAAATTAAAAGTAGAGAGAAAACCACAAATTTAAAGTAGGGAGAATATTAGCTATGTAATTAAAAGTAGAGAGAATCATAAAATTTAATGTAGGGAGAATATTAAGAAATTAAAAGTAGAGAGAAAATCATAAATTTAAAGTAGTGAGAATATTTGGTAAATAAAAGTAGAGAGAATTATAAAATTTAAAGTATTGAAAATATAAAGAAATTAAAAGTAGAAAGAAAAACATTAAATTTAAAGTAGGGAGAATATTAAGAAATTAAAAGTAGAGAGAAAATCATAAATTTAAAGTAGGGAGAATATTTGGTAAATAAAAGTAGAGAGAATTATAAAATTTAAAGTATTGAGAATGTTAAGAAATTAAAAGTAGAAACATAAAATTTAAAGTAGGGAGAATATTAAGAAATTAAAAGTGGGGAGAAAATTCTGTAGTTCCCTAACACTGACTTCTCAATGTGAATCGAACAAGTAACTCGAATCGGCCTGCGAATGGATTAATTTTAATTCGGATCGTTCGATGAGGATTTAAAGTATAGGGAAACTCACCGGGTTTTCGTACAAATCGCGCAGGGTATTCCCTATTATCGATTTCCGATCGCCGATTGATTTGTTCGAAAATTTCCACATCGGGTCGCTCGATGTGAGGAAAATGTGGGCGACACCATCTTTGATGAGTTGATTGTTCGAGTGGCTTTGAGATGGTATTTTGTATACCATATACCTGAAATTTTTATGTTTTTTTTTAGAGGAATAAATTAATAATATCGGTTACTTACCAGTCTACATTATTGTTGTTATCATCTTTGCATTGTAACGCCTCGGAGAAGCTTGCAAATAATAATAATTTGAATGTAATTATAAACATTTTTATTGAGGAACGGACACTCGCTGACCTTTTATTTAGTGATATGTTTGTTTACAAAGTAAGATTATATTCTCGTTGGGAAATAATACGAGGTTTTTCAAAAATTCTACTCGCTAGTTTTAGTTTCTTGATTTTCTCCCTACTTTAATTTAATAAATTTTCTCTCTACTTTTAATTTACTAATATTCACCCTACTTTAAATTTATACATTTTCTCTCTACTTTTAATTTTCTAATATTCGCCTGAGAAAAATGAAAAATCGTTCGTTTCAAATTGAGAAGTCAGCGTTAGAGGAATCTTGAAGTAGGGAGAAAACTGAAAAATCGTTCGTTTCACATTGAGAAATCAGCGTTATAGGAATCTTGAAGTATTTTCTCCCCACTTTTAATTTCTTAATATTCACCCTACTTTAAATTTTACCACTTTCTCTCTACTTTTAATTTCCTAATTTTTGATTTTCTCTCTATATTTAATTTAATAATATATTCCCTCTATTTTACATTAAATAAACAACCATAATAGCTTAACTTTTACCTAAATCCGAGCGATTTCGAAATTGAAAAAAAAACCGCGGCTACCCGAAAATAAATTAATATTGACACAAAATCGAAATTTCTCTAATAAAAACATTCGCCCGAGATTACATCAAAAGTCTATCTGTCGTCTGATATTTACTCTCAAAACCGGTCAAAATAATTTTCACCGTTTTAAAGTAAACACCCCTCGGTTTATTTTTATCTATACGATTATTTTTAACGGTCGCACAAAACGAGAATTTCGAAGAAAAAAAAATGAAATAATTCACCAGAGAGTTCTGAATGATTCTAGGATAGTCCTGAATGGTTTCAAATATCAGTTCTAAATTATTTTGGACAGTTCTGAATGGTTCTATGAGCTTCCTAAACTGTTTCAAATGGTCCTTGTTAATGGTTCTAAATGGACAGTTCTAAATGATTCTATAATCATCCAGAACTGTTTTAAGTGATCCTAGTCAGTTCTAAATGATTTTGAACAGTTCTAAAGAACATTTCAAAGGATTCTAGTGAGTTCTAAACTGGTCCTATTCGATTCTAGACAGATCTAAACCGTAATTGATCGAGAAATACTAATTGAAAAAAAAAAGTACAAGTCGTCCGGAAATTAAATTAAGACTAGATAAACATATATTCGATAAAGATGAACTGAATAACCTAGATAAATACGACCGTTTCGTGCGGTACACGAGTAAATTTCAACAATGAATTGCCCAAACACGCCAACGATAATTATAATCGGTTATCTTTAATTATTCCCGTCAGAATTTTAGCGTTTATTACACCTATATAGCTCGTTCGATTTGCTGATTAATTATTCCCCCATCGATTCCATTTGTGCACACGAATTGCCCGGACTTTTTCCAGAAATTGGATATTCCAGAAATTGTAGCCAGAAGTTTCGCTTGATTATTTAAAGCACAGACCAGCGATTGGATTAAAAACCTCTGTTCTAATTTCGATTAAAATTCCAATGGCATTCGTCGATATCCATTAAGAGAGAAGGAATGGAATGATTTTTAATGAAATTTAAAAAAAAAAACAATCTTTTTTAATGCGTTAAAAGTGAAGAAAAATATGTAAAATAACTGTTTAAACCAGTCAAAATAAAAGGATATTTCACAATTGATATAATATTGGGACAACCTGTATAGTAATTATGCTCTTTTAGTTGCATATGCAAATGGTCCTATATAGTTCTAAAAGGGTTCTAAAATGGTGCTGGAGTGTTCTAAGTTATTCTAGGATCGTCCTATAATTATTTAAAAATTGGTTCTAAATTATTCTGAAGAGTTCTAAATGATTCTGACATCGGCCAGAACTGTTTCGAATGGTTCTAGCCAGTTTAAACATGGTTCTAAATCATTATAAAGAGTTCTAAATGATTCTAAGATCGTCCTGAACTGTCTCAAACGGACCCAGTCAGTTATAAAATGGTTCTAAATTATTTTAAACAGTTCTAAATGATTCTAAGATCGTCCTGAACTGTCTCAAACGGACCCACTCAGTTCTAAAATGGTTCTAAATTACTTTGAACAGTTCTAAATGATTCTAATATCGTCCTGAACTGTCTCAAACGGACCCTGTCAGTTATAAAATGGTTCTAAATTATTTTGAACAGTTCTAAATGATTCTAAGATCGTCCTGAACTGTCTCAAACGGACCCACTCAGTTCTAAAATGGTTCTAAATTACTTTGAACAGTTCTAAATGATTCTAATATCGTCCTGAACTGTTTCAAACGATCCCAGTCAGTTCTAAAGTGGTTCTAAATTATTTTGAGATGTTTAAAATGATTCTAAGATCGTCTAGAACTGTTTCAATATGTACTAGAAAGTTGTAAAATGGTTCTAAATGATCCTAAGAGGATCTGAACTGTTTCAAACGGACCCAGTCAGTTCTAAAATGGTCCTAAATTATTTTGAACAGTTTTAAAACGATTCTAAGATCCTCCTGAACTGTCTTCAACGATCCAACTCAATTGTAAAATGGTTCCAAACGATTCTAAACAGTTCCAAATAATCCCAAAACAAATTTCAAAACACTCGCAACTATAACAGATACCTCCATCTTTCTCCCTCTCAGGTTAGTTCAAACGCATCGCTCTCTTTATCGCGCCTATTCCAACGCGTAAGCACAGAAGTGGGATTTTTTTTTGGACACCCCGTAGATGGACCGAGGCCGAGCGGCGCATGCGCGGGCGCCGAAAATCGCATATCCTGCTCCTTTCCTGCCGCATCCGAATCGGCTTTCTCTCGGTTTCAGTGGACCGGCTGACTGTGGCAGGAAAATGTCGACGTCGAGTTTTCCGACGTCTCCAGCACGTTTTCCTCGAGCATAGAAAATCGAAAAAAAAAATAAATTTTCCGGGCGGTTTTCGGGGTATTTCAATCGAGAGAGTATGTGAGTATTTATTTGTAGTATTAAATGTGTAATTTTTGAATACTTTGTTAGTTTTTTGTAAGAGGATTGAATTTTTTTTTAACACCTAACGTTACGCCTACTTTAGACGAAATTTAATTAGTAATTAATTAGCGTTGTAATTAAATTAATTCCGTGTAATCTCCAAGTGATTTAATTCGAACAATATTCCACGAGGAACGGATAATTGCGAAAAGAAAAATAATTTAATATATCAATTAATTAAAATCGGTTTCATTGGATTTGCGTCAAACGCACACGTTTCCTCAATAAAATCCCGATTAGGGCGGCGAGTTGCATTAATTACGTCCCAATTTGGGCGCCAGACGGCGTCCAAACTGCCGCCATAAATAAGACCTTTGATTTTTTTCAATGTAAATTATCATCTACGCGACCATATTAACCATTAAACACGACCGCTAATTGTTTTATTTAGTTTATGTAACAGAAGAAAACGATTTTTTTTATGTAACCATCCGGTGGGCGATGTTGTTTCGCGACAACAACAACAACAACTACAACAACAATAGAAAAACTTTTCCTTTTTCATTAAAAGCGCCCTAAGAAAGGTCCGAATTGTATACACATTTAATTCGCTAAATGTCGAATTAACTCGAAACGAGACAAAAAAAGATGGATTTTTAATCCACTCACTTTCACCTAATGAGAGAGAGGGCCTTATGTCAATCAGAAGGAATTAAAAGAAGTAGGTCAAATTGGGGTAAAAAAAATTTCAGCCCTCATAACGAGTGCCCCTTTTGAATAGACTAATTGCTAATTAAACCATTTATTAAACCCAATTCAGACCCTTAACGAATGTTTCATTATAAAATTCCATCCCTTGTTTGTACTATCATCAAAAAACTCATTTATCTACATTTTCTCACGAATCATAAAAGTCTATTAAGTGTATACTTACCCAAGAGAGTCAATCATATATCAAACAGAGTCACTTCTCTACCCACAAGAATCATTTCTTCTAATAGAGTCAATCAATATGTCCAAAAGAGCCACTTGTCCACCCAAAAGAGTCCATAACATGCCCTAGAGAGTCGCTTGTCTACCCAAGTGATTAACTTTTCTACCTAAGAGAGCCACTTGTCTACTCAAAGAGCCAATTTTCTGTCCTAAAGGATCGCTTGTCTAGCCAATAGAATCTCTTTTCCACCCAAGAGAGTCGGTAGTTTAGCCAAAAGAGTAACTTATCTACCTAAGAGAGTCGCTTGTCTACCTAAGAGAGCCACTTGTCTACTCAAAGAGCCAATTTTCTGTCCTAGAGAGTCGTTTGTCTACCCAAGAGAGTCACTTTTCTACTCGAGAGAGCCACCTCTCTAATCGAGAGAGCCACTTTTCTACCTAAAAGAGTCGCTTGTCTAACTAAGAGTCATTTTTCTATCTAAGAAAGCCACTTCTCTACTCGAGAGAGCCACTTTTCTACTTAAGAGAGCCACTTGTCTACCCAAAAGAGTCACTTCTCTCCCCAAGAGAGTCAATCTCCTGTCCTAGACATCCACTTGTCTACCCAAGACAATCACTCTCCTCTCCCAAACATCCACTTGTCTACCCATGAAAATCACCCTATTCATCCAAAAAAAAAGCCCGAAACGAGTCACTCGTACGCCCGATAGAGTCACATCTAATCTTTCAGTAAACAGCAAAATGTACGGTCTACTGATCGAAAACATGTCCGAGTACATCAAGCACACCTACGGCGAGGCCAAATGGGAGGAAATCCGCCGGGCCTCCGCCGTCGACCAGCCCAGCTTCAGCACCCACCAGGTCTACCCGGAGGGCCTCCTACCCAGACTATCGAAGAAAGCCGTCCAAGTAAACCGCCCACCAACACATCCACTTACCCAATAACCTCGCTCTCTAACCCGATTTCGCAGATACTCAAAGTCAGCGAGCAGGAGTTCTTCGACCAGATGGGCGTCTTCTTCATCGGCTTCGTCAGCCAGTACGGCTACGACAGGGTGCTGTCGGTGCTCGGCCGGCACATGCGCGACTTCCTCAACGGCTTGGACAACCTCCACGAGTACTTGAAGTTCTCATATCCGCGCATGCGCGCGCCCAGCTTCATCTGCGAGAACGAGACCAAGGAGGGGCTGACGTTGCACTACAGGAGCAAACGACGGGGGTTCGTCTACTACACGATGGGCCAGATCAGAGAGGTGATTCGCGCGATTCTAAATATAAACGATAATCTATTCGTGGTGTAAAAATAGATTAGCATTCGGAGCTATTCAACCGTACATATCGTTATCTACTTCGCAGGTGGCGCGACATTTCTACCATAAAGAGATGAAAATTGAGCTGGTGCGCGAGGAGTTGCTGTTCGATATGGTGCATGTGACGTTTCAATTGAGCTTCGATAATAGAGCTTTCACGCTGGCTTCGTTGGCTCTAACCAGGGAGGAGAAACACCTGCCCATCAGCGCTTCGGTGCTCTTCGAGATATTCCCGTTTTGCATCGTTTTCGGGTAAACTAATCGTTTGTATCGTCGTCAGGAAGTATCAAAAATTTCGTTTTAAGGGCGGATATGATAGTGAGATGTATAGGGAATTCGTTGATGGTGATCCTGCCGGATTTGGTGGGGAAGAAGATCACCAATTGGTTCGATTTGGTTAGACCGTTGATAACGTTCAAATTCGGATCGGTAAGAACATTAACAACATCGAATTACAGTTAGTAATAACATTTATTGTAGATTTTGAATAGAACCAACAACATCTTCGAATTGGTGACCGTCGAGCCGGTGTTGAACGACAAACCGTCTGAGCGAAGAGGTCGCGAGTTGGTGCTCAGCGACGAAATGGAGGTATCAGAAGACAGGAATTTGAAATTGAAAGGCCAGATGATCTACATGGAAAACTGGAAGATGATGATGTATTTGGGCACGCCGGTGATGCCCGATTTGAATTCGCTCATCAACTCCGGCTTGTACATCAACGATCTCTCCATGCACGATTTCAGCAGGTCGGAAACACATCAATTCGATCGTCGTTCGAAATTTTATCGTTCTTTAGAGATTTGATGTTGGCAGGCACGCAACAATCGGTCGAGCTGAAGCTGGCCCTCGACCAGGAGCAGCAGAAGAGCAAGAAGCTGGAGGAATCGATGAGGAAATTGGACGAGGAAATGCGAAGGACCGACGAGCTGCTCTACCAGATGATACCCAAGCAAGTGGCCGATCGGTTGAGGAAGGGCGAGAATCCCATCGATACTTGCGAGGTATTTACTAAAGAAACTAAAGTAATAAGTACCTAGTAATTCCTGGTATTCTAGATGTTCGATAGCGTGTCGATTTTGTTCTCCGACGTGGTGACTTTCACGGAAATCTGCAGCAGGATCACCCCCATGGAGGTAGTCTCCATGCTAAACGCAATGTATTCAATCTTCGACAAACTAACAGAACGAAACAGCGTCTACAAAGTGAGTGTCACTAAATTAATTTACCACATCGATTTCTACTAACACAACGTCGGCAAATTATATACAAAAACCGTTTTTCATTCTCTTCCACCCATTTCTCGTATGTAATTACTGCACTTTTATGTGTTTCGCAACAATGGTTTAACGTCACACCAAAAAATTTGTCGTGCTGCTGGCCCCAGGTAGAGACCATCGGCGACGCCTACATGGTGGTCAGCGGAGCCCCCGAGAAGGAGGGCAACCACGCGGAGCGCGTCTGCGACATGGCCCTCGACATGGTCGAGGCCATCACCAACCTCAAGGACCCTTCCACCGGTAAACCATCACCCGAAAACCCCAAACTCTTTTACCGGAAAGTTTCGTTTAGGTCAGCACCTGCGGATCCGAGTGGGGGTGCATTCGGGCGCCGTCGTGGCCGGTATAGTGGGCTTGAAGATGCCGCGGTACTGCCTCTTCGGCGACAGCGTCAACACCGCCTCCAGGATGGAGTCCACCAGCGAGGCCATGAAGGTCCACATATCGGAGAACACCAGGCAATTGCTGCCGCAAACTTACAGGGTATCCGAACGAGGCGAGATTCAAATCAAAGGGAAAGGTACTTAGTACTCGAGATAACTCTTCGTGTTATCACTCTTCAGTACTAACACACTGGTGACTCTTCGTGTTGTTTGTTGTACAGGTGCGATGAAGACGTATTGGTTGGAGCAGAAGGAGTACCGATCGCCGATTTCCAAAACGGAAATACCCGAGTACCCTGTACACAAAGCTCCTTCGGTCGTTGAGCAGCCGTCTCGGAAAGCTCTAACGCAATCGCAGGAGCTCATAGGTCGTGCCGCTTTGTATTCTCCCATAACTTTCAAAGACGTCGCCCGCAGGAGTATAGCCAGTTCACCGGTGAAAATGAACGCCAGAGGTAAAAAAATTGTACTAGTAGTACCGTTGATATGTTGATGCGAATTTTTTTGAAGAGATTCGCTCGAATTCCACCGGAGCAGTGTGCACCAAATGCGATCCATCCGACATCTTCGGCAGCCTCGTGATGGACATCGAACATTTCAACAAACTAGAGGAAATCCACAACGTGATGCCCTGCGCGTTCCGCCAAAGAAGCACCACAGCACCAGCTAGGAAACTACCACCAGATGGTACCAACGAAGTGGGCTTTAACGCTCCGAATTGCGAGGATTCTTTCCCACCATCAGCTCCGGGCATCCTCACGCGCAAACCCAGCGAAAAGAAACGAGTGTCCATCAACGAAGTACCATCTGACGCCTCTCAGGAACCACCTGCTGACTCAGAGGAACCTCAACAGTACACCGCGGCTCAGAAACCATCGCAAGCGGGGTTTTGCGCTGGGGAACCGGTGCAAATGCGGTACGAATTCGGCAAATCGATGCACGATTACGCCAGGAAACTGGACAGGAAGAAGGCGGTACCGATATCGAAGAGCGACAGTAATTTATTATGCGAAGGGGGTTCTGTGGGGGGACCATCGAGGAGCTTTGAAGCTCCCGATGGGCAATTGACGCCGTGTTGCATGCGCAGGACCGGCAGGAGCAAGTTGCAGAGGAACGCGTGCAACGTCAGCTAGAGGGCGCTGTATCGGGAATTTCTAAACTGTTTCTAAATGTGCTTGTTTATAAATATAGTGATGGGTTCGATTGGTTCTTTTGCGATGTGTGCGTAGTAATATCGGAAACGTCGAGCTTGGTGTGTGTCAATAAAAATACCTCTATTAAGAAAAATTATCAGGAAACTTTTTAAAAATCAGATGTCAATCAGAATGTTATGTTAGAAAAGTACACGATTTTTTTTACGAATATATCGAGACGACCTTGTACAATAATTAGTTAATAAACTACATGTCTATATTATACGAGTCGTTCGAAATTTTTTTTTTGCCGTTCTCTCATTTTTTATCGTTAATTCGGAAAAATTTCATCACGTTATCGTAATCGTAAGTTTCCAAAGCTTCCCTGAAAGCTCCCGTTCTCGATTCCACATTCATCCCTTTGAATTTGTAGTAATCCACGTACAACTGGCACAGAGTATCTGCAAAAATGAAAATAATTTAGCACACCCTGTATATTATACCTCATCAAATATAGCTTGGCAGTTGAAAATTACATTACAGAAATAAAATTTCGCATTTTCTGTATATCATACCTTATCAAATGTAGCTTGGCAGTTGAAAATTACATTATTTCACAAATAATTTTGCAGGCCTTGTATATTATACCTCATCGAATTTAGCTTGGCAGTTGAAAATTGTATTACACAAACAATTTTGCAAGCCCTGTATATCCCAACTCATCAAATTTAGCTTAGCAGTTGAAAATTGCATTACAGAAATAAAATTTCGCATGTTCTGTATATATTACCTCATTAAATGTAGCTTGGCAGTTGAAAATTAAATTATTTCACAAATAATTTTGCATGTCTTGTATATCATACCTCATCAACAGTAGCTTGGCAGTTGAAAATCAAAGAGTACCAGTTTATTTCTCCTTACCTACCCTCTCTCCCCCTTTAACAACTTTCGCTATTCTACACCGAGAATCTTAATTTTTCCGCAAGTTGCCAATTCTACACCCAGAATCTCAATTATTTCATTATTTCGCAAGGTGCCAAGCTACATCGGTCGCGGTAGACGATTTACCGTAAATCCTTCGCAGACAGCCGGAATTGTCGGGAGCGCCCCGTTCGATTTCCCCGGCCCTTTTCAACAAATCGCTGTATTTCTCCGATAAGGAATCGCGCGTTTCTTCATCGGCGATTTCCAATTCTTCAACTAACGCCTTCAACAGGATCGAATCGTCGGCGAATTTCCGGCGCTCCGCGAATTTCGCTTCGGCCGATTTCAGCAGGAAATTCACCGATTCCTCGCTGATGGCTGCAGGAAAATTAATTGTTAATCGATAGTGAATTAAATGGCGATTGATTGTGAGTTAATTCTAAGTATAACGTGGGTTTATAGTACCTATATTTAGGGTTAATTGTGAGAACGAGCATAATGTGGGTTAATTGTGAGCATATTACGGGTAAATTGTGAGAATATGGTGGATTAATTGTGAGAATGAAGAGCATATTGAGGGTTAATTGTGAGAAATGGCATATTGTGGGTTAATTGTGAGCATAAGGTGGATTAATTGTGAAAATGAAGAGCATATTGAGGGTTATTTGTGAGCCAATTGTGTGTTAATTGTGAACATATGGTGGATTAATTGTAAGAACAAAGAGCATATTGTGGATTAATTGTGACAAAAAGTATATTGTGAGCATATTGTGGATTAATTGTGGGAACAAAGAGCATATTGTGGATTAATTGTGAGAAAGAGCATATTATGGGTTAATTGTGAGCATATGGTGGATTAATTGTGGTTTTTTGTGAGCATATTTTATGGGTTAATCGTGAGAAAATTGTGGGTTATAATTTACCTGTACTGATCTCAATTTTCACCTTCTTTTTGGTGGCTTCTAGCGTTAAATTTTCTTTTAAAGTGGATATTGTCGAGATGTTGTCAGATCTGAATTCGGCCTCGCCTTTCCTGGAAAAATGAGGTAAAATTTAGGTCAAATCGTAGCCTAACCTAGCTAATTATCCAATTTTCTACAACCTACACCACTTAGGGATATAAAAAAGTACCTGTAAGAACACTCCAAGACGCTGTCGAACGAGCTGGAGCCGAAATAAAGGACGGTTTTTTCGGAAATTTGAGGCTTCTCAGGCACCTCCGGTAAACATTGGTTCAACCACGAATGGAACTCGGCCAAACTGAAAGACCCTTTGATAACCAGCGCGTTAAAAGGCCTAAAAAATTATATACAACGTTGCCAAAAGTCCTAAATTTTCCTGACATTTCCCATTTGTAATTACCTGTTGCAATCGAGTTGGTGCAACCTGTAGTGCAACGACAGAGCTTTAATCTCGTATTTGATGACCCGGCTGCATTTCGGCTGCACCAGCGGCGTGACGTAGACCTGCAACAGGCCCTTTTTGCCTTCGATAGGGCGGATTTTCAGGTCCAGGCGGTTCGTGTTGATTTGGCAACGATAGGTGGCTAGCAGGTAGTTTTCCTCCTGCGAAAATTTTGGTAGAAAAAAGTGTTTGTGTTTTTGAATTTGGTAGAGTTTATACTGTTATGCGGGATTGGCTGTAACTGACTACAGCTGAATTCTTTTCCACGTCTATTAAATCGATTTCGGTGTTGCATTGTAGTAGGATATTATCGATTGCTGTGGGTACTTCGATTGAAAGATTGTAAGTAGAAGAATTCCTGTCTAAAACAAACTTTATAGTCGATTAATAAGTGTAAATAAAACGCTTATATGCAGATATATTTACAGAATCTTTAACCATCAATAAAGGTATAGCAGAAACTTCGTTGTAGTAAGCGAGCGATGAAGATAATTGATATTTCTCCCGTTCCTTCAGTATTTTATTCTTCAATTCGTCTATATCCGCTCTAACAGAACAATCAATTAATCGATTTCTTTTGCATCTCATTCGATACTTACTTCAATTTGAATATCTTCTGCGATGTATCGGCCGACGAAATGAAGCCCGAAGCCGAATTATCCACGACGGTTTCGATCGTTTGAGTGGTTAGACCGAACACCCGACCAGTATAGGTCACCACCAAAATCTCGTCGTAACCGCTCGAAGCGGCAACGCCGCATTTCAAGCCGCTCACGCTCTCGTTGCAAACCTGCACAAAATTCCCCAGATCTGGGTAAATCGTCTAACAACATAGCCCAATAAAGGACAGAAAAGAAGAAGAGGAAGAGGAGGAGGAGGAAGGAAAACTTTACCGGATTATACACTTACATATTTGTATAAGAGTTTAGTGTCATCGGATAAGTCAGTCGTATTGACGTGGTAAACTTCGATGGAGCCATCTTGTCTGCCGATGATCAATTGATTTCGATCGATGCCGATCAAATCGTAGCTATCTATGGCGCATATCGGACTGGTACTAGCAGGATTAGAGACCAGCCACCTGCGAAAACCCTGCAAACTTCGCAAATTCTCGTTACATTCTAACCTTACTTATATGTCAAATGTCAAACATTTTGCCTTTAATGTCTCGGAATTATCGAGAAAAAGTAAAATATAAGTTTACATACTCGTTAGAAAGTGAAAATAAAGGTATCTTTTAGCTGTTGTTTTGCGGACTTGCGCAATTTTTACCATTTAACGGTTTGATAGTAACTACAAAATGATATAATAATAAACTGTGATCTTAGTTTTGCAAAAAAATGGACTATTGTCGTTTTTCCCCTGTATCCTTCAAGTTCTAACCTTATTTATATGTCAAATGTCAAACATTTTGCCTGTAACGTCTCGGAAAACAAGTTCTAAGCTTACTTAATCGCCAAATGTCAAACAGTTTGCCTTTAACGTCGCGAAAAACAACTTCCAACCTAACTTATACGTCAAAAATGTGGTCTTTTACGTATCGGAAAACAAGTTCTGGGCTTACTTAATCGTCAAATGTCAAACATTTTGTCTTTAACGTCGCAAAAAACAACTTCTAACCTAACTTATACGTCAAAAATGTGGTCTTTTACGTATCGGAAAACGAGCCATACGTACTTTTCGACGTCCAAGATGCCTACGCGCCCGTCGGCGGTACCGAACAGTACCGTATCATCGTTTTCTGTCCGGTAAATGTGAAGTACAGTAGGAGAACTGTCCACCTCCATGCTGAGAGTGACCCGGGCGTGTTCTAAGGCCCTTATCATGCGCCCTTCGCAGGCTATCAGCGATATCAATCTGCGATTCTTCGCGCAACGATAAATTATTAGTAATATAGTGCACTTATACCTTAGATTTCTTGTTGTAGAGAAACCTTCGAGTTTCTAGAACATAAAGTAGTAAGGAAGGAGAGTATGCGCTGTTTCTCCGATGGTAAACAGAAGAGACAAAAAGTCGGCCATTTTGGATAACCACTTTGTGACTTCACTTCACTTTGTTTGTTTTCAACAAATGATGCCATTGGTAGAACAGCGGCCATGTTGGTTAACCATCCCTGTCAACTGTCATTGACGAAAGAATAAAGAATTTTTCCCTACTACTTTATGTTCAAAGACTTTGTACCGGCTTATGGTATATACAGATTGCTCCATTTTTGATTGCAATATAGGTAATATAAGCTTTAAGTGCGATAAAAACAGCTTCCATTAGACACTTACAAAGGAAAAAGAAAGAGTGACAATGTCTCTTTGCAACTTTTCACTCTCACAACTGTCATTTTAATAATCTTTCTTTGTTCAACTCATAGAAATGACCATATTGCAATCGGAAATGGAGCAAGATGTATATACTTACGCTGTTGAATGCAATGACATCTACTATCCTGTCTCCGCATAAATAAGAACCGTTGTCCTTGCAGTCCTTGAAGTGCGTGTAAACGTGCTTGCCGCAGAGGATTAGGTCGTTGCCCAGGACGAACCTTAAAAAGGTAATATTTTATACGGGGTAAGGTGAAAAGTTCTCGGTCTGACGACGAATAAGACCGCGATTTTTTGTTCTAAATGACTATGTGGAGGGTTCTAAATGGTTCTAGACAGTTCTAAATCATTTTGGAGTATTCTACATTATTCTGGAGTGTTCTGAACGGTTTTGGAGAATTCTAAATGATTCTGGAGCATATTCAACATTATTCTCTGGAGTGTTTTGAACGGTTCTCGAGCGTTCTAGATAAATCTTAATGATTCTGGAGCATTTTAAATGGTTCTAGACAGTTCTAAATGATTCCGGAGCATTTTAGATTGTACTAAACAGTTCTAAACGATTCAGAACGAGAACTTTTCACCCTATCATCGTATACAGGGTGTCCCAGTATGTGTATAGTCAGTAATTTTGAGAGTTTGTATGTAGAGAGGGCACTTACATGGTACTAATAGCTTCTGTTAATCCAGAATCGAAGGTTAGGAATAGCTTTCCCTTTTTGGTGTAGCCTCTTACTTCGTTGCCTGCGCATACGAATATTTTGTCTGTGGGACCGTCTGGAAAGGGAGTTTAATTTTAATAAAATAAGTGAAGGGTTAGAGAGGTAAAGTGGTAGTTTTTTTAACCTTGCGCTCCTGCTATCTTTACGGATGCAATCGGTGGGCCTGGTAGCGTTTTGAAATGGATCTGGATATCGTCTTTTTTCACCGAAAAAACTTGCAAAATCCCATCCACATCGGCTACTGCTACCTGCAGGAATAAATCCGTGCTTTGTACTGCTGGTTTATAGTGTATGTAGATTAGAAAATTCTTACTCTTTGAGGATCTTTTTCGCTGTCGCTGGGAATGAGTTGCAAACAATTCGGGTTAGTTATGCCTATAATGGTGTAATCGATCCTCGATAATTCAATTTCAGTCATTTTTGGTTAGTTAATACGATCGTAAACGCGAATTTTATTCTACTAAATTAAAATGAATCGATATCGCCTTGGTTACCTCTGTAGTATGTAAATGCATACAAAAGAAATATGTTCCAATCTTTCATAAATATTTAATACAAACTTTATTATTTATGTCATCTTTCTAATGACGCAACTAAGTTTTTAAAACATTAATAAATCGCTAGATATCGCAAATGGCCGGAATTCTCTCAAAACGATAAACTTTTACTCGCTTCAACACGCTCCCGGTCTCGCGAAAATACGCCAATTTAACATGCGCTTCGTATTCAAAAGCGATATAAATAGAGCTATTTCTCCCAAACAAAAATCATTAAATCTAAAATGTACAAGCTAGCATTCATCCTCTGCATATTTCTAGTGGTAGTAGTTCCAAACTGCGAAGCGGTCTTCACGTGGTTCGGTAAGTTGAAAAAATAGTATCTTAGATTATAAATCGATTATTCACCACTGTGCTATTGTCCGGCATAGTGGAAGGCCACTTTTATAATCGATTTTTCGAATTCTATGGATCATATTCAGCGCTACTTTTTAAAAGTTAAAGAGGCGTCTTTAACATTGTCGTTTAGGAGTAAATAAGGAGATTCTTTTAAATTGACAGATTTACATTGTTGTTATGGAGTAACTAAGGAGATTCTTTCACATTTGACAGTTTTACATTGTTGTTATGGAGTAACTAAGGACTTAAGGACTTTATTTACGTTAAAAACAGGCGCCTTCTCTTCGATTCGCAATCGATTCTTCGCCATAATTCGATTCAAAATCGATTATTTGATTGCAGATTGCTGGTGGCCCGTCAGTTGGCCGGACTCGCCGACGTGCACGGCGAAATTGAAAAGATGGCGTTGGGACGTCATCGCCAACGATTGCATCCAAGTCAACTATAACGGCTGCAATCCGACCAACAACAATTTCGAAACCCAAAAGGAATGCTTGGTAGCAGCTTCAAGCGTCTGCAAATTCGTATTTCCCTTCAGTTTCCCATAAAAAACAAACCACCCCAACAATTATTACAATAGTCCTATATGTTTCGTTGAATAAAAACCAACCAACTTATTTACACTGTTTTTTCTTTGATCCTCAAAATTTTATAATCTTATTCGGCCTACTATCAACGAAATTACCACCACCGACATCCGTTTTATCATCCAACACATCGGGATTACTACCACCGATAGTCTCGACGTTCAGGCTACGCAGCAACTTCTCCTGCTGCGCCCTGTATACAGGACAATCCTTCTTCAGATGCGTGACGTCACCGCACTCCCTGCAAGCGCCCCCTTTGGGGTAGAGCCCCCGGGCGTTGTCGGGGCACTGCCGGGCGATGTGGCCTTGTTCGTTGCAAACGAAACACTGGGCGAACTTGAACTCCTGCTGTTTAACCACCTTGCATTCGAAATGCGCGTGCTCCGTGGAGCCGCATTTGAAGCAAATACCGGTACTCGATGAGGCTACCAGTTCATCTTTATTGAGCACCGGACACTCGCTGAGATTGTGACCGGATCGCCTGCAATTGTAGCACACCTGAAATAACATCTACGATTAAAATACGCTCGATTAAATGTTGGTTTTAATTACGTTCTTCTTCTCTCTCGCGAAGGCTTTCTCGGCTCTTCTTCGTTCGAGTTTCATGGCTATGTTGATTTCGCTTCGGGGTAAACCTTTGCTGATCATTTGTTTGCGAAGTAATCGCAATCGATCGGCGTCTTCTTGTTTGACGGGGAAGCCATCGATGTAGTCGACTTGTACTAGTTTGTCGTTGATCATCATCGTTCGGGGTTGGAAGGGTTTTCTTCGGGCGTGTTCTTGGTCGTCGCGTTCTTTTCGGGGTTTGGGATTAAAGGGTTTTTGGAGTTTGTTGGGCGCCGGTGGTTTGGGGGTTTCCGGCGGTTTGGAGGCTTCTTCTTCGGCTTTCTGTTGCTTCCGTTCGGCTTTGAATTTCTTCTTTTTTTCGAGCTGTTTGAGGCGTTTCTGTTTCTTTCGTTCGATTTTCTTCAAATCCGATTCGGTGAGGTTTTCTACGGGGATTTTTTTTGGTTTGTTGTCGGTTTTTTTGGGTTTTTTCTTTGCGGGTTGGGAATTGTCATCTTGCGATTTGCGTTTCTGTACTTTTTTCTGCTCGTTTTTCGGCGTAATTCCTTCCTTATCATCGTTTATAACTATTTTCTTCTTTTTGGGTTTCTTAGTTTTGATTTTTGGCGCTGCTATTTCAACTTTCGAGCTCAATTCTTCGGGCGCTCCGTCACTATCCGAGCCTCCGTTATCACTAAAAATAAACAAATTTAACACACATTTAAACACAACAATATCAAAATTACCTTCCACTATTAGCCTCTTTACCTAACACACCATCTGTTTCAGCTATCAATGACGTATCATTAACAATTTTGGGTTTAATAACACTTTTCGAAACTTGTTGGTTCTTGTTCGATTCTTCGGAAAACTCGGCCCACTTCGATTCCTTAAATTTATCATCGTCGATTTCCTTTAAAAATCGTTTGTAATTAGCCGTTCTTTGATTAAGAGCCGCCTGTTTGGTTTTATTCTCTTCGATTTGTCGAGTTTTCTGCAATAATTGCTCCTTCATTTCGCTCCACGGCGTAGGATCTTCGGGCAGTCTCTCGTTGGAGGCTTTCGAGCCTTTTGCTCGAGCGAACCTGGTCATTTTTCTAAGAAAAAAAAGGAAGATTAAATAAGAAATATATTGCACAAAATCGACGTTTTAAATTACCATGCATGCACATAAATTCTAACCTTAAATTGAACTGTCAAATGTCACTATAAATCTTCTTTCATAAAAAATAGAAGTAATGACAAGTAAGAGGCCTCGACAAAAAATTCAGTTGGCAGCGCTGGGTCACAAGTCAAGTCATATGATTTTGACAGATGTTTACTGAAACATTTCACGTGAATTGATTTTTTGGCTACTAATAATCTAAAATACAAGAAAAATGGGCGCGTCTTCGATTCCTTTTATTATTTTCACGGTATTATGGGGAGGCGTAGGAATTGGATTGCCATTTTTCGTCCCCAAAGGACCTAATAAAGGGTAATACATTACTTTGTGCATCATAGTTTTTTTACATGATTTAATATTGTTAATTTCAGGATTATCCAGGTGATTTTAATGTTAACTGGAGTGTGCTGCTGGCTCTTGTAAGTAAAATTAAATCATTTTGGGGGTATATATGTAGTAATTAAATTATTATTTGTAGTTGGCTTTGCTGCTATGTGGCTCAAATGAACCCTCTAATCGGACCGAAATTGGATGAAAATACCGTTTTGATCATGGCAAAGCATTGGGTAAATATATTGTATAACGTTCTTTAAATTATTCTACAATGTATTAATTTTTCAGGGACATCCTATCAAGGCGCTTTAAATTAGAAAATTTACCTTTCCGTATTAGCACTCGCATGTAAGCAACATCTCAGAAATGATATATTATTTTAAACTTTATTAAATTTTTAAACTATTGTATAAATGATTTTTTTTGGTTATTATATGTAAAAAAAAACAAATCCAGCGAACTGTTATGTAATATAAAGTAGAATCCATTGTTTAATATATTATAAATACATTAATTTATATTCCTAAAATTGTTTTATTTCTAATGTTTTCATGAAAATAATGGGTAAAGTGAGGTTATTAAACTACTGCATAAATGTAGCAATCTTGGCGCAATTCCAACAGTTTAAAAATTACCCAATTTACAGCAGCAAAAATAAATCCTGTCAGTCTCATTTTATTGAAGAAAAAATGGACAAATCCAAGTGTATGGTACTAAAAAACGACAAATTCGGAAGGCAAGCATCTCGTACAACAAAATGCCTCATTAAAACCGATTATTTTTAGATACCTAGCAGCATCACGAGACCTCAAACAAGGCGAAACCATATTCACCGAAACGCCCGCCATAATCGGACCTCCTCTAATCGGCAATTTGATCTGCTTCGATTGCGGAAAACCCATCGAAGAGTCTTTCGTATTTTGCACCAGCTGCAAAATCGCCATCAAATGCAGCAGCGATTGCACCGGAGAACACCACAATCGAAGCGAATGCTCCGCTTTAACAACCGCAGGAATCCCAGGGAAATGCCTAGCGGCAAATCCCCGATTAATATACCCGCTGAGATTTATGCTGCTGAAAAAATCCAACCCGGACTTGTGGAAAACCCTCGTGGAACTCGAGTCTCACATCGAAGCCCGACGCGACACTCCTATATGGAAAAACCACCAAGTTTCCATCATAGATACTTTAAAGTAGGTATACTAATCGTATTAATAAAGTGTAGTACTTTTAATTATTTTTAGGAGCGTTGGTTTTATAAACGAAGAGTTCACCGAAGAGCTGGTGCAAAAAATTTGCGGTATAATCGATGTAAACAGCTTCGAAATCAGACCGCCGAAGAGCAACTTCAATTTAACCGATCCCCATCAACAGTGTCCCAGAGGTGAGCTGTTTAACCACTAATTTTAGTACACAATGCGAGATGTACGGTTTTTAACCAGATATATGAATAGAAATCAGTTATTAGAACTCAAAGCAGTTTTCGGTTGCTGAAAATATTCAATATTTTAGGAAATATAGCCGTTTTAAATTTGAAATTTTGACAAGTGACGTGTAAAGTCATTAACTAACCAATCACAATGCGAGTTAGACATGAGATTGACGTAACTTTAAAAAAAGAATTGTGGCGTTAATAGGAAAGGAAACTCTATATAGAAAACTAATTAAAACAAAATCGTTACTCCTCTCCATTTAAACATTCCAGGTTTATACATCAACGCAGCCCTAATGGCTCACGATTGCACATCCAACACTTTTCTATCGGTAAACGACGACTTCGTATTAACCGTAAAAGCCAGCACAAACATCGCCAAAAACTCCCCAATTTTCTTCAATTACTCCAACGTTTTGCACGTAAGTCTACCGCTCTAGCTCGAGCTCGCGCAGCGAGTTACTTACTATCAACTCCCTGCAGGGCACTCTCGATCGAAAGCGACACTTGAAAGAAGGCAAGTACTTCGATTGTTGCTGCGAAAGGTGCTCGGATCCCAGCGAATTGGGCACCGACATCAGCTCGTTGAAGTGCCACAAATGCAATGGAACCGTTCGATCGACTGCACCGAACCGTCCCGGATCCGATTGGGAATGCTCCGAGTGCAAGAAACAATTCAAACGATCGCTAATCGACATCGTAATCAACGAAGGCAGAAGATTGATCGAGGAAATCGGTGGGTAAATCCGCTTGCTATACTCCGAGTTAATTCGAGATATTCTTCCAGATCGAAACGATGTAAATAAGCTGGTTAAAGTGCTCGATAAATTATCCGCCACGTTTCATCCCAATCATTTCGTTTTGTTGGAAACAGAACAAAATTTGATCGGATTGTATTCGCTACTTCCTTCAAACGAAACCAATTTAACCAACAAGATCGATTTGTGCAGGAAACAATTACAAATCCTCGACGTAATCGAACCGGGATTATCCAGAATCAAAGGTTTTTCTTTCAATATACGAGGATAGGGTGAAAAGTTCTCGAATCAGAACGCTCCAGAATCATTTAGAACTGTCTAGAACCATTAAAAACGCCCCAGAAACGTTTTGAACTAAAGTTTTCGACTTAATAAGAAGAATAATATAATGTAATAATGTACTTTTCACCTTATCCTTGTAGTTTAGTTGAACATTTAAATCGCACATTTAAATCTTCTACTGTATGTTCCAGGTATGATAATGTATCAAATGCAATTCGCTATGGTGCAATTAGCGAACGAAACTCACAAAAAAACCCCGGAAAAATTGTTAATTAAATTGAGAGACGCCGAGAAGTGTCTGATGGAGAGTTTGAAGCACCTTCTACACGAGCCCCTCAAGAGCCCCGAAGGGAAAGTGGCCCAGATGGCTATGAAAGAACTGAAATCATTGCGATCGTTTATTGAAAACCTCCACAACGATCTCGTCACTAAACAACTCGCCGAAACGCGTGTGAAAAATCGAAAAGTTAAAAAATAAAGAGCATTCGTAATTGTTATAATCACCGTAATGTTTCTAGTTTCTTCTGTAAAGCACCGGCAAACGAATCCTTATAGCTCAAACTGATGGTATCCAACAGACTGTAAGGGGTTTCGAAGTATTCTTCGGAATTTAGATCGTTCGTATCGAATTTGTTACCCACTATTCTGAATCCGAGAGCGGATAATTCGACGCAAAAAGTCCTTTCTTCATTGGTAACTAGATTTAAATACACACGACTGTTGTTACTGGTCAATTTTTCGCAAACAATTAATGTTTTTACGTGATCTCGTACGTCTTTTATTACCGCTTCTGCTTCTAGCTTCCAATTTTCCGAATCCAATAAATGTTCACTCATATTTTAGTAATATTCACGCAAATTTAAATTATAATTATAAATAGAAACAACTTTTATTGACGTTTGTGGCTAATGTCAAACTATAAAAAAGAAGAATACAAATGTCAACTGTCTAAATTGTTGCGTTAGTATTTTAGTATAAGAGGCCAACAAATACAAACTAGGTTAGATAAGACAATTTAAAATGTAATTATTTACAAATAAATATTTATGAACAATTAAATATCAACAATATAGAAGAAGAAAGTTGTCTTCTATTTTGACTATGATCAAAAACTCATTGACGTTTGGACCAAATGACAAATAATAAAGAAAGAAGAATATCAAACTTGGTGCGACTGAACAACGTCTATATAAAAGACCGACAACACAAACGATTTTAGAAAAAACTAAGGAAACTAATCGACGCCATGGCCTTCAATATAAATCTAATTATATCCAAACGAATACTCTTGCAAATTTGAACAAAAACCACTTTCAATCATCACATTGTAAAAAAAGAAGAACTGTCAAAAATGATGCCACTGCATAACGTCGGCGTAAGAGACCCCACAAATTCAAACTTGATTTTAAATCAAATTAACGAAACTAATCGACACCATTACCTGAAATAAAAATGTAATTACTTTCAAACGAGAATTAATTAAGTCAAATACCTTGATCGCTCGAACGATTATCCTTATCCAGTTCGTCCAGAAATTGCTCAAACACTCGAATTGCGCTCAACAGACTCGTCTTCTCGTAATCCTTAACCTTCTGCGGTTTGGCATCCTCTTCCTCGGTTTCCATTTTAATTTCCTTCGACTTTATTTCATACTGATCAATATCTTCAATTATACCCCTATGAAACACTTTTAATTCACTCAAATTTAATGAGTTTTAAATACTCACTGGATAGTGCAAACGTTATTCGGATCAAACTCGTTTAGCTCGTTTATGGAAAACGGTATGGAGATTTTTCCAGTTTTCGGATGAACACAAAATGGAGATTTTAACAAGTGATTCATACCGATCGATACATTTGCATCTAATCTAGGATAAGCGTATTGCAGCTTAATTTCTTCTTTGAGATTCTTCAGATGCTTCGGAACGGCATCCTAGAATAAAATATTATAATTAAAAATCTTGCGATAAATAAAGATTTTTTAGTACTTTTCTTAGCATATCATCGAACGTAGTTTCGAATATACTCCATTTCTCCGCGGAAGTTTCCCCCCGTTTCATGGCGTTCTTGATCGAATGCCTCAAATCTTCATCGATTATTTGCAGGAAATTGTTGAACCTCTCCTCGCTACCGAATATATCCTGCTCTTCTACGATAACATCGAAATATTCGTTGATAATTTTCAAAGCTCTCCTGCAACATATTTACAATTTATCCTGAACATAATACAAGCAAAACGACTCTTACATGATCGAAGTATGTATCTTATCACCGGGTAAACTGACTCTCTTGTTCACATTGACTCCACCTTTGATCACGTTCAAGTACTCCACCAAAGCCATTCGAACCTCCTCGTTCACTTTCCTCGCTTCCTTATCGCACACCCAACAATGTATACCTTCATACAAAAAATACCATTACAACAAACGCGATACTAGTAAAAGGCCGGTCACCTCTCCTGCCCGAGAACACCCACAGCTTGTGCTTGAAACCGAAATCCTCCTCGAGCGCCCCGTCCAGAATCCGACAGGCGATTACCATGAATTTCCAGCACTTCGGACACACCTCGGCGCCCGAGCAACAGTTCCTCACCTCGTCGTAGTCGTTCATGTCGATGTCGAAGACGATTTCCTTCTCCACCGGCGTTATTTGGGTGTTCAACCGCCGCTGTTTGGGCTTGGTGCTGTAGACGGCCCCGATGTCGATTTTCACCGGGATTTTCTTGCACAATTGCCCGGCGAATTCGGCTTCGTCGTCGAACGATTGGTAGCGAATGTACACGTCGCCCAGCAGGGTGAAGGAGATCTCGCGTTTTTGGAAATTCGATGGATTGCCTGCGAAAGAAACGGTCGCGAATTTTCGTCGAATATGGCCGATTTACTTACCGTAACTTAACCATTTGTGGAATTGGCTGTACGGGAAGAGTCTGCTGTAGTAAACTGGTAGTAGAAACGATAGATTATCCGGATTAAAATCGTTGTTGGTCATTTTGTGTTGTTATTTTGCGACAAATCGTGCCGAACAAACTGTCAAAAGTTGGCGCGAAAAATTGACGTTGACAGCTGTCTATAAAAAGTTATAGCGGAAATACACTAGATGGCGCTGTTTGGTTCAATCAACTGAAGCGTTTATTAAAAGTAATGGTGGTTGCATACTAAAAGGATGTAAATGCAATTAATGGATTCTTAATCAACTATTTTCTTACAATAAGATGTTGAAAAACAATTCTAGGATTAAAAGGAGCAACATTTATTTATATAACAACATTAGTTCTTAGGTGATCTTCCACTGTAAGTTACAACAGTCACCAATAAAAAAATATTATTGGTAAAATTAGCTATTAGTGGTGTAATAACTTTGCATACATTACAACAGCGGCTTAAAAAATTTTCCAATCTGAATAGCAATGGGTAGAAATTTAATAAACCGCCGAGAATAAGCAACGAGATAAAAAGAAGAATTCCAATAAAGCAAACGAGATTATAGCCGAAGGAAAACCGCCTGTATCAGTAGAAACATTCCCATCGAGCGAAGTACTTTTAGGCAAAAATTGGAAATCCGGCGAATATTATAAAAGGAAATATAATCCCGGAAGAATCGATCGGGGGGGGGGGGATCCACCGCAGCGCGCCCGTCCGAATTCATTAGATAACGCGAATTTCCCGAAGACTTATTAATAATTCCCCGACCATTATAGCCGGTTAAAGTCGTCGAGTGCCCGAGGGGCCCGACAGGTTGTTTATAAAACATATTTTTGTTTTATTAGCGCGGCCGGAAAAGCGAAACATTACCCGACGAGTTGATGCCGTCCGTATAACCCCATTCGTTCCAAATGAGAACATAAACAGTGAATAAGCCGACGGAAAATAGGTGTATAAAAAAGTTCATAAGCTTTCATTTGCCGGCGCAAATACCGGGGAATCGTAAAATATTTTTAGCTTTATGCGGGGAATAACAGACAGAGCGACTCGAATGTAGGACTAGATGCTAGGCGAAGGAATTGTTTGGGAAGATTATTTGGGGGTTTTATCTAAGCTAGATTTTTTTTTTGTATGCCATTTAGGGTCCAAAATAATTTATGACTTCAATTTTTTGTTGCACTCTGTATATATACAGCGGTTGATTCAGAGATAATGCCTTAAATGAACCTAATTCAGGTTTGATTAGGTGGAATAGTGAGGTTGATTTTTGCAAATAATGATTTGAAGATGAGTGATTTCGTGGTCGAAACGTTGATGGAGGAAAATCGGGGTGATGAATATTCATTAGAGGAGTATTTGGGAAATAGTTGGTGAAAATTGCAGCGTTGTTAATGCAACAGTTTTCCAGAAAAGCGGGTTAAATAATGAAGAAATTTGAGATGTTATAATTTGCATATATTGACCTAAAGATGAGTGATTTTGTGGTCGAAACGTTGATGAAGAAAAATCTGGGTGAAGAATATTTCGTAGAGGAGTATTTGGGGAATAGTTGGTGAAAATTGCAGCGTTGTTAATGTAACAGTTTTCCAGAAAAGCGGGTTAAATAATGAGCAAATTTATGATATTATTTTGCGTATATTGACCTGAAGATGAGTTATTTAGTGGACGAAACGGTACTGACAGAAGGTGTAGTCAAAATTAGTTGACAAAGGAGGGTTTGAGAAACATTTGGTGAAATTTTCAGAATAATCTACTGAATAGTTTTCAGAAAAAAACATCCCAAACAATCAAAAGAGACATTTTTTAGCGTATAAAGTCCTGAAGATGAGTTGTTTGGACGTCAAAACGAATAGATTAGACAGATCAGTTCTTGAAGAAAGCTTTAAAAACCATAAAACACAACTATTTTTGCAAACAACGCCCCGAACATGGACTTTTCGAAACGTTTTCGACTTTTCCTCGACGATACAATATAGTACAAATTTCCGGCCCAAACTTTCTCGTTCCACCCCGTACATCCCGACCAACGTTTCTCGCCCAACGCAAAACCCTTTTGCACAGATCGGTACCGCACGCTTTAGGGGATGATTAAAGAATCAACAAGGTGAAAAGGGCGACAGACGCGCACCTTTGAATGTTTCAAAAAGGTCGGATGCAATAGCGTATATACATACACAAAAGGGGAGAAATTTTCCCAGCGTGTTTGTTTCCTTATTCCGAATTAATGGACTTACCTATATATATATATTATATACACCGTCCGTTGGAAATGTCAGCGGCAGAGAAGAGCATCTCGAAACCCGCCGAGCGGAAATTATTAGGCCGGAATATTAAGGAGAGGATATTCTTCGAATTTAATAAACAAACCGCATAGTAATGTTCGGTACGGATCTAATCGATATATACCAAGAACTCGCGAATAAACCGATTATTATCGTCGCTACGTCGACGATCGTTGTATCTCTGGAGGTTTGTTCGAAGAGGCGAGTTATTATAATCGCTTTCGTAAAGGGTGGCCCAAAAAATTGGTATAAATAGGTTCAAATAGGTATATAAAGTTGGGTCGCTTTGTTGAGCTAGAACTAGCTTTACCCAGGATCCTAGTAGGCTCATAGATTGGTTTAAATAGATTTAAAAAGGTTACTAACAAGAGTTTGGATCATTTGTTGAGGTAGAACTAGCTTCTCCCTGGAGCCTAGCAGCTGGATTACTTTAAGAGCGTTATGTAATTTGGTTATTACTTGAGCTAAAACCAGTCTAAAAGAACCAGATCTTTCTTCTTTCATCTTCAACTTATTCGATAATAATTACATGAAAAAAAATGGAATCGAGGAATCAGGAATTGATGGTTACTATTTTTAACATCTGGATTAGTTCAAATTGATTACTAATAGGTATAAATTTGGGTCGCTTTGTTGAGCTAGAACTAGCTTTACCCAGGATCCTAGTAGGTTCATAGATTGGTTTAAATAGGTTTAAAAAGGTTACTAACAAGAGTTTGGATCATTTGTAGAGCTAGACCTAGCTTTATCCAGGATACTAGTAGGTACAAAGATTTGTTTAAATAGGTTTAAAAAGGTTACTAATATAGTGAGCTAGAACTAGGTTGGCCCTGGATCTTAGACCCTTTATCATTAACACAAGTTTGTATCATTTGCCTAGTTGATTTTACACCACAAAAATCTCAAATTACCCGATTATACATAATTTAATAGCGAAATTAGTCCACCCCGTACGAACCTCCAACGTTTACACAACGCCCTAACAACCCTATAATACGAATTCACTCAACAATCAACAATCCTCTTGCTAGACAGTCAAAACCAGTGGTTGGTTCTTCGGCATCTATGTAACGGTTGTATCTACTAGAATATACATTCGGTGTACCTAATATCCGAAGGGCCCGCCAGGTCGGTATAGCTCAGTTGAAGGGCCATCAATCGGCCCGCCCATGGCCCTTTTCGCATGAATAATCGAAGGCGGCCCGGGGGCTTCCCCGACAGTCGCGTTTCTCTCCCGGCCGAATTTCTGAACGGGCTGAAATATTAAGGATCACCTCCGGCGGGACCGCTCTAATTAGGCTAATGTCGACTGATCTATATAACGGATCGAACGGAATACGCACCGGTTATATTTAAATTATATTTAAATGCTTTTATATAGACCGGTAAACTTGCGTACGAGTGATATTCGCGAAGGAGCATCTTCGATCAATCAAGCGATAGCGATCTGATTTATCGCTGAGGAACCCTCGGGGTTTAATTTATGCAAGGAAGATATCCTGGCGGGTAATAAAGCGATGTCCTGCGCTCGCCGCTATTTAATCTAACAACGAGGACGGTTTACATTTAACTTTCAAACACAACAGAGGCGTTGATGTTTTATGTAATAATTATCGAATAAGTTGAAGATGAAAGAAGAAAGATTTGTTGTAGCTAGGACCATTTCGATTGCTCCATAGTCATTTAGAATCAATTAGAACTGATTTAGAACGCTATATAAATTGTCCAAAATCATCGTTTAGAACTGTCTAAAACTATTTAGAACGTTTCAGAACGATTTAAAAGAGTTTAAAACGAGTTAGAAATATCTGGATTAATTTTAAACTGTTAAGAAACATTTAGAACTGTTTTTAGAACGCTCCAGAAATTGTCCATAATCATCGTTTAGAACTGTCTAAAACTATTTAGAACGCTTCAGGACGATTCAAAAGAGTTCGGAACGATTGAGAATGATTTCTGGACGATTCAGAACTCTTCATGAAAACGTTACAACAGTTCAGAATAATTTATAACGCTTTAGAACAATTCGAAACAATTCAGAACGAGCTAAAACAGTCTAAAATCATTTAAAACTGTTAAAAAATATTTAGAACTCTCCGGAACCATTTAGAACGTTCCATAATCAATTAGAACTATTTAAACTAATCCAAGTGCTATAGAATCCAGGATAAAACTAGTTCTAGTTCAGTAGATTATTCAAATTTATTGTTAATGATCTAGTTAAACTAATCCAGGTGCTATAGAATCCATGGTAAAGCTAGTTCTAGTTCAGTAGATTATCTAAACTTATGTTAATGATCTAGTTAAACTAATCCATGTGCTACTATACAGGACAAAGCTAGTTCTAGCTCAACAAATGAGCCAAACTTAATAACCTTTTTTTTTCATTTTTTCCGTTTTTTTTTTACAACCAACAAATCCGATTCTAGCTCAATACTTTAACCAGCAAAAAATCGACTAAAACCCATACACCATAGCACGAAACAACCGGCATCATAGCGTGCGTTCATCACCACACAAATCCCCCGAATCGCCGATAGAATCTAGAATCTAGAATCTAGAATTTCGAATACATCTATCGTACATCTAGCCGAGCATTGTCCCAAAACCGTCGTTAATTCGTTAGAGAGATAATTAGAGCGATCCGCGTGCCGGATTTAGAGGCATTCAGTTATGACAATATGACGAGCACGAGCTTATATCGCGCGACGACATCGACACGGCATTACCATTAAGACAATTACGAATGGAATATTATCCTTATCATCGACTTTGGCGCGTCCTAATCGCTCGGACGCTTGGACGATGTCCAAATCCCGGTT